CCCTTTTCATTTGGACACCCTTTTCATTTGGACACCCTTTTCATTTGGACACCCTTTTCATTTGGACTCCCTTTTCATTTGGACACCCCATTCTATTTAGAATTTCATTCCACTTCTAACCCCATTCTGTGCCCGTGAACCCTTAATACGGGAGGGTATTGCCTCATACACTGGTATCGATTTATTAGGCTACCAATCTTCACAGCAATAAATTTCTTTACCGCCGAAAATATCAAGGTCAGCTCACACAAAGCCTTCTCGTCATAATCATCTGTCTAAATGGGCGCGCCGTATACTTTACCCGGTAATACTACTAGAATTAGTGTACAGGAATGCAAATTCTTCAATGACAAGTTTCGGCAGGTACGATCACTTCGTTGAGAAAATCGACTTCTTAGGACAATGTTATGCCTGTATCTCAGTTGAACCGAGAATTATCTCCCGCAGTTTGCTGTACTTCGTATATAACGCTCTACATAACTCGCAGGGTAGTAGTCAGATCAATCTTCAATGACCCTTGTCACCCTGATTTACGTATTGGTTCGACTCTATGTAGAGTTCAACTAGAACAAGAAGGCTAGGCGAAACGGGCGAAACGGGCGAATGCTTTCTATTGATCTGATCTGATCTGTCTCCCTGATTTCTTCATTTATTTTAGGTCCTTTGTGCGATCAATGCACTAAGATACTGAATAGGTCATTCATTGGCTTTAGGAGCTCCACTATCTACTAAGTCATTAACGTATAACCAACTAAGTAACCCCTTCTACTTAGTTAACTAACTAATCGACTAACTAATCGACTCACTTGTCGACTCACTTGTCGACTCACTTGTCGACCATTAAATCGACCATCCCCTCTACAGCCCAATCTTCAATGGCTAAGAAATCCTCTACTATAGCTACGTAGAAGCGTATGCTTAACAAACGCAGGACTACCTACCAAAGAAGACCTCTCTCGGTGGCTCCGGCCCGTAATACCTACCTTCGAGCCTCTACGGCTATACCTACCAAGCGGTTTCTATCTAAGAGAGCTTATACGTAATCATCACTAGCAAGTGTGTGTAAGATATCAGAAGATACCGGGAGATACGAAAGCAAAGGAATGATAACAAGAAGCGAGCTAGCCGAACAAAATCGAGTACACAAGCTGACCATATTCCCTTCTTTATAAAAGGTCGATTTTAGAAAAGCAGCTAGCTATCGATCGAATTAGGCCAAACGGGCATAAATTACACTCTACAAGCCTACTCATATTACTGAAACGCGGTTAGCCAATTATTACGCATCGTAGATAGGGGTAGTGTATGGCGTTAAAGAACCCACGCCAATTGAGACTCGTCGTCAGACGAGAGGGTAGAGTTGCCTCCATTTCGGCTGTTATCTATAAGGAGTACAACGAGAGCATTCATTAAATACCGGGCTTATTTCAGTCCTTTTCCTTTGGAGCGTCTGATCCATTCAAGGCAATTCAAAATGCAGAATCCAAGCCCTCCCGCCATCGATCCGAAAAAAGTTGATGAAATTCCTGACCCAAGGCGACTGTATGATAATACTTTAAATCTCCTCAACGACTATTCAAGGATACGACCTAAGCAGGCACTGTCTTTCCCAACAAGTATAGGTGCGGAGTGAACTTTGGAATGGATTTATCCTCATTTAGTCATCAGGAAAAATGCCAAGATCGGAACAATAGCTCAGACAGTCATATTATATCGATAGTCTGTGAGGTGGGAAGCGCAAGCAATGTCAACCCGCTGATTATAATGACGTTCCGAATGGTCTAATTCAGTTTTCTGTCGAATGATCCCTAGTATGGGAAATTGATCAAAATAGGACATCCCTAAGCTTTGTTACCCGCTATCGCCGTCACAGTCGTCCCATGCATCTATCAACCGAGTCAGCTCTGATACCTAATGCATCAACCAATGTGGTTCGAGGGGACCCTACCGTCTCCGCAAATCGCACCCATTCCTCCACACCTTTGACGAATGTATCATCCGCCGCAGGCAGAATCTCATGCCCCCATACCATCAACTCGTCAAATGTGCCCTGCGCCTCGAGAACTTTGACCGTTTCTTGTTCAGTCTCGCCATCCTCCACTGTCTCATTTGTCGGTTGTTGAGATGCTGGTAGTACACGGTCTGTAGGCGTAGCGATGACACCTGATAATCGCAAATATCAAGGTTAGCTAATGGCACAATACTCACAATGGAGTTATATCTGTGCAAAGCAGTGACCTCATACCTTGGTAGCCCTCGGGAATCGCAACGCGCCGGCCTCGAAGTCTGCGTCCGCGGAAGTGTGATGTCTGTTTATCGTCTGCAAAAACAGGCGTTAGAGCAAAGTATCTTGATATCTTGTCATGCATTGCCGCAGCTGATGCTGTGATGCGTACCCTTCTCGTCCGTCTGCGGGATCCAAAATCGGTTGGTCGACTCGATCGGGCCATCGTGGTGAATCCGACAGGGGAGAACATTGGGTGTGAATTTCGTGGTTTCCTCGTCACTAACAAGTGACGAGATTGGCTTTGAGCCTGCTTGGAAGGCGTACATCTCTGTCATTGTGTCGCGAAAGTCGCAGGATGGGATGGCTTGGTGTAGGTAGCGCAAGTCCGGAGGCAGGCGAGAAAGTCGGTGTACTTGTGCGACGGTCGAGTAGTTTTAGGTTATATAACGGTACGTGCTTTTTTTATAGCAGTCAATTGAGTGTAATCGCGTTGGTGATGCCGAAAACAAGTCGTGGATGTTGGTGTTGAATTCTTGGCGGGTAAAGTTGAGGTGACCGAGGCGCGTCGCGTCCCCGCGTTAAGTGGCAACGGGCCGTAGCCACGAACTACGGAGTAAAGAAAGGTGACCATGAAAAGGCCACGATTGTACATGGTTTTTGGAAGGCAATCGTGGCCTTTTCACCTAGCGTGACTGGCATGGCTTTACTTAATTTTGGCTTATAAATGTGAAATAAGCAAGGATAGCCGTAGCGTATCTCTTAGAGGGATAGAGGCGTATGGTCATCTAAAGCTCCTCCTTAAGCGTCTTTACTTAGCAAGCAGTACTACTGCTATACGTGACAAATGTTTTATCGCCTACTGGCTCTGATGCCAAAGAAATCTCGAGTGAACTATACTGATATTGATTGGAACTTGTTCGTGTACTAGCTAGACATGCAGTTCAACTGCGATTATGCAGACGCAAAATACATGACTCTTACATAGGGTTGTTCTGTGAGTAACAATCACCTATCGCGGACCGCTATTACTACGTCTTTTGACCCTTCTTTCGACCTGAACTTCGGCCTGGTTTCCCAAAATGCTGAACTTGTTAACACAAGATCAATCGTCAGAGACAGCGGCTATGAGAGGGAAAAAAGGATTTCAGGCTTGGCAGATATTTTCGTCCAGGGTGAGGAAATCCGGTGAGCATGTCGAGCGTTTCAGGTAACATAACTGTCTCCTGTTTTATGTCGACTTAATTCTTTACAAGTCCTCTCAATGCATACACTGTGTGGGCTCTGAAGTCAACTCAAATCTACCATCAAGGTTCGGACAACCTTTCTAGCCTGGCTTGTCATATGTACACTCTAACTTGGTGAGTCAAGCACTCATGGTGACGTCAGTCTATGGCAACGGCTCAAATTTATCTGTTGCGAAGAGGCATAATTTTTGTCCTCTATATCCACAAGAATTGCATCCTATCCTCGCGAGCATACTGTCCTTAGACTTCGCAATGGTGTCCTGGAAGCATAAAATCCCGTCCGTTCCAGGAGTACCCCCATCGCCAACATGCCTCCTTTGTCAAATAGGTATCCCATCTACTTTCGATTGGGAAATTGCGGGATCTCTAGATCGTGATCAGTTGCTTAAAGATCGGCAGCCGTGGAAAACTTACTGGAGGTCTATCCACAAACATGTGATGGTGCCCTCTGCGAAAGTCGAAGAGGTAGCCTTTGGTGACTTACCCCGACTATGGTCATTTTCTGTCATGCTAGTAAGCCTAAGATTGTTCTTTACACTCTGAAGCTTAGCAAGGACTGACTAGTATACCTAGTAATTAAGGAATCAGAAACTAAGTATCGTATCACGGGTATTAACCTAATACGTCACGAAATAAATAGTCCAAATAACTTTCCCAGTGACCCTAACATCGCGAGAATTAGTGGGAGAAAAAACGCCCGATACGATCCTTAAATATCCAGCGAATGCGTGGCAGCGAGAATAGGAAGACAGCCAGCTTGGTATAAAGGGAAGTAACTCGGGTTTATTATACACGCTCATTACTGGGTACTCTTTTGTCGAACGACTAGGACGTCGCCGACTGAGATCAAGCTCGACAAGTTTATTAAAGCTTCCCGATCTTAGTACACGAGTCAAAGTTAAAAGGTCTTTTTGATGAGAATATTCGCCGGCGCCTATTCGGGCTAAATGGGGCCTTACAAAAGCTTAAGTTCGAGTGCGATATTTATCAGAATCCACTACTCATACCAGCTTTACAAAAGGCCATCGCCCACGTAACCAAACGACATTTTTCGTCCCCGGCCTATTTTAGTAAACTTCCGATAGAAGTGACTTGTTTGATCTCAGAGTGGGTCTGTCCGATTGGCTATACATTGAGTGATGTTCTAAACATGCGGAATATGCTCCTCGCGTTCGGGTGGGATATGCCAGATTGGTTTTGGCGAAGGCGGCTACCAAACGATTTTTTCTTCGAGCCAGATATTCTAAAAGAGTCTAGTTCTCGTCCGCGGATGAATAAGCAGATATCGCGACTTGACGTAATGCGTCTCGCCCTCGATCGACAGTGGTGTCCTCACCGTGAGCGTATACACAAAAACATAGTTGCGATCATAAAGGCTTGGAAACTGCTTGAGGGAGAGAACCGCTTAAGGAGAATAACTGCTTGAGGGGAAAAGCTTTGCTTAAATAATGGCTATATAGGCCCACAATCTCCGCCGGGTTTCAGGACGCAGATGTGAATCGTGTGGGTCAAACATTAAACATGTTCTTCAAAAATAAAGAAGAGACAGAGACATAAGTATTATCCTCGAGTATAGCTTCGAAATTTTTCGCGTATTGATTTTGTGAACACGATGATTCGCACCACAGGACCCGATATGGTACTGTAGCCTGTGAAACGGCAAGAGCGATCTCGATCGTCCCCGGGAGAGGGGGAAATGTGTAATCAACATAAGCAATGCAGCATAAATCTTGTAAAGATTCGTGCTGCAGAATCTTTGCAAGATCCCTGTCTACCCGCAGGCCCTCCGTTCGGTAATACATAAAAGATGGTCATATGGGTGATGTCGAATCCACATAGCTAAGCACTAGACAATCTTACGTGGTTCATGGTCACCGAGTAGAGTCGACAGTTTACTCTTGTTAATACCTCATGAATATCCGAGAGTGTATGAAATATGTTCTTAAATACGATCGAGCTTGAGGGCGAGTCTTCGAATCAGCATACTCAATAAATGTAACGAAATGGGAGGTGGGCACGAGCGAAGTATGACTCTCGGATCTTCTAGGATCATTGCAATTGAAGTAATTGCTGCCATGGCTCACACGCGAATAGAGGGGACTTGTCGCGAGAGAACGCGCTTGATTTTCGCATTAGGGGCAAACCATATTGATTTGAACTGAATAGATTCCTATTGCCGCTATTTAATGTCCCAGAAGAAGCAACTAATGTGAAAAAGCCTCGATGTTTTGACCACAATGTATATGTTCATCCAATCGCCAATGCACGCCGTTTTGAGAAAGCCAAAAGTTTAAACAATTACTTAGAATCCAGGGACCTTGAAGTCCTTTGACATCCATTTCTCCGTAATCTTTCTCTTCGCCTTGCGAGCCTGTGTTATCGGCTTGCGAGACTCGAGCTTGCCCTGGACGATGAGTGTGCGGAATCGGTCATCCAAGAGGTTGCCCTCGGGCTTGAGCAAGCGCAGAGAGTCCTGCAGCTCATCGGGGAGAACCAGCTCCAATGGCTTCTCGGGTGGCCTGTCGAGGGGGTTAGTAAGATTGTATATACGTTTAGGCATAAAGTGGGAACATACGCAAGCTTGCCGGCAAATGGCTTTCGTCGAAGGGTAGTCTCATCTCCCTCCTCCGAGTCATCAGCGTCAGACTCATTGGCGCGCTCCAGTTCCTTCTGCTTGGCGAGCTCGGTGAGCTCTAGAATTCGCCCGGCTTGGGCATCCTTCTTGGCCTTCTGCTCCTCCCACTTCGCTTGCCTCTCGGCCTCCTTGCGCCGCTTGATCTTGTTGCGCTGGGTCTTGGTCTTTCGCTCAGGTCGCTTCTTATTCAACCACTCAGGCTTCTCATATTCACTCTCAAAGCCCTCCCAAGCGCTCTCATCGTCAGACTTGACTTCTCCATCGTCATTCTGAGCCTCCTCGATCAATCGTTGCCTCTCCTGCTCCTTCTTTTCTTCCTCGAGGCGCTTCTTCTCAGCCTCAACGGCCTGCTCTCCGTGCTCCTGCAAAAGCTTGTCCCAGTCTTCGAACACCGGGTTGTAACTGGTTCCTGCATGGGGCATGCGCACGGCGGGAATGGGCTTTCCGTTGGCAGCGAGTGAGATTGGCGCGTGCTTCAAGGTCTCTGGAGCGACCTTTGCCTTCGGCTTCACCAGGAAATCAAATCGGGGATCTTCGTAGACAGTAGGCTCCTCGACTTCATCCGCCCAGGGGTCGTAAAGCTCGTTGTTGCCCTTCTTGCTAATCGGGTTCGCTTCCTTTGCCACCTGCTTCAAACGCAGGTAATCCTTGCGACTGACCCAGTCATTCTTGTGCTTCTTCGTCTTGGGCTCGATAACACCATCAGTGATATTTGAATTACCACGCTTGCGTCCGTCCAATGCGGCGATGGCAGACCGCTGAGCGATGATCTCGTCAGCCTTGAGCGGCTTGTGCTTCTTTGCAATCGTTTGGCGAATATCCTGGTCTCCGGTGGTATCAAGAATGAACAGCTCCTCGGAAGGCTTCTCCGAGATCAGACCACTGCTAAAAAGTCAGCCACGGTCCTTGTAGGCTATTCCTGACCAGGGACAGTAGAGACGCACCCTTTGATCTCAGCATCTTTCAGCTGGCGTAGACCCTCCTGCACTTCTGTAACATCGACATTCTTGCGCCAGGCCTTCTTACCCTTGCGGGAAGGCTGCTTAAATTGTTGAGGGGCACCCACCGACGTCGACATGGTTGATGTTCTTATCAGCTTTTTTTTTTTGCAAAGTCCCCCGAACCAAAAACTAAAAAAAACCAAAATTTCTGGATCCGCTTACCTAACGCGGGGGCGGCCAGGGCGGGCGGTCAAGGCACCGGGGCCTTGGCGAACTCGCTTTTCTTCCAGCTCCGTCAAGTCACCGCGCGCGTCTACTGCTGTCCGGGAATTTCTCTTTCTTTATCTCCCCGGAGGTTGATTGCGATTCTGCTACTTCTCTGAAATACCGACAGGTTGAAGTATAGTCGCGCAGCATGCCTGTTGTCAAAGGAGGTGTTTGGTAAGACTTATCTCAATTGCTCTCTTTTCGCGACCGATCATAGCTAACAGCTCATCAGGACTAATATCGAGGACGAGGTCCTTCGGGCTGCCGTATGTCTTTTTCTTGATTATGTAAAGATGATTGTATGTTGTGCGCCGATACTGACTTTCTGGCAGGTCTCGAAATATGGTCTCAACCAGTGGGCACGTGTATCGTCCCTCCTCGCCCGCAAGACCCCCAAGCAGTGCAAGGCACGTTGGATCGAATGGCTGGACCCTGGTATTCGCAAAGTCGAGTGGTCAAGAGAGGAGGATGAGAAGCTTCTACACCTGGCAAAGTTGATGCCAACGCAATGGCGAACTATTGCCCCCATCGTCGGACGTACCGCAACACAGTGCCTCGAGCGATACCAAAAGCTTTTGGACGAGGCCGAAGCTCGCGAGAATGATGAACTCGGGTTGGGAGGCCCGGAAGGTGGAGAAACGGCCGCGCCCAGTGCGGACGATGTCCGTCGCCTTCGGTATGGTCAACCTTTGACTCCATCTTAGAACAGCCGTGATACTAACATGCCACAGCCCTGGAGAATTAGACCCCGATCCCGAGTCTAAGCCCGCACGCCCCGACACGATCGACTTGGATGAAGATGAGAAGGAAATGCTCAGCGAGGCTCGTGCCCGTCTCGCCAACACACAGGGTAAAAAGGCCAAGCGCAAGGCCCGAGAACGCCAATTAGAGGAATCGCGTCGATTAGCGGTACTACAGAAACGTCGTGAACTGAAGCATGCCGGCATCAATGTCAAGGTGGTTACTCGGAAGCCCGGCGAGATGGACTATAACGCGGACATCCCCTTCGAGAAGCCAGCTGCTCCTGGGTTTTACGATACGGCCGAGGAACAAACACGGAATGAGCGCCAACGGGAAATGTTCGATCCCCGCAAGCAACAGTTGGCCAACAAGCGGAAGGGTGACCAAGACGAAGATGCCGAACGCAAGAAGCGCAAGAATGATAAAAACAGCAACTCGGCTGCTTTCGCTGCTGCTGCACGTGCCGGTCAGATGCAGAAGATCCGCGAAGCAGAGCAGAGCAGCAAGCGTCGGGGTCTGGTTCTGCCTGCACCCCAGGTCAGCGAGGGTGAGATGGAGGATATTATTAAGATGGGCATGGCCGGAGACAAGGCCAGCCGGATGAGCGCCGACGAAGAAACGACTCGAGGCCTTATTGGAAATTACGGTGCGATTATTGGAGGAACTCCTATCCGCACACCGCGTGCTGCACCAGAGGAAGACCATATCGCAAATGAAATTAGAAACATTCGCGCCCTTACTGAGACGCAGTCTTCTCTCCTTGGAGGGGAGAACACCCCTCTTCACGAAGGCAATTCATCAACAGGCTTTGAAGGTATTGCCCCTCGACGACAGGATATTGTTACGCCCAACCCTATGGCCACTCCCTTCCGACAGGCCAATGGTTTGGGAGCCACCCCCATGGCCGGAGGAGCTGGTCCTGGGGCCACTCCTCTGCGCACTCCTCGCGATCACTTTGCCTTGAATCGCGAAGGCGAGGGTGCTCACCTTGTTGGTAGCACCCCTCGAGATATCAAGATGCACGAGAATTTCATGCGTCAGTCCATCCGCAGTAAGCTTTCTGCGCTCCCCAAGCCCAAAGAGACTGAGTGGGAGCTGGAAGAGCTCCCATCCGAAACTGCCGAGGTTTCTGTTGCTGTGGAGATGACGGAGGAGGATGCGGCCGAACGTGATCGCCGTGAGAAAGAGGCTAGGGAGAGGGCTGCGCAAGCGGAGTCCAAGCGTCAGTCCCAGGTATATCAGCGCGGTCTCCCCCGGCCGGTTGTACTTGACCTTGATGCCTTGGTGCAGCGTGCCTCACATGTCACAGATCCCATTGAAGGTGTGATTGCTAGAGAAGCTGCAGTCATTATTGCACACGACTCACGCAAGCACCCGGTGCCCGGCGCCAAGGTCGAAGGGAAGGCACCCAAACTAGACCGCCTGGACGATCAATACTTGGAAGCTGCTCGTGCTGCCATTGCTGCCGAGATTCCTTCGGGAGAGGCACAGCAGCAACAACAGGAGTGGCAAGAAAAGTTCGACGACGTCTGGTCTTCCACTCGGGCCAAAGCCATCCCCGGCCTAGATCAATACGAAGATGAGGAGGAGACGGATGATTTCCTTGAAGAACAGCGCATGATTGCAGCATTTGACGACGTGCAAGCAACTCTCCTCGCCACCGCAGAGAAGGGCAATAAGCTGGAGAAGAAGCTAGCTTTGCATTACGGCGGTTACCAAAACCGTGCCAAGATGCTACGAACAAAGATTGTGGAGGCCGGCGCTGCTTTACCCAAGGCACAAGATGACCTCGACTCGTTCCGCACCTTGCAGATTTCCGAAGAAGCTGCCGTCTCTCGGCGACTGGAGCGCCTACGGGAGGAGGTATCCTTTGTGATGCGCCGAGAGCGCGAGGCACAGGAACTGTACAAGAGCCGAAAGGACGAGCTGGATGAGCTCGTGGCCGGTACAGCTACGATCAATGGTTGGCATTGAGTCGGGAGCTGATTGTTATTCATTCTTTTATATTTTTTGGATCATGACCCCTCGCAGGCTTCGTTTTGTATTTTGTATCATTAGGAAGGTTTACATTTGCGTGGATCGTGCAAATCATCAGGAGTTCAATCTGGTCATAGTTCCTCCGTTCAAATTCAGCTGAGATAGATCTTTCAGTAGCATCTGCCGTATTACGGACCCTATTCACTTGGACGAATATGAGAGTTGTGGTGATACCATCCAGATAATCCTTCCGTATATCTTCAGTTCGCCCGATATAAAGAGACATCTTCCAATCCCAATGCGGTCCCGCTGACATAATACCCTTCAACCTCCTCCCCCTTCAGTCTTCACCACTCACCCGCCACCGACCGCGCATCGCATCGCATCTATCATTTTCATCTATTTCGATCCCTGATCCTGCCCGAACACTTCACTGCAGACATCATCATGGGCGTCCGAGACTCCGGCGAGGTGACGGGGACGCCCGACCCCGTTGAGAGAGGGCTCGCCACCATCAACACCATCACGTAAGTCTGACTTCAACCCAGGCCAGAGAAAACTCGAGAATTTTTATTCGGGCTCTCGGTATCACTTTTCCTCGGTCGCATATACTGACTAAGATGATAGCCTCGGTGTGAAGGCCATGGTGCAGAAGGTGAGTCCCCCTGGCGCAGAGCTTGCCAGATATCACGTGATATAGAATTAATCACGATCTTAGGATGGCGAACTTCGGAAAGCTGAGATTCTGTCGATTCGAGAACGCAAGGGTGGTCTTTCCTTTTAGTAAGTCATGAGATTGGGAATAGCTTTCGATCAATCGTGCTAATTTAATCAGTGTTCATTATGTCGATTTCAACAAACGTCTTGACGGTAAGTACAAATCAAGGCAGTAAAATGCCATGTACGAACCGAAACTAATGTTATTTACAGAGTGGGTCCCGGCTGCAAGAATCGACCTCACACAAGAGGTAGAATGGCCACGTCCTGAAAAGTCGGACAAGAAAAAGAGCGCCGCTATTACCAAGGCCCCTAGCAAGAATGTCCAGAAACAGCAGCGCGCCGACAGCCGCGAGGTATCGGGAACCCCAGATGCCTTTGGCAGTAAGAATCAGAACGTCGCCAAGGCTCCCCGGCCATCGAAGGCTGGGGGCAAAGAGAACCGCGATACGCCTGGTGATGTCTCGATGGCCGGGTCTGAGGTAGTCTCTGCCGCCGGGACGCCGAAAGTCATGGACTCGGAGGATCTTGAAATGACCGATGCTCTACTCAAGGACGAAGTCAAGACCGCATCGGGTGAATTGATTACTCGTGAGGAGGAGATTGAGCGGTTGCGTACCGGTGGTAGTATGACCCAGAACCCGACTGAGGTGCATCGCGTGCGAAACTTGACCAAGCTCCAAATGGGCAAACACGATATTGAGCCCTGGTATTTCTCACCATACCCAGATTCGTTTTCCGATGTGGATCTGGTCTACATCGATGAATTCTGTCTCAGCTACTTCGACAATTACCGTGCTTTTGAGCGGCATCGTTCCAAGTGCACAATGGTCCACCCGCCCGGCAACGAAATCTACCGTGACGAAAACATTTCTTTCTTCGAGGTTGACGGCCGTCGCCAGCGCACATGGTGTCGCAATTTGTGTCTTCTTAGCAAACTTTTCCTGGATCACAAGACGCTCTACTACGACGTCGACCCGTTCCTCTTTTACTGCATGTGTACGCGCGACGATACGGGCTGCCATCTCGTCGGCTATTTCTCTAAAGAAAAAGATTCTGCCGAAGGCTACAATTTGGCTTGTATCACAACCTTCCCGCAATTCCAGCGTGCAGGTTATGGTCGTCTATTGATCGCTATGAGCTACGAGCTCAGCAAGCGCGAGGGTAAACTGGGCTCTCCCGAAAAGCCGCTAAGTGACTTGGGATTGCTGAGTTATCGTCGATACTGGCGAGAGACCCTTGTCGAGCTGTTAGCGGAGCCAAATCGCGAGGCTATGAGCGAGAATGAACTTGCTCTTCTCACTTCTATGACTGAGAAGGACATCCATGAGACATTGCTTGTGAACAACATGCTTCGTTATCATGCAAGTTTTCGTTTCCCCTCCTCGGATTACGTATCAGATCATACTAACCCCTCGCAGAAAGGAAACTGGATCATCGTTCTCACCGACCAAGTTCTCGACGAGCATAACAAACGTCTCGAAAAGGAGAAGATCAAGGGCTCAAGAAGGATTGATCCCGTCCGTCTCCAGTGGAAGCCTCCCGTCTTTACTGCGTCCAGCCGTACCTGGAACTGGTAATGGGAATATGGGGGATCATGACCCACTTTTCTTTAACCCGGCTTGCCATCGGATGGCCCACAGCTGGAGCAGGGTATGGATCTGCAAGTGATCACTCCACACGGTCTTCTCGATTATGAATTCATGGGCGTTTGGTAGCGTTTCTCAAGGTGTCTGGGGGAGCGTCGGTTTCCGGAGTCTGGACTTACGGATTGGTTTTACTCAATACCTCCAATTTTGTACAATATCCTCTTTTTCGCAAAATGATCTTTTTATGATCTTTTTCCAACCCATTATTTTCAGCTCATGGATCAGCGGGTACGTAGTGTAGGTACTGTCTTCGGTATTGTTGTGACCAGTAAAGTGTACACGGTGGATTGTGATATGTGATAGGCGTCTAGAACGATTCGGGAAAGGGCGTTGATCATGATCAACTCGGGGAATCTGCCTCGATACTATAAATGTCTCGTGAGAAAGACTGGTCAGGAAATTTCTTGCTGTTGGAAACCTTTCTGACCGATTATTGAAAAGGTAACCTGTATAAGCACCCTACATATCATGTACGGCAGACTACAACACAAGCAGAATGTTACTACGTGGAAATCCGGGGGCATGTCAAATAACCCATCAATATTAGCTGCACTAGCTAAAGGTCGTACCCTGTCGGTATAACATGACATAACAATGGAAAGTAGCTGCAAATTAGTCAGGTCGTCCTAGCGACTCCATGCACCAGCACCCCACGGGAGTGAAAATCTCACTCTCCCAGACATACCCCGTTGTCCAAAGGACAGAGACACTCCTTAACCAGTATAGTAAGGGTTAGTACAAGTCCAGGAAGTAACCACGGAACCACCAGGCCCAAACGCAGACTCCAAGGCCAAAACGGCAGCCCAGGTACCCATGCCAGAAGTAGCGAGACCACAACCAGTAAAGATAAGCACGGGCACACTGATCTTCCACGTCTTCAGGAAACCGCGAATCCACCGCTTAGTGCCGTGGTCCATGCGGGTGGTCTGGCCGGTTGCCGGATCGAATCCCTCGCCGGGGAGACGGGCGCCGTCCTGGATCTTGTAGGCGAGGTACATGACGCCTGAGAAGGAGTAGGTGAAGTTGAGACTGAAGAGGCCGCCGACGAAGTTTGTGAAGGCGCTGAATTCGGGGACGGACATTGAGAGGACGAAGGCGATTATCCAGTATACTGGGCCGAGACCCCACCAGAGGAATTTGCCGTTCCTGGAGGTAATGGCGGGGAGGCTGAAAATTGCTTGTCCGACTTCGAGGTAGACGGTTTTCATGCCGACGTTGAAGTAGAGGACTGGATTTGGTGTTAGCGGATAGTGCTTTTGTCATGTGGGGAGGGGGATGATGATGCTTACAGATGGCGAGCCAACCGGTCAGGAGGGAGAGAACGTTGCCGACAACCTGGAGGTTCTTGGGGTTGACGGACTGGTTAACGTTGCTGTAGCTATATTGGCCGTAGTAATGGTATACCTGAGGATAGTATTAGCATCATGGGTGACGCGAGCCGCGGGGAGTCGTTGAAAGCTCACAAAGGCACCGAAGAAGATGTAGACGACGGTGATGAAGGTCTGGGCAACGAGAAGACCCTTCCAGAAGTCCATGGGACGTCTCATCTCGGACAAGAAGGCGACAAACATGACGGCTCCAGAATATGCGTCTTATAAGAAGTAGTGAGCAATGCGATTTTATGTCAGAGTATTTAGAAGGACTTAAACTTACAAACCATGCTGTTGATACCGTTGAATTGGGCGGCAAACAGGTTGGTGTCGGTGGGCTGGTACTCGGCAGGAGGAGTGCCAACAAAGGTCTTGACAGGCGCCATGGTGGCGACGGTGTCCCACGCCTTGTTCAAGATACCGTTCTCGACGGCAGCGGCCGGGTCAGGGCCGTGCTTGGCCGCAGCAACGCAGCTGAGTATGTCAGTCAGCGGACATGACATTGTGATGCTGAGGTATAGCAACTTACATGATAAGGAAGGTGACGATGTTGATCCACACCGACATGTTGCAGAACCAACCGAGGTGCTTAAGAGATCGCATGTAACCACTAGCCATACCGACAACAAGCGAAATGATACCGCAGACGACATAGCAGAGATTGGCGTTTCCACCAAGCTGAGCAATGATACCCGTGTTACCCAAAAGAACGACGGCGACACTCAGGAACATCTGCAGCGACTGCATAAAGTTGATAAAGTGGCGCATACGAGGTCCATACAGACGCAGGAATGGGTCACCGAAGCTGACAATCGGGTAGCGGGACGAGTCAAGGCCGAGGAAGGTCCTCCAGATCATGATACCAGATGCAAAAGCAGCGAAACCCATGAGGAGGAAGATACCCACACCGAGGCCGTAGCCAGTGTTGGCAAAGACGTAGGGAGTCTGCGACCAGCCCAGAATATCGGTGGTGATCAGGTAGAAGATGGTTCCCCAGCCGGCATTGCGAAGAGCTCGAGCAGCCAAGCGCCACTCGGCGTCGAGATCGTAGGGAGGCGGCGAGACAGGGCTGACGGCGCCTTCATCGCCGCTGTTGACGGCAACATCAGCCTTCTTCTCGGAGACCTGGAGAGACTCCTCGTTGGCTTGCAGCTGACGCGATTCCTGGATCTTGGCATCCTCGTAAGGGTTGTTCTTGAAATAGGCCTTGATGGAGCCCAGGATACCGCCGCCACCAGTCACGGCAGTATAGCGACGATAGTCCTCATCTTCGAGCTCACGCTCGATCTTGGCCCAGTAAGTGAATTCCTCAAAGGTCACCGTTGGGTCCAGACGAGCTTCCAGGCCCCATTGACGGTGGCGGACACCGGGGTGGGTGCCAGCCAGCTCCATTTTGCGGATCTCTTCGGGTGAAGCCCCCGCTTCACGAATCTGCTCAGTAGGGGCCGTGATGGCCATAGGGCCAGGTAACATCGACATCTTGGCAAAGAGCAAATGCAACTGTGAGGGGAAAGAATGCAAGCAAAGAGGAGAGCGAGCGTGAGGACCCAATTCATATAAACCCACCCCAGGCGCCTCCAGCCCAACTGTCGTCGTGTCGGCGTGTACCGCTCATATCAGTTAACTCCGACTGCCCTTTCAGTCTTCGCTCAATAATCTCCGTTCATTTCTGAATAATACCTCGTGGTCAAAGCGATTTGAATTCCACTAGCCCGGGTGAGGACGTGGCCAACCCAGAGCTCGCGTCTGCGTGAGGTCGGCTAAGGCGTGGCATCGCGAGTCCGTGGTTGGCTGGCGACCGAGACATCCAGGAGATTAGCCATTTTAGTCAATTGGACCGAGGACAGGTCCTTGGACAGAACGAATAACGAAGAAAGGGTCGAACGGGCCGAGCATGGCCAAGCATGGCCAAGAAGGGGGGCTGCGTAGCATCCGAGGCTTGATTGAGATAAGCTTCGCGAATCGGAGCGAGGGCTTGGTGGACCTCCCCCACGTCGTTTCGCTAAGACCACGCCACTATCCCAGGGAGTTTTTGTCACGAAATTGCTCCGGGCCCTAGTGGGTTTGGTGGATCTCCTGTTTTCCGCCACACACACGCGTAGAAGAACGCCCGAATGCTACATTGCAGCCGAAGCAGACGAAGTATACGACCCGTGCATAGGCCCCTTGTCATGAGGAGTCCTACGCCACTCATCTTTTGATCTCTTCTTCTGAATTCTTGAGATCAACCCTGGGCATTTTCATTCTGGGAGAAGATATTCTCATTGGGAGAAACGAGGGGGGCAAGGGTGGAGATAGCTTGACAGCATGTATGGAGTACTACAACCAGGTGGATCGTGATATGTCTCGACAAGTTTACCACCAATCATGCCCTAATGGAGAGCACAAATCAGATAGCACATGGCGCAAAGGCCACAATTTAATCATCTACATGTGTCTCGGAGGACACACGATCCATACAACTTCCCACCTTGACGATTGATCTCTTCAACGCGACTACGCCGGACCACGGCGGGGCCCCGACGTGGTCCCGACGTGGCCAGATCGGGAAGGTGCGTTCGTGTGGTTTTCGGGATTCTCTTTACCCACTATTTTTCGGCTTTTCGGCACAACAAATGATACCCTTGGAGTATCTAATACGTTCTGGTGGAGTCCGGTATGGAGTCCCGTATGGAGTATGACTGTGGAGAACCATACCTCGTGTGCATGAGTTTGCTCCCCGGAAGAAGTCATTCCATCATGATAAAAGCATTGGTACAAAATTTAATGGACAGCAATACACTGGGAGATGGATAACAGAGGGTAACCTCCCCAGTTAACCGGGTTCATTCCTGTTCTTGCCGCTTGTATCCGCTAGGATAATAAGGGCTTTGACAGCAGCCTGGCTGCTAGGGGTTAGAGATGATAAGCATGGTCCGGGAGATTGGTAGCTTCGGTAGCGTCTAAACCCTGCTCTTACTAAAGAGAAGTGGTTTCCTTCGTTATCTCAAGACCGATTCGCTTTTTTATTGTGTAATTCAACCGTTTTTCGGTGTTTTTTTCGCGGAGAAAAGATCTGTGCCCCGTTGTTCCATTCTTCGATCCACTCGGGTACCTGGTGTCTCCGCTGACCACAGAGCTCTAGAAATCTGTGAGAATGTGTGTTGCATATAAATTGTGATCAACTAGGCCGCGTGCATACTGTATCCAGGAGCGTGTAAGCTGTACGGATGATATGGCGAGAGTCAAATTCATTGCGCAGGATTAGCGAGAGAAAAGGACTAGCATGGCATAATTCTCAACGAAAAAGTCACTTCGAGTCCATGGCGAATAGAGTGAATGTTCATCTCCCGCAAAAGGGAAGAAGACTAAACATCTAAATTGATTGATTCGCTACCTATAATGGGCCATGGAACCATCAATGCTAAGCTTGAAATTCCATGTGGCATGAGGGGCTTCTTGTAAATTATTCATCTCACAGTGTCATAAATGGGGAAGGAACTTTGGATCGGACTCCGGAGTCTGTCCGGTGGACCTTGTACGTTATAATTATAGGATCCGATGCTGTAAGTCTATATGGACTCTTTCCAACTAGGCTTAACATATGAATGACCCCGCTGGAGAAGACTCCACACCCTATAAGGAACCAGATTACACGCTAGGATTAAATATCATATAAGATGGAAAGTTTGGACAAGGGAGAGAAAGAAAGGATTGAGGCACACTAAGGGGATTGGGCGATCTGTCTAGGGAACGGCAGACTTTTCGGGGAGAGACTATGAGATAGCTGTCCGTGGAAGGAAACTCGGCCTTGCAACAAGTAGGACGGATGCATCCTATGTCACCCAGGATCTGAACAAAGGAAGCAGACTACGACAGCATAGAAAGTAATTGGATGATGCAGAAACTGATTGCTTGGGTGGTAATGTCGCCCATATTAAACACCCATCTTTAATCTCACATCTCACTCCTATGCACCACTTTCCACAAGCATTTACCTTACAACCGAGATGGGAACTCAACAACAAACGACTCCAAACTACATAATATGGATATAGTAGTTTACATGATACATTAAATTTACAATCCATGCCCCATGACGTAGACGCATTCAGCTTAAACGCAAAGCATACACAGAGAAGAAGGCATATTGAAATTGAAATTTCATTGGACGTGAGGCTAAGGCAAACGTTACCCGCAGCTAACAGGGAATGAACGGATTCTGAGAAATTGGATGGGGAGGGCGGATGAAAGATAAGGGGGGAGGAATTGGTGTTACTGACTTGACTGCTTTGTAGCACCATTGCTCTTTGTGGAGACAAACGGAAGCAGAGAGCAGTAGACACCGGGGTGTGAGAGGATTAGGTGCGGGTCGAGCGAGAAACCACGAAGCAAAACAAACCAGCTGTCTGGTATAATCCGAAACTGAAACGTGACGGCTGCACGTAGACCGTCCCTGCTGACAAATTTCGCGAGGATGAAGAGGCAGCGCACCTACTAAGTGCTGGTGCCCCAGGATCCGGTGCGAGACTGCTGCTGGGAGGAACTGGAGGGCTTCTTGGGCCCATTGTTGCCGGAAGCTTCGCGCGGCTTTGGTCCCTTGCGGGACTTGTTGAAGCTGGAAGCGCCGCTGCGCTGCTGCTGCTGCTGCTGCTGCTGTTGACGCGGGGTAGTAGGGCCGCCAGCTTTCTTGGGCATACTCATGGTTTTGGCCGTAGCAGTGCCGGGAAGCTGAACCACAACACAGGTATTACCCGCGGCGTCCTTCTCGCCGAGTCCAACCGAGTAGGTCTCAATGCTGTGAACTTGCATCGGCTTGAGAACCTTGGCACGCTGACGAGATAATGGAGGAGCGGGAGCGGCCTGCCATGCGTTTGCGGGAGCCATGTTGGGGACTCGCACGCTGGGCAAAGAGCCAGGCTCACGGTCTTCGAAAATCTCATCCTGTTCTTCAACTTGTCGGACAGCAACGTGGCCGTCGCGAATCTGCGCATCACTCTCAATGTTGGGCAAGGAAACGGAAACAGCTGCAACGGGCAGCGTGACATCCAGAGGTTCCTTGGTTGCGGAGGTAATAGCCAGAGCGGACTTCTTCTCCACGGGGGTCTTCTTACCGAGGAGACCATTGATCTTCTCCTGCCAAGAGATAGCAGTTGACGCAGGGGCAGCCTGACCCCGTGCAGGACTAGCAGCAGCCATAGAGGCAAAGGTCGGCGGGGCGGCCGCGGCGGCTGGGGCAGCAGAGACAGCCAGAGCCTTAGGGGGGAGTTTGACCACGGGCTTTGGGTTTGGGAGATGAACCAGGGGCCGGCCGGAGCTGCCACCGTACACGGGATGGCTCCAGCCATCCTCTGGAGGAGGAGGCGATGGGCTGCGCTGGTGGTCGTGCTTCTCAGTTGATACACGCTTTGACTGTTCACTAGCCTGTGGGAAGAAGCGCGAGCTGCGAGCGGGGACGCTGGCAATGGGACGAGCAGGGCTCTCGGTAAACGCAAGACCATCTGCAGGGGCATCGAGTCCGGTCAGCGGGTTGGCGGGAGCAGGACCGTTGTTGGAATTGTCCACAGTTCCAGGGGTGATGTCAATGACGGCTTTCTTGGCAGTCTCGTCCGGAACACCTCGCAGGGGCTTCCAAGTTTCCTTGATGTTGGCCAAATGGGGGTTGGGCTTCCCCCGGTTGGCCTTGAAGGCTTCGCGGGCTTGTTCCTGCACTGCACGATCATGCTCAGCAATACTGCCGTATTGAGCCCACGGCACGGAACGAGCATCACGCTGCCATTGATGCTTCTGCGAGGGGGGGCCAATCGGGCCAGGACGGCCGATGGGGTTCAAAGGACCAAAGCGTGCATGTCTGGTTTCAGGAGAGGGCAGCGGGGAGACCGGGGCCGGTTCCTGCGGACCGGAAAAGGCCTGGGGGGGCATGGTAGGTTGATCCATACCGAACTGGCTCCGAAGGGGAATTTCTCGGGATGGGAAAGCACCAAGACTCTGGTCAAAGATCCCGTTTCCGAGGGTTCTGTCGCTGTTCAAGAGAGACCAAGGATTCTTGACTGAAGCAGGATTGGAGGCAAGGTTGGTGTTGGATGACCAGGGAGGGTATGAGCTGGGAGTGTTCAAATTTCCACGCCAGTCAGGGCCGTGCTCATCAGCCTTTACATCCGTGGGATGCGTCTCGGAGGATGGCTGTTTGGCAGTGGTGGGGGCAGTTGGCAGCTCTCGTTTCTGGTCACGAGGTGAAAGAGGTACGCGACGAGTGTGAGGTGAGGTAGGTTTCTCTGGGTGTTTCTCAGTAGCACGATCACGTTCGTTCACTGCGACAAGTTTCTTGACCGAGTCGGGATGGTGAACTTTCATGAGACCGTACTGTTTGGGTTCGCCAGAAGGTTCGGGGACGGGAGGTTTGGGAGGAGAGTGAAGGATGGCTGGCGCAGGTGAGGAGGGGGTATTTATGTGCACTTCGGCAGCTTCTTTGCGATGAGGCAGCGACTTCTCAGGTGGTGGCCTGGCCTTCTCAGGCGGCGGTCCCAAGGCAGCGAGCTTCTTCTTGATTCTTTCTTCCCTTTCCAGCCTATCTTTCTCTTCCTGCTCCAATCGCCGCTGTCGAGCTTGAGCACGGGCATCCTTCATGATACGTTCCTGCAGCACCACTGGATCTTCTTGCGGTGCCTCAGTCATTGGAACTGAGGCAGCCTGTGGTGGCTCTACCGATGAGGCAACACTAGCACTCCTCGGTGCCTGTCCACCCCATCCAGCCACAGTGTGGGGTTCCCCATGGGGTCCATGGTCACGTTCCATCAATGCCGGGTCACCCATACCATTAGTTTGGGATCCCCGTCGACCCTCCATATATCTTGGCGGTGCATCCGTTCGACCAAAAGACATACGGCGACCAAATCCTCCACTACCTCCACTGACATTGGATGATGTGCGACGTCGGTTCCAGCCCGTACCCTCCTGGTGGCTAGACCGATGGGTCTGGAATGCAGCAGATGGCTCGGCGGGACCACCAGGCTCTGCCTGATTAGGCCGTTGCAGAACAGCTGGAGGACGAGGGCCTTGATCATGTCGCCATGATCCTCTACGGTTGTCCTGTACGGGCTCGTATCGACCAGAACGAGAGTTGTATAGCTCCCGAGGTGCGCCGGGTGTAGTCTCTCTCCATGTACGGTTGAAATCGTCCGCAGCAATCTCTTGAGGAGGGAATGGAGCATGTCGAACGTCGTCTCGAGCCGGGTGACTGAAGGGACCGGGGCCGCGGGGCTGTTGAGATACGTGAGCCGGTGGATTGACGGGAGATACTCGTTCGACAGGTGGCAAAGGGGCCCAGGGTGATTTAGCTGGTGGAGGAGCCGGACTTGTAGACCCAGATGGCGCACGATCATTTGTTCCCTTAGACGAGATACTCGCAGCCTTGGCCTGTCGCTCGGCATTGGCCCCAAGCCTAAGCACTGTAGGATTAGGTCCCACGGACGTTGTTGGCTTCGGAGCAACGATCTTGATAGAGTCTGTAGCGACGGTCTGCTCAGGGAGCGGAACCGCATCCTTCGCCTCTTCCAAGGTGTGGTCTGTAGCAGGTGGGGGGTGATCGGTATGCGTGAGAGTGACTTTCGTTCCGTCGGTCCACTCGATGGTCTCAGGAGCCCAGTCGTCCTCATCATCATCAATATCTGCCCATTTCGCCTCCGTGCCACCCCCATCCTCCTGAATGCGAGATGTCATATGAATGCCATATTGCTGTTTCAGCTCTTCGTCGGTCAACTGCTTTGGCGGGATTGGCTGGACCGCTGTTTCCGTAAAGTAACTCGTCAGTGTCTGCAACTCCAAGCTTATACAAGTCTAATAACATACGCCGATTCTTATTCCAAACTTGGTTAGGATCCGGCCCTGACGCCCCAGGCTTTCCACCACCTGCACCGGTCTTTGAGAAAGAATCGCGCATGCCAGCGGTGGTCTTTGCGACCAAGCGTGGTCTTGAACTGGGTTGAGGGGTACCAAGAGGGGTGGTAGAGGCAGACGGAACTAGCATTTTGTTAGTCGCAGTGTACCTTCCCAAAATGATCAATCAACATGAACAAAGGAAACTACCAACCTTTCTCCGGTACCTTTGGTGCCGCAGTAGCTCCCGGGGCCTTGGGAACAGCAAATTTAGCAAAAGACACGGGCTTAAAAGCAGTAGGCTTCTTGACAGAGCCAGTCCGAGTATGGTGTCTACCATCCGTCCGACTGGCATCTGACTCCGAACCACCCAGTGAAGCTGTGTCATCCCCGCCATCGGATGCCGATCCAAGTCCGTTTAGTTCAAGCGCTCTGGAAGCAACCAGACCGGTACCATGCTTTGAGGAATCCTGCACCATTTTCAGCTCCTATGATCACAACATGCTCCAAACCGTATACACCCACCATCGCAGAGCCCCCGGCATCCTTATCGTTGCCCGTCTCCTCCACGTGAGAACCAAGCGCCTGTCTCGCCTTGTCGATTTGTGGGTCGGTCAATACTTGTGTTGTCAATGTCGATGTGATATGTTGAGTCTCCCCCACGTCCCCTCCAGCAGATGATTTATCGTTAATGCTCGCAGGAACGCCGGAAGGCGAAAGCTCGCCGCCCGACAGGGTCTGATCTACCACATCGCGGCCGCTCTGCTCTGCCATAACAATACTCGAGTCTGTAAATAGGAGGAGTCGCATTTGTCAGATCGTCTCTCTGGGAAGAATAACTCCAGGGGGTGTGGGATGAAAGTCTGCGGGACACAAGTGGACACCGCAGCGGTTCAAGGTCGCATAGTAACGGGGAAAACTGGTGACGGCGTACCTCTTGTCAGAGTCCAGGAATCGCCACGGTTGAACTGCTGCTCGCTTGTCTGGTTGTACCCTGTAGAATCGGGATTCCACAACCAGGTAGACAACGTTGGGGCGGCCAACCTCCAGGAGCTGCTGAGAAAGCCGGGTGGAGTGCTCGGCGAGTGTGTTAGGTGTACAGTCGAGAAGGGCGCGTAAGGATGAGCACAGCCCTGAGGAAATCCCAAAAACCGGGAGAAGGTCACGGAAGGAAACGAGGTCGTAGGGAAGAAGGGTGTCGGGTGTGTACGTGGTTCCCGTTGAGATGGCTGTCGGGTCTGAAGCTGAGCGCTCGCTGTTTTCGGTTAGCGCCAACCCGGGAAGGTTGTGATGTGTGAAGTGCGAGTTCGAACGGCGCCCACGAAGCTTGCGCGCGGTCGAATTTCGACGTTGGACTCGATAGATGTACCGTTACGAGACAGAAAGCATTAACGGTCCGGGTTAGACCATTAAATGTCACGGACGATATGAAGTGAGGTACAGGTGAGAGCTACTTGGTTACGGGGGTGGTGTGACTGACCGGAGTAGAGACACCGTTCACTCCGAAGTACGAGCGTATAAGTATAAACTCTAACATCCAGCCGATTAATCAGGACTACTCAATAGTTTGAAAAATATAATAATGAAACATGGTGAGATTCGATTTCAAAAGTCTCTAATTCCTACACTGCCTCCCTCGGGATAAGAGGATGTTGTATATACATCCAGATCCTCCTTCCAATTTCCATTAAATGGAACCGCTTAGTGAGGGTGGTTCTTGTGGTGGCCTACAAGTAGTATCAGTATGAGTAGGAAAGACGTTTCGTTTAGCAAGAGGTCAAGCAGTAGGCTGATGATCCTCTTGCCAGAGAAGGTGGCACTCACGCAGGTGGAAGTAGTACTCCATGCTGTAGCCCATGATCAGGATACCGGCAATGGCGTGGAGCAGAGCTGCATCGGATCAGTATCCATTGTTTTTTTTCCAGGATCTCATCATTTCAACTTACGGGCGGCGGAGTTCTTGTTGAAGTAGCGAGCCTGGTAGCGGCCAAGGAGACCGGTGGCCTTGGTCTGGGGGGCGGGGCCACGGGGCAGACCGGCGTAGAAGCTCACGACGCGCTCCATGCGGGCAGCATCCTGGGCGGCACCAATGGCCTTCAAGTGATATGTTAGTGGTGGTTTCGAGTACGGGGGTCGTTGTGTCGCGTTGGTATATCGCACGAAAAAGAGCCTTCGGGAAAGAACGGGGGACGTGGAGGAGGTGCTAGATGCGATGGCGTTTGCGAAGGGAATCCAGGTGACTCACGTTGGGAGAAGCGATCTAAGCGAAACCAGTCAGTATCATCGGCAACCATTTGCGAAGCATCTAACGAGGCAATTCCGGGTGTCGTACCTTGGGGGGGATCAGGGTCGAGAGACCACGGCGGGCGATGTAGCTCATCTTGTCTGGACTGTCGGGGGTCAGAAACTGGTCGCAATGAGTAGATCCGGCCTCGAATATTCCATCAAAACCAACAAGGAGAACGTACTGTCTTTCGCAGCGCTAGTGAACCGGGAACGACTGATGATGCAGGAGGAAGAGACTCTTCGGTCGGGAAGCGGGTGGTCGGATGAGTTAGATGCGCTAAACCCAATTCGGATGTGCCGTGACCTGCACTCTGCGATTGAACCTCTTCCTACAACCCGCCTCGTCTTTGGCTATAAACCACACTCCCCGCTCCCCACACGTCCACCATGTCGCTGTTCCGAATTGGAGGTGCCGCTGGCCTCCGTGCGACTCGCCTTGCCGCACCTGTCAATGTCCGCTTTGTCTCCAATGTCGCCAAGGGAGAGATCAAGACCAGCCCGGCCGATGCTCCCTCCACGCCCAACAGGGACAGTTCGTTGATCAACAAGCAGAGCCCTTCGGAGGCAATGACCCGTCACCAGCCTGATTATGAGGCTACCATTGACCACGCCACCTCGTACGATACCTCGCATTGCTCTTCGCCGCAGACCCAGTTCGCTAACATGTTTTTGCTTTGCCTCGCAGTCAATTCTCCCCCGTTCCCAAGCGCGTGATGGATGGCAGCGAGCCTGGTCCTACTCTTCCTGCTGCAGTTCTCTCTGGGGCTCCTACCGATCTCCAGGCCCGCACCGTCCGGTACTTTCACTCCCCTCGAGGAATGCCATATTTGGGAGATCCGAGTTGCTAATCCCTCGGCTTTCATAGAATCTACCGCCCCACAAAGCCTGCTACCCAGTCTGGTACCTGGCACGGACACCACTGGCGCATGGACTGGGACATTCTGCAGAAGGGTCACCGATGGGAGAACCCCCTCATGGGCTGGCAGTCTTCCGCGGATGCCATGCAGGGAACCAACCTTACGTTCAAGAGCAAGGAGGATGCCATTGCCTTTGCCCAGAAGCAGGGCTACGAATACTTTGTGCAGGAGCCGAATGAGCGCCGGTTCGTGCCCAAGGCTTATGCCAACAACTTCCTTCACGAGTCGCGGAAGCTCAAGCACATCAAGACCAAGTGATTGTGCCTTCCAGTGTATTATGTAAATATTTGCAAGTTTCCGTTTCCTTTATTTTTTCCTTTGAATCAAAATCAGACTATTAGAATTGCGTTTTGACCTACGATTATCATGGAATGATTTTGGCAAGCATTCGGCCAATCTCCTTCCTGCTGGGTGGTCCAAACCTAGGAAGTATAGAGATAGGTGAAGAAACAATGTTTTAGCATCACACTGGGATCTTGACTGGGCGACACCTTCATAGCGCACTACCGATCGCTGCTTAAGAAAACTCATTTGTTCGTCAATCGGGGGCCTCGAAGGCGATGGTCGATGACTATTTATCCACACATTGATACATCTCGTCCTATAAGAGCAATGGACGAGCTTTGGTAAATACAACATAAAGAGGAGGCAATCCTTAAGGATGACAGAGCAATCCAATGGAAGATGAACGAAAATCTGTTTGTTGAATTGGTGTGCTCATTATATATTCCCGAGATCAGGTCATATAATGAGAAGAAAAAAAAAAAAAAAAAAATTCAATTTGGAGCTCGGCGTTTGTCTAACTGAGAGCCACCTGAATATCTGGTCTGTTTCAACAGTGTCCAAATCATATTTTAGGCAACCTAAAGTCGCTTCGTTCGGAATGGATGCGAAAGACCCATACGATTCCGTCTTAACAATTCATCACCGAGCAAGCTCCCCTACAAACTTCGATACGAGTAGATATCATCACTGTCAAATATTACTACTGGAAACAAAAAAAAACAATCTCAAAGAGAGAGGGCCTATTTACATTAAGCCTCCGTAAGTTCGTCCCTCGGCCTCGAGCTCCTCATCTTCGTGGAGGTAGTCCTTCATCTTGTCCAACTCACTCTCGCCCTTCTTCTTGTCATGTTCATCATGGTCGTGTTCGTCTTTACCAGACTTGTCCTGATCAGGTTCCTTCTGATACTGGGCATCTTGGTTCTGATGGTGGCGGTGGAGGATTCGCTCGAAGAAGCCCTCTTGTTGGTGGACGGGCTCTTGGGAGGTTTGTTCTGGACATGGTGAGTAGCTGCGGATGACATTGGTATATGACCTGAAGTGTAATGTACTCACTGTCAGACATGATGGTGGAGTACTCAAACGGTTAGGATGGATTAGAACTAATCAGTGTCGCGCCACTTGAAAGGTATGTGCGAGGTGCGAATAATTATATATCTTTGGGGAGGAGAATGCAAACCATAGGACAACACCGTACGTCACAAGCTATATCCCACAAGGTAACTTATGAGAGGTCTTAGTAAGGCGGGGTTATTATAATAGGCTGTTAGAATGGTGAGCGCATCATCGACCGAATGTTTCCGCCACCTGGGGTGCTGATTGTAGGGAGGAAGTTTAATGGGCGGGGTCGGCGGTGGGATCAACCGCGTGGAATTAGCATTTATGGTGTGCTTCAAGCTACCACATTGGTTGGATTGATGGTCTTGCCACATCTAGCATTGCGTGATGAGATATCTCAAGTTGCATGAAAGTTAAGACTGCATGTGGAGAATATCGGGTCCGGGGAGGACCAACGTCTACTCAAGGAATGTGGGGTTGCTGCTGCGAGGAATCAATACCCACGGTCATGCATAACGAGAAGGTATTTGAAAATGTCGGTTTGATGGAAACATCGGGCAGTACCAAGAGTAGGTAAAATTAGGATGAGTGAGATGAATAATTTCTGCAACATTTTACTCTGGAGTTGCTATCAATGTCTATGCCTCACAGTAATCAGGTGAATAGCCAAAAAGCAGATTTTCTTGATAATTTTGTAGAGATGATTGTTATTGTCCGTGCATCGATGACAACAGAGAGTCAGGCGTCCACCCATCGTCCACCAGGAACGCTGCCTGTGCGCCCTTCGAACGACACAACATATTGAGAAGACATTTCTCGACGCCAATACGCGCCTCGGGGCTGACCTGGCTCAGAATCTCCGTCATCCTCCGCACATATTCTATTTTCTGCATTCCATCCGAATAAGTGTCGACCAGGTGTTGATGTAAAAATGGGCGCAAATTTTGTACGGAGAAGTTCCACAGACCGCGCGACTGCAGCAGAGCCCCATCCAGAATATCAAGTCCGCTGGACCAGAACGGGTTGCTCACGGCGTCGATGGGGGGTGGGGAAGAAATAGATTCTTGAATCATCAAGCAGATTGAGAATAAGCAGGTTAGCCTGTCGTAGTCAGATGGGGATGTTCCAGGCGTAAGTGAAGTATCTGAATAGGAACTTTGAAATTCATCCCGAAGATGAAGGACAGCCTGGTAGAGTGAGGGATAGGTTGAAAGTCCCTGAACGTAGAACCGGGAAGAAAATCCCATAAAGGTTCGTAGATCTTGGATGAAAGATATTAACCATAAGCAGCGTATCTTTTGAAAGTCCAATGAAGGATCCAAGGCGAATGCGTCGGCCGATGGCTCGGAAACCTCCGATATATTGTTTGTGGGCTCAAACCACGACGGCTTGCTCATTAGGGAAACGCTGAGACTGTTAGTGGCAAACCATGGAACAAGATTGAGGAGAGACCTACAGATAGACAACAAGCTCAAGGCGCCAATTATCATGGAGCTGTCCAATCCCGCCCTTGGCTTCGATCATTCTCTGCAGGCCCATGCGGTGGATATTCCACTCCTCTGCAGTTCCCCAGTATCTCTATTCAAGGATTAGTAAGTAGCCCATCACAGCAGAGTATGTATGCAGGCGCTATATTAGCGCGCATTATAGTTACCTCAAACGTCAGCAGTCGAATCACAGCCGCGAATGCATCATAGCTGAGCGCCTTTTGTGGGTCTGAGAGCCACTCATGCAGAATCCGGACTGCCTCTGCCTTGTATTTCAAGGCATCGGCTGAATTGGTTCCATTTTGCGGACTGGTCCCTGCGTAAAGATGGGATAGATGGGCGGCAGCGTGTGCCATAATCGCGTTGAAAGAAGAGGCATTGGAAAGGTCCAATGGAAACCATACATCCTTCATTGGATTGAAGCTTGGGATGTCCAAATCCTCAAACATCATGGTAGCATGGGTGCCGATCCCTTTTTTCGTGTAAGCGGGTGAGAATATGGCTTAGCTTGATCCATTTCGGCGAAACACATACAATGATGCAGTAGCTTGTGATGCTGACTGGTTAATCGCACAGGAAATGTCTGGAAGGGATCAGGTCTCGAGCTCGACAAGGCGCGACTCAACCCGCCCAATAGCTGTGTGGGAACTCCTATGAGCTCTACCCTCTCTTCACGATCTTGATCCGTTTCAGTGGAGGAACTTTCCGAGCACTGTCGCCCAGAGCTTTGGCTCCCACGGCTTCGGGATGAATGCGCATGCGCGACAATTTCATGATTTCTTATGTCTCGGTCTGCAGCTGATGAGATATTCGGAAGAAGCTTCGGCTGCGAACGTCTGGCCTTGGTGCTATTGTTACGACTGTGACGTTGTCTCCAATGCTCGCGCATCGCATGGCTTCGTGCATTTGATTGACTTGTCTCCGTAACAAAAGCAAATCTCGGGCGATTATCCTCTGGTGAGGTCTTTCGGGGTGCTTGAGACCCACTGGAGTCATTACCCGACGACATAGCACCTAATCTGGGTAAACCGACTGATGATAGTGTGCCGAAAGCAAGAACAGGATAGCCGAAGGAACGGAAATTGTTGTCCGCGCAAGGGTCAGCATCCTCCGAAAAAGAGTCGTGTTCGTAGCCGCAACGGCACACCGCTACTCGGCCCGACAGATTTCTCGAATGTTAATTGCCATTTGATCTATCCCGGAGCAAATTCTGTCCCCGTTAACAGATGCATAGAGTAGAGTGTGGTTGTCAGAAAAGTGGGCGGGGCCGAGGTGTAGACAAGCAGACATGTCGTTGGCGGCTGGCCCCACTTGTTGGCAGCAGCAGGATCTCATTGCTAAGGATTTCCCAATCTGGTAGTACTATTGGTCCAATCACCATGCACCTTGCCACAAGAGCCTACTTTCCAAAAAGCTCTACAAGCCTCTGACATACTAAAGGCTGATGTTTAGCACTGGTAATATTAGTATTGATAGGTACTCGGTCATGCTACGCCGCTGAATTGGCCATTGTGGGTCTATGATCTATTCTTCCGAGTAGGCTGATGTTGAAGACATGAAGCGGTACTAATCATAGTTGTGAAGTCTGAACAATAGGTGTTTTCAGAAGTGGGGAAAGTCCAGATAAATGCTGGACGGTGAGTGTAGCACAGATAATATCCGAGGTATGCTCTACTGTACCTCGGATCAGGAATGAGAGCAAGGTATGATGACGGTGAACCACTGGTTAAGTCAGCTATTGGATTCAACAAGCGGGCCTTCAATAAATGAGCCATCTGATATCACACCGTGTGTGACCAATCAACCCGCAGTCCACTCCATTTAGCCCAAGATCACGGAATCTACTGGTGATCGGTTATCCAGCATAGAATACGAACCATAAGGAATGATTCACAAAATTTGTAAAACACATGTCAGATATATTATTTGAAAGAAGGGGATTAGTGAATCAACGGCCTCCCCTCATCATTAAATTGACTTCTGCCTTAAATTACCTGATTTGTTATGTTTTAAGGTACCAAGGTGATCATGTCGAAACAATTGATCATTAAGTCTCCCTTCCTGGAGCCCTTCTCTCACCGCTCTCACCGCTTTCCAAGGCCTGTCACCAAGATAACTTCTTAACCAACTCTCTCACCACCAATTAAGATGGTCGTGGTTGCCTTGTGTGTCTTGTGTTCGTGCATGGATCAACAGGAGGATGCCAAGGGTACGCCGAAGTGTAGTCAGGGTAGCCGTGGGCGTGGTCAAGCGCCGTAGGCAGAGGATTTGATGGAGGATACGGCCAGCGAGGATATCCAGACCAACTAATCAGAGGGCACGAAGGAATAAGTATAGAACGAAGGGGGAAAACCTGTTGTTATCAATACTAGGTCATGGCTTTGATACTACCGGAGTTTCAAAAGGGTAGACTAGTCAGTCAACGAGAGCTGCAAGGCTCAGGTTGGCAGAACGCTTGGCAGAAAAAAGGTGGTTGCCTTGATACCTGAACACCTGATAAACCAGGCATTCAAAGGCAGAGACGGTCTGAATATGATCAGGGGAGTCAATCTAGTAAACTCCTTAATGAACCGACTTGGCTTGCTGATTTTTACAGAAGGGAACATTGGCTACTAACTTGGACTTTACAGTATGATCACAGACTTGGTCTCTACCAACAAGGATGTCTAATATGGGAAACTTCGCAGTGCACCACTACTATAAAGAGAACTCTACGCGGGCCAACCAGACCCGGATGGGCGCAGGTCCGCCCCGCCACCCCACCTAAAATTCATGATAAGATCTACTCCAAAAAAAAGTATCGTGGGCTGCCTTTTCCACACTACACTTTGCATTCCGACCCTCTTACCTCTACCCTTCTCCCTTCCTCCTCACCCATGTCCCCCTCCGCTACTACCGAGGCCAACGGGGCCGACAACACCGTTCTCACCCTCCGCAAGGTCCTCACCAACGAGTCCGAGCCTCTCGCTCGCCGCTTCCGCGCTCTTTTCTCCCTCAAGCATCTCGCCTGCCTCCAGCCCACAACCGAACAGACTCTCCCCGCTATCCAGGCGATTGCTGCCGCCTTCGCGTCGCAGTCGGCCCTCCTCAAGCACGAGCTTGCATACTGCCTGGGCCAGACCAGGAACCGTGACTCTGTCCCTTATTTGCAGCAGGTCGTGAAGGATGTTGATGAGGATGCGATGTGCCGCCACGAGGCCGCGGAGGCTCTTGGTGCCCTTGGATACGCCGAGAGCTTGGATATCTTGAAGAAGTTACGCGATGATGAGAGTGAGGTGGAGATTGTTCGGGAGACTTGCGATATTGCGGTCGATCGCATTGTCTGGGAGAACTCCGAGCAGAGGAAGGCTGAGAAATTGAAGCCCAGGTATGCATCACGAAGCACCCAATGTTATTTGAAAAACGAGATCCAATTCATGTCGCAATCTCAGAAAAGGCTAACTTTGTTCACGACACAGCGACTTTACATCTATCGATCCTGCCCCGCCTATGCCTCTGGAGGCCAATGAGCCCTCAATTCCGGATCTTGAAAAGACACTACTCGACACTAAGCTTCCTCTCTTCCAAAGATATCGCGCTATGTTCGGCCTGCGGGACCTTGCCTCCCCTCCTGATCTCCCCACTGCCGTCGATGCCGTGAATGCGCTTGCCAAAGGCCTCAAGGACCCTTCTGCTCTGTTCCGTCACGAAGTTGCTTTCGTCTTCGGTCAACTCTGTCACCCAGCCTCGATCCCCTGCCTCACGGAGTGCCTTGGTGACCTGAAGGAGGTCGGTATGGTGCGCCACGAGGCGGCCGAGGCTCTGGGCAGTCTGGGTGACGAGGAGGGCGTTGAGGACACTTTGAAGCGTTTCCTCAACGACCCCGAGCAGGTGGTGCGCGACAGTGTTATTGTGGCTCTTGACATGGCAGAATTCGAGAAGAACGGTGAGATTGAGTATGCGCTCATTCCGGAGGGGGCCGCTACCGCTGTCTCAGCGGCATGATGGATCTCTGAACGAAAAATGAAAAATAAAAAATGTCGTGACGTCGTTATTTTGATACTCTCTCTCCCGCTTTGTTATACAGCCAACACATAGAACTTTTTCCCTTTTTGTACAGCCCTCTTTTTTCCATTCTCAGTTGTTCGATGTTTCCCTAGAGAGCAAAATCAGTATCAGGTAAGATGAGGTATGCAATATGGAGCTTCCATAGTGAGAAGACATACTTGTAACCGCAGACACAGCGATAGAACACAGTACTACCCTCATCAGCACTGCGTAGCTGGACAGTTGTGAAGAACATCTCCTTTCTTCCACACTTGTTGCAGGTGTGATTCGTGACAGCCTCGGTCTTGCGATCTTCGGCAGACAAAGTCTGGACCGCAGAGCGCTTGGATCTCAAGGAGGAGGGAAAGGCCGAGGGCTTGGATTCGGAGACGATAGTTTGCGGAATGATGTCTGAAGAAATGTCAGAATATCATGTCCTTCGAATAAAGCTATTAATTCAAGCCCTGTTCGGCTCACATACCCTTGTTCCGCGCTCCGCAAACATTGCAGTGCAGGATGGCATTTTCGTCTCCGGTAGACTCGCGCAGCAGGTTGCCGCAATCCGTGCAGAAAATCAAGGATCCAATAGCCGACATTTGAGAGTTTGATATTAAAGCGTAGGGTCAATTTTCGAGTCCTGTCAATCTTTAAAAAGGCAGCAATAGAGATCAATGGGAAGTCGAAGTTGCGGCATGGGACTTTTTTTGACCGCACGGGCCACTCCGATACCACCTCTGGCGGTGAGACGCGGCAGTAATACGCCCCGATGAAATGATGAACGAATGTATGGCCATCGTGAGCTTTCCCGGGTCCGATTTCCATTCATCGAACCCGGCCGTGTACGATAAGAGTGTCGAGAAGCATGCCATAGATGCTCAAATCCTCTGTCATGACTCTGCCGCGAGCAGGTCCTCCTCCGTTTGATTAGCGCCTTCCTTTTCGACTCCGCAACTGCCAACATGGATCTCAATGGACGCCCAGCGGTGCAGGTCGTCATTAACGGCCATCCTCAGGCGCAGCAGGCGTATGGTCCGACCATGGCATTCCAGGACCAGAATAGGTCTCAGTCCAGACCTTTATCCGTGGATGAGGCGCTTCAGTACTCGTCCATGTCGAGCGCTCCTGTCTTTGGACTTGGTCCGTCTATCTACGAATTATCCCCCGAATCCCGCGACTTTGAGGTTATCTAACTCGTTCGAGTAATTCAGACTGCGTGATTCGCCCTGACGTCGGCCGTCCGTCCAATATTACCTCTATCAATCACGTCCTCCAAGCGGGTCGCAATACTCTGAGTGAGCTGGATGCCGAGATACAGACCGGCCTAGACGAGTCAAGTCGGCTGGAGACGTCCCGTGAATACCTACAGCAATTGCTGGATGGGGATCAACTGACTGAATTGTATGTCACATTCTCCTCTTTTACTCTCATTGTTACTGACAGACCTCCATCGGCAGCAAATTCAAGATCCCTCCTACTTTCAGCCGCAGTCAACCCTCACAGTCGATCACCACAGATGGCCCTTCCTCTTGTCGCACTCAACTCGGCTCCTTTGCGAGAATGATCTTGGAATCTACAGATATCGCCTTCAGATGTGAGACCGAAATGAAAGCACATGCATATTGTTTTGAGCTTCTGCTAACGATCGCATCTTAGATCCTGCGACCTCACCCCCCAAGGTCAAACCCGAAAAGAAGGAAACCGTACCGAAATCAGCAACATCTCGGAATCAGCAGTCATACGTTACCAGCAGCACCAACTCCACTTCATTTGACAAGTCGCACCAGCCCTCAAGTCAAGTCTCCGTGGTCATCCCAATGAAGTCTTCACCTACGAAACAGACGAAGCCGAAGCCAAAGATCAATCATGAGGATGAGCTCACGGCGAGGCGATTAAGGGACCAAAAAGCGGAAGCAGACGACGCTCTTTTGAAGCTGCAAGATGTGCTTCATGAAGTCTTCGAGGCGGAGGATCAGATCGAGCCGGACACCTCAATTGCCCCGACTGCGGACCGGCCAAGCCCAATGTTTGTGAATCCAAAGTCATTAGAGATTCACGGTATGGTACTGTCTTCCGATGCACACACCCGCCTACAAAAGGCCATTCGGAAGGTCTCTGGATTTGACCGACTCCAGGATATCCCCTCCGAATATTTAAAAAGGATTCAGAAACTCTGCGAAAAGCCAATTCTTGCTGCCCAGTCTGCATCACTCACTTTGCATGATCCACTCAATGAAGCAGAGACTCAGGAATGGCTGGGTAAAGTCGAGGATGTTTTGAATGCTCTGCTTGCTATCGGAACTCTTCTGCAGACAATGTCTGGGCGTCAGACGGAGCGAGATCTATGTCCTGAAGATCTTATTGAGGCCATCCCGCCCGTTATCGAGCAAGTTTTTGACCATTGCATCATTCCTGCTGTAGAATCACGACCAGGTGGCAAGGATGCTGAGCATTTTCAGTTCTTTTCCGGCCAGCGACGCATTGTTGCAAGCCTGATTCACCAAAGCAAAAAGGCATTGACTCTTTTCGCGGACTTCCTATCTCGAATTGAGGTGCCAGAAAGTCCTATCAACTCCGCTCTCTTCTTTGCGGCCAAGTTGATCTTCGTTGAAAATGCGCACAATGAGAAAGACTCTGCTGTTGGATCATCCAAATTCGAACCAGCAAGACGTGGAGCAATGGACGTACTTGCCAAAATCTTCTCTAGATACCCTGCACAGCGTTCCTATATCTTGAATCAGATTCTGGGTTCTCTGGAAAAGCTACCTTCCACCCGTCAAAGTGCCAGACAATTCAAACTGGCCGACGGGAAGAACATTCAACTTCTCACCGCACTGGTCCTTCAACTTGTGCAGACGACCGCGTTGGAAACGCCCTCACGCTCCAAGACCAAACGTCGACTGCAGGCTTCAACGGACGACGACGATGATGAGGTAATGGGTAACGGTGACGACGTGAACCCCGATGACGACGATGACGAGCTAGATGAGTCTCTGGAGCGCCTGGCCGCTAAAGTCAACAGACTATACGATAACGCCATTCGAAGTGCACAATACATTGTGACTTTTATAGTCCAGCGTGCAATGAACGCCACCAAAAGTGGTGATCAACCTTTCCGAAATATTCTCGATCTCTTCACTGAAGATTTGATCAACGTGCTTGGGTCCACTGATTGGCCTGCATCGGAGCTACTTCTCCGAATCATGGCATCACACATGGTCGGCATCGCAGATCTCGACAAAAGTTCGGCTCAGGCGAAAAGTATGGCCCTCGAGCTATTAGGATGGATGGGTTCTGCGATTTCGGATCTGATCGCAACCGCTCAACACATGCTTCCAGCCTTGGAGGATGCCGATGGCGAGCTTACCGATTCCCTCAAGCAGCAATTTGAAGATTTCTCGTGCCGCGCGCTCCACCCACAAGATTTGGTCGCGCCGAATGGTCCCTACCGCATGGCTCTCGAGTATTTGTCGCAAGATACCAGCTCAGATAGCTCTCAACTGACCAGCACGCGGGGCTTCTACCTGGCCGCGTGGGCGAAGGTTGTCTGTAACCTTTACTACAACTCCGAGGACAAAGAGGAAGTGCCGGAAGACGGTATGACCAACGAGCTGGTAGTTCTGTTGTCCCGGTCTTTCTCTGATCCCCGCTGGTTGGAGACCCACAAAAAATTTAACTCTATTGCCAATATCCATGGAAAGTTCGCCTATATCCTGACGGTCTTGAATTCGGGCTTCGGAAAGGCCTTTGACACCATTCTCAAGGTCCTCCTCCATTCGATTGCCAGCGACCAAGCCAAGGTCCGCAGCCGAAGTTTGAAGAGTGTCATTGAAATGCTTGAGAAGGACCCCAATCTTCTTGACCGTGACGCTTCGGTTATGCGTCTGATCCTCCGTTGCACTACGGACGCTTCTCCTATGGTTCGCGACTCTGCCTTGTCCTTGATTGCAAAGTGCATTGGCCTACGACCAAAGCTGGAAGAGCAAGGGTGCCGCAGTATTCTCGCCTGCACTGGTGATCCCACTGCTGGTGTTCGCAAGCGCTGTATTGGTCTGTTGAAGGAACTTTACCACAAGACCTCTCGACAGGAGCTGAAATTGGCCATACTCGACAGCTTCCTGCAACGAACTGGCGATCACGAGGAAAGCGTCGCAACCCTGGCTCGTCAGACTTTCGAGGAAATCTGGCTCATACCTTTCCACGAGTCGATCAATTCCGTTTCCGATGGTCCGAAGCTCAAAATGGCACTTGGAGAGCAGGTTGGATTGATCGTCAGCCTGGTGGAGCGGAGCGATAACACTCTTGACTCTCTAGGCATCTGTATGAGAGCGGTCCTTTCCGATAAGTCCAAGTCTGCCAGCCTGAACTTCAAAGTCTGCAAGTCAATGGTAGCCATCATGTTTCAGAGACTTGTAGAAGATGCAGATGCCTCGCCTCAGGAGTTCAAGCAAGCCTTGCTCCAGACTATCACCGTCTTTGCCAAGGCCAATGCGAAGTTGTTCAGCCCGGATCAGTTGGAAGCCTTGCATCCGTATATTGGCAACCTTGCTAATGCAGATGATCTGTTCTTGTTCCGATCGGTGGTCGTGATTTACAGATGTGTATTGCCATACCTATCCTCCTCCCATAACAAGCTGCTCAAGGATGTCCAGAACGACCTCTTTAAGAGTGTTGCCAAACTGGGTCGTCCCGAGTTGAATGAGGTCATGGCTTGTCTGTGGACCATTAATGGTGTCTTGCAGAATACAGACAGACTCGTGAAGCTCACCCTGTCCGTTCTCAAGCCACTGCAGCAGTACAAAAGCGTCGACTTGTCGTCCCCAGACAACGCCAAAATATCAGCACGCGCGAAGAGTTATCTCAGAATCGCAGGCTGCGTGGGACGGCACTGCGATCTTGAGAAGTACATTCCTCATTTCAAGAATTCCTTCCCTACATGGAGTAGCGGGTCCGGCGGCTCCGTTGCTGCCCTTATGGTTGACTGCATTCTTCCATTCACTGATTTCAACCAGCCTACTGAGCTTCGGGTTACCGCTCTTGAGAGCGTGGGTTCCATCTGTCAGTCCTGGCCGGCTCAGTTTGGTCGTGAGCCTACACGAAAGATGTTCTCCCAGGTGTTCAAGGAAGATGCTCCTGGCTTGCAGCACATTGTGCTCCGATCTTTTGCAGATTTCTTCTTTATCCATGAGGGCAAATCCGAAAAAGGAGTTGTACCTACCGCCGAGGCTGCTACCCAGGAGGATTCCACCCGACTCGGAGGGTCCTTGAGAGCTAGTGACAACGATGGCGCTGCTGCGTTGATCGCTCAACACTTCCTGAAGAACATGCTGAAGGTCGCACAATCACGACAAGATGCTTATGCGCTGACTGCCATTGAGCTCATTGCCAGCATCAACCGCCAAGGATTAGTGCATCCCAAGGAATGTGCTGGAGTCCTTGTCTCGCTGGAGACATCGAGTGATCCAAAAATTGCCAAGGTCGCTTTTGACACGCACAAGATGATCCACCAGCAATTTGAATCCATGTTTGAGCGAGAGTACATGCGGGCTATTCAAGAAGCATTCTACTACCAGCGGGACGTGGTTGGCGATTCGAATGGTGCGACTCCTCGGCCTTATGTTGCCAAGCTCGCTCCTCTTTTTGAAATTGTCAAGATCAGCAACAGTCGTTACCAAAAGAAATTCCTGTCGAATCTCTGCTCAAAGGCGGACTTTGAGTTAAAAACGCTGGATGCCTCCGGTGACCCTCCAGAACATCTCCTCATGGCCCGCTTTATCTCTCAGAATTTGGCGTATTTCGATTATGCCCAGTTGGCAGAACTGCTTCCCACCATTGCATGCCTTGAGCGTATTGTCTCATCCACCGGCACTGTTGTTGCCCATGCAATCGAAACTGATCTATTCCCAAGCCCGATCGGTCCACCTATGATCGAAACCCCAGCTGGTATGATGACCCTTGGCCCTGATGTGCCAATGCCGATGCCGATGCCTGCAACCGTCTCGCAGCCAGTGAACCCCGCTACTCTGCGACTCTTGACCACAGCTGCTGCATCACTTTCGATGCTCTGGGAAGCGCGGACCCATCTGCGCCGTCTTTATGGACTCAACTCACACCACAAGGACAAGGACGGCAATGGCAAGCAGAGCGCCAAAGAACTCAACAAAACGGCGTCCAAAGTTCACGGTGTGACCGGTGAAAAGTTCTGGGAAGCCGTTATCAGAAACATGGCATCGCTCGACAGCGAAGAAGCCATGATCATCAAGTGTCGAGAATTCTCGACCTTGCTGGCCATTGACGAGGAGTTCAAGGTCGACCGTGGGAACGATGGAGAAGGCGATAGCCTAGATGCATTCGGGGATGGCGATGACATGTCTGGCTTCGGTGGATCTCGTCCGATGAAGCGCAAAAGCTCTGTTTCCAGCACCGGTCTCAACAAGCGACCCAAGGCCCACAAAAGCTCCGTGGGTAGGAAGCCATCTAGTGCCGAGCCCGACGACGGCTGGGACTAAGGAATCACTGAAGATTTGTCTCTATCTTTTTTTCAATATTGCATATCAGGCGAGGGCCGGCGTTTACGTTGAGAATTTACTTTCTGGACTCGTGGGTATTTTCTGGGAAAGGCTTCTCTTACTATACCAAGACCGGGGGCGGGTGATATACATAGCTTATTTTGTCTTCCTTTTGATGCATGCTTTGGCGCGAGCGGAGGGTTCATTTGCTTCATCAGAGTTGCCAGAGCTACTACTCCATAGTAACTAACGACTCGTTGATTCAAATTTTCATTAGTACATAATAGAAAATACTTTTCACTCCAGTCATCTGTGCTAATCATTACCTCACTTCTTACTGTACGGAGTGCACTAGTTACATACAGTATGTACTTCCTGCCAAGTCCAGTCTTGTTTCACCGACTCCACTTTCCGCAGGGCGTGCCGATTCCCGGCCCCACGTGACTTCTACATGACGTCGACCGATCGAGCTGGTATGCAGATGTTGCTGGCGCAAGTTCCTTCTCTCATTCTCTTCCAATTACTTCCTTTCGTTACGAGAGAGACGTTTGAGGTCGTTTCTTCTTGCATATTTGCCCGCATGCTCAGTCCTGCGTGATTCGAGCCCGTACATAGCTTATCTCCACTCCCTTTGCCTTTCCTGCGGGCTGCACTCGCTCACGATGCGCGCGGCGGTACTCCGGAGTCGTCCGGACGGCCCTGCGCTGAGGTCAATTGGATCTTTGGCGACTGGTTTCAAAGCTTCAAAGACTGCTTTGGCTGCCAGTTTCCCTATCACCCGCTCGCTGAACACTTCCTCCCGCCGACCTCTACCCCAGCGTCCCTACGGCCCGACTCCCAATGTATCGATCCCGATCCGGTTCCAGTCTGATAAGGCAGCTGCAAAGGTTACCGTCAAGCAGCGGCCAAAGGTTCTAGCAGCGCTCTACAAGTCGTTTGCCTTCTGTGGTTTCTTTGTTATCGGTACCGGTGTCGTGGTCCTCGCCTTCTTCCTCTACGATGCTAGTACATACCGCGAGACCCCGACCGCGGAGGATATCCCTGTCTCTGAATTGGCACTCAACCCACGCCGGGGTGGACCCAAGAATTTGCCGATTGCGGATGTTCTTGTTGGCGACTACGATTCGGAATCTATGATTGAGCAGAAGGATAAGCCTCGTCTGGTTATCCTGGGTACCGGTTGGGGCAGCATTGCCTTGCTCAAGAATCTGAACCCGGGTGACTACCACGTTACCGTTGTTTCTCCGACTAATTACTTCCTGTTTACTCCCATGTTACCCTCCGCCACGGTGGGAACGCTTGGTCTTCGGTCTCTGGTTGAACCTGTGCGACGTATCATTGATCGTGTCCATGGGCATTTCTTGAAGGCTTCTGCGACGGATGTTGACTTCTCGCACAAGTTGGTTGAGGTCTCTCAGGTTGATCAGGATGGAAATACGAAGAACTTCTATCTGCCTTACGATAAGCTTGTTATCGGTGTCGGTATGTTTAACCACTTCCGCAAAAATCAGCTGTGGCTAAGACTTGCGCGGACTACCCTACTAATCTGATATCTTATCAGGCTGCGTGACAAACCCGCACGGTGTCAAGGGTCTCGAGAACTGCAACTTCCTGAAGACTATTGACGATGCTCGCCGAATCAAGAACAAGGTGCTGGATAATATGGAACAGGCTTGTCTGCCGACTACTACCGACGACGAGCGCCGCCGTCTGCTGTCTTTCGTTGTCTGTGGCGGTGGTCCTACTGGTGTCGAATTCGCTGCTGAGTTGTTCGATCTTCTCAACGAGGACTTGCTCCATTCTTTCCCTCGCATCGTGCGCAACGAAATTTCCGTCCACATCATCCAGAGCCGGTCTCATATTCTGAACACTTATGACGAAGCACTTTCCAAATACGCCGAGGTACGCGACCATTCTGACTAACTGTGATGCTTGTTGATGCTAATGGATAATAGGGCCGTTTCTCCCGTGACGGTGTTGAAGTCTTGACAAATGCTCGAGTGAAGGAGGTCCAGAAGGATCGCGTTCTCTTCTCTCAGGTTGAAGATGGAAAGACCGTCGTCAAGGAAATTCCTACCGGATTCTGCCTTTGGTCTACCGGAGTTTGTGAGTTTTTTTCCCTACCTCCTGCAGCTTGTCAAACTAATTCTAACTTCCTTAGCTCGTGCCGAGATTTGCGAGACCCTCTCCAACCGTCTTGAAGGACAAAACAATAAACACGCCTTGGAAACTGACTCCCACCTCCGGGTAATTGGTGCTCCTCTGGGTGACGTCTACGCCATTGGTGATTGTTCCACGGTCCAGAACAACGTCGCAGAGAATGTCATCAAGTTCCTGCGCACCATCGCCTGGGAGAAGGGCCGTGACCCCGAGAAAGTACACCTGAATTTCGCCGAATGGCGTGACGTTGCCAACCGCGTGAAGAAGCGCTTCCCTCAAGCCTCGAACCATCTCCGCCGTGTGGATCGCCTTTTCGAGCAGTACGATGTCGACCACTCCGGCACCCTCGACTACGGCGAGCTCTCTGAGCTCCTGCACCAGATCGATACCAAGCTCACCTCTTTGCCTGCAACTGCCCAGCGTGCGAACCAGCAGGGTGTTTACCTGGGCCGCAAGCTGACCAAGATTGCATCCTCCCTCCCTGGTCTTAAGGCTAACGAGATTGACTACGGTGACCTGGACGAGGCTGTCTACAAGGCGTTTAAGTACCAGCACCTCGGTAGTCTGGCATATATCAGCAACGCTGCTATTTTCGACTTTGGTGGTATGAGCTTCAGTGGTGGTGTTGTTGCCATGTATCTCTGGCGCAGTATTTACTTTGCGCAGAGTGTCAGCTTCCGTACGCGGTGTATGCTGGCGATGGATTGGGCGAAGCGCGCTCTCTTCGGAAGAGGTATGTTCATTCTTTCTCCATTTGACTTCAACAACATCAGTCTTACTAATCTTGTCATTCAGATCTTATGAGCTTCTAAGCATATCCCACACATTTCTTTATCCCACTCATCCTACACAATTGCGATGAGTATGCTTGGCTGTCTTTTCTGATGCTACGCTGGTTCGGCATGAGATAACCATAGATCATCGTTTGCTCTATTGAGCCAGCTTAGAGCTGGAGTTTGAGGCTTTCTTTGTCATCTCGATCGTCATTGTGATCTGATCTGAAGAACTATGATTTGATTAGCTATTCTCTTTGTATGGGCCCGGTTGGCCAAGGACACTTTCTTATTTCTATTCTGCTTTCTGTTCTTTTTTGGCCCGTGTCGGATTTTCCTTGGATTTTATGAACTTTTGAACATGGCTGCATACATTTGGTTTCTATAGCCTGACTTGTATATATATTTTGGCTTAGGTGCCTAGATTGGGGCTGATGTGCCTTTGACCTGTATTGACAACGCTCGCAGTCGTGTTCGTCGAATACGTGGTAGATGCGAGCAATCTACCTAAACGAATCATAGTGGCTACAGTACTTGAATCTCTGCAAAGGAATAGATAGATACGTGAGAAGAGGGTTGTAAATGTGAAGAAATGTATTTGTATTGAGTTGACCTCGATCCCGAGGTACCCGGCCCTGAGTGGGTAGCCATAACGCCAAACAGACCAGACAAGCCTCAGAAGCGCCTCGCTAAAAAAGGACCCAGAAAAAGCAGAAAAAAAAGCAGTGACCCAACAGGAGCGCTAGGAGAAAAGTTTGCAGGAGGAACTCTTCACTGCGATGTGCAGGCCTCACGCAACCATGGTATCGACATCGCCGTTATTGGCCATCACAGTGTCGCCGGAACCATTTTGGCTACTCCCATTGTTGGCCGCATCGTTACTGTTACGGGACTGGTTATTATCGTTGTCGCCGAGCAGGCCAATGTCCAGCTTATCCGGGATATCCTTCTTGGCGTCTCGGGCCTTGTGTTCGGCAAAAGCGCGAAGCTTGACGAGATTGCGCAGACGCGCTTCTTTACGAGAGCCCTGGTTTTGAAGGATGGCCTCGTTGACTCGCTGCGCGATGTCTTTACGGAGGCTGGGATCTAGAAGGGAAGCCAGGGATGGGGAGAGGTTGTCGGTGGGGAATATCAGTAGAGCAAGCGTCCGCTCCAAGTCCTCAAGGAACTGTGGGTTTGTCGGAGCGCGGGGTGCTAGCTGGGTTGTTGCGAACTCCAGAGCAGGACTAATGTCGCCATCTGGAGTGGAGGTGCAAGTACGGATTAGTTCTACCAGTTGCAAGCGCAGGAGGGCAAAATGCAATGCCGGGTTTTCATCAAGGATCTGGTCAATCTGGTTAGCTGATGCGCTTGAAATGCGTGTAATGTGTGCAAAGCAGATTGAAGGCAATGGTTGTTGTTCATACTGAGGACTGAAGATGTTTGACTATCCGCAACTCCCCGAAGGGTGTAATAGGAGTGGTGCATGAAACTTTGAATAATCATAACAACAGGGGGAGTGGAGGTGGGAAAAATTATGTGTGGGACAGATTCTTACCTGAGGATTCAGCTCATTGATCTTCTCAATGGCTGCCCGGATGTTGCCCGAGTGGATGAAGGTCCGAATCTCAACACGTTCCTGAATCGACTCCAGATCGGTCCGCAGTTGGATATTGGCCTCGACTGCAAATTTACTCGCAGCGGCAGGGTAGCCATTGGTGATGAGGTAGTCCATGACCAGATAATTGATGTCACTAGAGCTTGGTATTAGCAACTGTGCCAGATAACCAAGTCAAGTTGATAGGCAGAACAAATATGTGACGAAGGGGTCAGGTGAACAAGTCAATGTGTTTCTCCTCATTTAATTTCAGAGAGATTCCCAACTTGAGTTTAAGATCATCATTGTCACGGCAAGGTCGCGGTGGGAGGGGGAAAGAAATGGAAAGGGATGGGTGGGAGGAAGGAGGACGGCGACTCACGTTTTGGACGGCTTGACCTCGTCGACCTTCCGCTCAAACTGGTGCCATGTTGGCGTCGCAGTTGAGGGGGTACGAGACATCTGTGCAGTGTTAAAAACCCCCCAGCATCTCACATGTCAACACGCCGAGCAGCATACAAGATTAGCGGAGGACATTGTGTAGTTGTACACTACCAGCGTGTGGTAGGAATTGCAGGAAAATCAGCTATGTGACAAGCTGAAGGGCGGCCCGAGAGACGACAGCCATGGAGGAAAGGCAGAACGCTTGGTGGGAGAAAAAGCCCTGGAGAAGAGAAGTGAGAAGAAAAGAGGAAGTTGGGAAACGCGGAAGAAAGAAAATGACTTCAGTGATTATGTCAGCCACAAGCGAAACCCGGGTCACGCGCTAAGCCCAATTGATCGCAAATGAGACGAGTTCAGCAAAACCGCTAGATAACGACCGCCATACCCGGGTCAAGTCCGAAGGTCCATTTCCCGAGAATCTGTGTCCGGGTGCCATGGTGTGAGGCTCCTCTGAAGGTGAACATGGAGTCGACATCGCCATTCTATTCCCTTATCCCGGAGGTCAAGTACTCTCCGCCATGGCAGGACTTGAGCATCATTGGCATTGCTGGGAGCTCCGGCTCCGGCAAAACTTCAGTTGCGATGGAGATTGTCAAGTCGCTGAATCTGCCTTGGGTGGTTATTCTGGTCATGGTATGCATATCAAAAGATATTCTGATCATAAAGGAAGCTTCTAACATCTAAACGTCACCAGGATTCGTTTTACAAGACCTTGACTCCCGAGGAACATAGCAAGGCTCATGCCAATGAATATGACTTTGACTGCCCAGAGTCAATTGATTTTGACCTTTTGGTAGAGACTCTCGAGGATCTGAAGCAAGGGTATCTTATTCATTCGTTCATCTTCATGTTTGACCGTCTCTAACCGGGAATGTGCTTAAAGCAAGAAGGCGCATATTCCGGTCTATTCGTTTGCCGATCACCAGCGGCAAACCCAAACTACCACGCTTTATTCCCCTCGAGTGCTCATTCTCGAGGGAATTTTGGCTCTCCACGATCCTAGAATTTTGAAGCTACTCGATGTTAAGGTATAGTAGTTTACACCTACTGTGAGGCTTGGCCATTCCAGCTGATAATCCGTTTTAGATCTTCGTAGAGGCTGACATGGATGTCTGCTTGGGACGCAGAGGTTGGAGACTGCCATTTCTTCTTGTACAAGGGTTTGTGACTGACGCCTGGCTATATTGTAGTCCTCCGTGACGTTCGCGAACGAGGTCGAGACATCGAGGGCATTATCAAGCAATGGTTCACCTTTGTGAAGCCCTCTTACACCAGATATGTCGAACCTCAGCGACAGATATCCGGTACTTTCTCAGCCCCCGTCTCTTTTTAGCTGCATGTGACCTAACTCTCCTCAGACATCATCATTCCTCGTGGTATTGAAAATACCACCGCTATTGGTAAGCTCTCCAATTTGAAATTCTACAGCCGGCCCCGCAGATTCTAATCCTTTTTAGACATGGTCGTGAAGCACATCCAGCGCAAGCTGCAGGATAAGTCAGAGAAACATACGGAGGCTCTCCGGAAGCTTGGTCTGTTGGTGGCCAAGGTTGAACTGCCGGCCAACGTGCATGTTATGCCCCCGACGCCGCAATTCGTAGGAATGAACACCGTTCTGCAAGACCCAGCGACGCAACATGTTGATTTTGTGTTCTACTTTGATCGACTTGCCTCGATCCTCATTGAGAAGTCCGTCCCTATTCCCTCCCACTTGACGCCAATCATGATCGCTGACCTTGGATGATCCCACAGAGGCCTGGATATGACAACATACATTCAGACCACGGTGGAAACGCCACAAGGTAACAAGTACATGGGCCTGAACCCGAAGGGCGCTGTATCTGCAGTTGCCATCTTACGTGGAGGTTCTTGCTTGGAAACTGCCTTGAAGCGGACCATCCCAGATTGTATCACTGGTCGTCTTCTGATCCAGACTGATGAAAGCAGTAGCGAGCCAGAACTGCATTACCTTAAGCTTCCTCCCCAGCTCGAGGAGCATTCCATGGTCATGCTCTTGGATCCGCAGATGGCAAGTGGAGGAGCTGCCCTGATGGCCGTCCGTGTCTTGATTGACCACGGTGTGCAGGAAGAAAAGATTGTTTTCGTCACTTGTGCTGCCGGTGAAACCGGTATCAAACGACTCGTTGCAGTCTTCCCCAAGATCAATGTCATTGTTGGTCGTATTGAGGCGGATGGGGAGCCACGCTGGATAGAGAAGCGTTACTTCGGATGCTAGACTGTCATGCCGGGCTCTGTCATCTCATATTACTCCATCCATGGTAAATACGGATGTTGCTCTAGTCAATGAAGTATATACGTTTTGTGGCCTTCTAGATTTCCAATGTGGGGCTGAGAATGATTTCCTGGCAATAAGTAAAAGGCCAGTCGTAAGGGTTGCACTTTCATTAAGCTGCCTGCTATTCTGAATAATAGTAAGCCATATTCAATCAAGTCAGTGAATGATGAGCTGAAAGCAATTCCCGGACCTTAATGTTAGTTACCTGGGCATGTTATCTAAAGCATTAGCTAATCAAATGAGGCTCGACCGATAACTAGTTACCTGCCAATTTTTTGGGACAAAACTCACGTGCAACAACACCGCCCATCGAAATACCGGCAGAAAACAGAAATTTGTCCGCATTTTACGCCGGACAGCTCATTTCTTCTATGTAACAATCGCCCTCCAGATTTTTGTCAGCTGACTGCATCTTGTCAATCAAACGACTGATTGCGTTGTATTGCACAGCTTTATTTCACAATGGCTGGCCAGGACAAGAAGAAGTCCAAGAAGGCCGGAGCCAGAGGCGAAGCTGGCCCGGTGATCAGTACGTGCTGCTCTAATGGAACAAGAGAAATCAAAAAGGCGCAATGATCACTAACTGAACATTTTATAGCTGATCCCCGTTTCGCTAATATTCAGACCGATCCTCGCTATCGCCTGCCGAGCAAGCGCCACACTCATGTCAAACTCGACAACCGCTTTGCGCACATGCTCGATGACAAGGACTTCTCCCGCAATGCTGCCGTTGATCGATATGGTCGCAGACTGGCAAAGGATGATACCAAGAAACAGCTCAAGAAGTTCTATCGTCTGGAAGACGACGATGAAGACGAGGAGGATGAGGCGGATGTGAGCGCTGATGACGATGACGAGGTGCAAAAAGAGTTGAAGCGCGTGGAAGAACGTTCATACGACCCTGCTAGAGATGGCGGCTTCACAGACTCATCATCTGATGAAAGCTCTAGTGATGAGGAGGAGGAAGACGAAGTCGAGAATGAGGATGACGAAGTTGAGTTCCCAGACAAGCAGCAAGCCAATGTGCCGCTCGGAGAGGTCACGACCCGCATCGCAGTCGTCAATTTGGATTGGGACAATATTCGGGCCGAGGATTTGATGGCCTGTTTTTCCAGTTTCCTACCAGCCGGTGGTCGTGTCCAGAATGTTACTGTCTACCCCAGTGAATTCGGAAAAGAGCGCATGGAGAAGGAAGAGATTGAGGGTCCCCCCAGAGAGATTTTTGCCTCTGCCAACGGGGGTGCTGCCGACGAGGACGAGGACGAGGAACTTGATTCCGAGGAAGAAGAGGAGGAGATCAAGAAGTCTCTGCTCAAGGCCGACACCGGCGAAGAATTCAACTCTACGAAACTGCGGCAATACCAGCTGGAGCGATTGCGCTACTTCTACGCTATCCTTACTTTCTCAAATAAGGAATGTGCCAAGCATGTCTATGACCTTGTGGATGGCGCCGAGTACCTTTCCAGCGCCAACTTTTTCGACCTCCGCTTCGTTCCTGATGATACCGATTTCTCCGATGACAAGCCTCGCGATTCATGCTCCCGAATCCCCGATGGCTACAAGCCGAACGAATTCGTGACGGATGCTTTGCAACACAGTAAGGTCAAATTGACCTGGGATGCGGATGACAGGTCACGAAAGGAGGCCCAGGCTCGGGCATTCCGCGGTTCTCGGAAAGAAATCGACGAGAATGACCTGAAAGCCTACCTAGGCAGCGACAGCTCCGATAGCGAGGATGAGGAAGATGGCGGTGTGGAAGTGGTCGATAACACTGCGAATGAGGGCACAACTGTCAAGATTTCCAAGAAGGAGGCCGAGAGACAACGCATGCGTGCATTGCTAGGTCTGAGCACCGAGCCTACTGCTTCTTCCAAGTCTGCTGGCCCCGTCGGTGAGATGGAGGTTACCTTCACATCCGGTCTCGCCGGTGGCCATGCCAAAGATAGCGGCATCTTTGAAAATGAGCCTCAAATCGAGGAGACGGCCCTCGAGCGTTATGTTCGGAAGGAGCGCGAACGCAAGAAGCGCCGCAAGGAAAAGCGCCAGGCCGAGAGACGGGGCGAGGATCCTGAATCCAAGGAGGCGGAAGGTGGTTCTGATGCCGAGAACGAACCCAACCCGGCCGAGGACGCGGAAGAAGACTTGGGCTTCAACGATCCCTTCTTCGACGATCCTAGTGGCAAGGCTACGGCTGCAGCTCGTCGTAAGGAAGAGAAACGCAAGAAGCGAGAGGAACGTGCTGCCGAGGAAGCCGCCTCGGCTGCCCAACGTGCCGAGCTGGAGCTATTGCTTGTGGACGATGAAAAGGCCAAGATCCAGCACTTTGACATGAACGAGATTACAAAGGCAGAGAAACAGGCCCGACGAAAGGGCAAGGGTAAGGGCAAGGGCAAGAACAAGGAGGTTGCAGTCGTGGATGATTTCAATGTCAATGTCAAGGATCCCCGATTCTCCAGCCTTTTTGAAAGTCACGAATTTGCCATTGACCCGACCAACCCCCGTTTCAAGGCGACCTCCGGCATGAAGGCCCTCCTGGACGAGGGTCGTAAGCGCCGACGCACCGGAGATGACGAGCCGGAGGCACCTACGGACAACCGGGATCGATCGAAGAAGCCTAAGAAGTCTTCGAAGGACTCTGGTGTGGATGAGTTAAAACAACTGGCTGATAAGGTCAAGCGGCGGTCCAAGGCATGAAAAATAAAAGCTTCTGTTGTTATAGTTTAGTTTCTAGCGGCATGATGAACCCACCATAGATCTTCATATCAATCGTATCTCATTAATGTGTTGAATCATATGCCACGTATCACATGTCACATATCATATACATGAGCTCGACACCGCCATCTCGGACAGAGGGCTTGCATGTATCGATAGACAGATTCACAGCTAGTGAGAGCTGCTCACCGAATCATTCAGCGTCACAACTGGGCAACTGCAGTAGTTACCTCTCAAGTTTTGAGGCTGAGATCATGTGGTAGGCCCCGTTGTCCGCTCTTCACCGCCCTTTCCATCTTTCCGACTCTCCACCCTTTCTTGATCCCACCACTCCCCACTCCTCCCTCTTCAAGATCTCCTGAAGACGTCCCGTCTTTGAGTTATTTCTCTTTTACCTGACCTCTTCGTTGCCTGTGGGGTTCTTGCCTGCCAATTCCTACCCCATTGCTGCCCCCCACCAGACGCCCCACTGCCTGCAGCCCATCCCACTTTGTTCTCTTCTCCAACTCTCCCCCTCCATCGAAACTCGATCACACTTCAGCTCCCCGCCATCTCCCGAGGATGGTCTCTACCCGGTGGAATTAGGTCATGGGTAGATGCAGTCTAGATCCATCTAGCTGTCTCCTACCCATCGTTACACTGCGTTTCTTGACCAGACCGTTCTTGTCCTCCCTGCACTTCCGAGTACCTCTTTAACGGCGGGCCTTGCACCCCCCGGGCGGCTTTCACCATGTTGGGCCGACTGCTCAGCACCGCTGCCTCGAGCCTCAATCCGGCGGCATACTCCTCACGAAATCATGGAACTCCTCTCGAATCGGTGACCGAGGAGGAACACACCTCAGGTCTTCTCTTCCCCGACGCCAGCCTCCTCCGCCGTTCCAACATCCATACCTATCCATTGCAGACTACCTTCCATTCCCCCAATGCTTCCACAGCCGGAGCTTATGATGACCGTGGGGGTTTAGAGCTGGACGCCATCAAAGACTTCCGGGTAATTGTGGCTCAGAATGCTCTCGGTGACCGTGATGCGTGCGTCCTGCTGGACACACGTGCCTCTGCCGACCAGCCCCCCACCGGCCTTGGTATCGACGCACAAGGCCTTGATCAGCCCGGTTCACGCCATTCACGCACAGTATCTAGCCTCACTCGTGGTTCCCGTCGAACCTTCCTCGCCCAATCCTCCGTCGTCGAATCTAGCCCGATCTCCACAGCTGCCGATGCACGGCGCTCAACACCTGCAAGCGCCGGCGCTTTCTCGCGAGCTCGAGGCCGCAGCTCTACACTGACACCAGCAGGAACGTGGCATGAACCTGGAGTCACTCGTCATGGTTCTGATTCCAACGATACTGGCCTGCTCAACTGCATCTTCGGCAGTAGTGCTTTCAGCTACCGTGGATCCTCGACCAAAATGCACATCATATCAGCTGATGACGAGCCGGGAATGGTGACAAGCTCTTCTCCTGCTGTTCGAAGTCCACTGGCACGTGCATACACTACTGGGAGCCCTTCGGGGCTAATGGGCCCTCCACGAGTGCAGGAGGGCAAGCCACCTGCAAAGGTCACAGTCCTTGTGACTCGCATGTTCAGTGTCAACCTCCCAGAAGGAGCCGAAGCGTCTGCTGAACGCAACGATTACGCCAATGCCATCTACCAGGAGTCTCTTCCTGAGATGGGCTTCCCTTTCCCAGACGTATCGAAGCGAAAGAAGATCAAGGAGAAGAAGACTCCAATGTATGCGGTTGCCATTACGATTCAAATACCTTTGCTGGCCCGAAATTCCGGACGACCCGTATCCCGCTTCAGCACCCTTGGTCCTGATTCGCCCAGAGTCGGCCTGTCGAGCTCTCTGGACTCGGATTATCGCTGGCCTGGCGCCTTTCTTGACGACAGCTTGTCCGCGGCTTCTCCCCCAGCCAGCTTGGACGAGCGGCTAGACCTCCTGGTCGATCACTGGGATGTCATCACCCGTACCTTGTCACATCTGGAGAGGCTTGCCCGCAATGAGATTCTTTTCCTCCTTAAGAAGGTGGATTCTCTCTCTGGGGCCCACCCGAAGCCCGCCAAACCCCCGAACATGCAGAGGACGAATCAAACCATTGTTCATCTGCCCGCTAATATACTATCCGTGAACTCCAAGCTCAAGGAGGAGGCAGTCCGCAGTTCTCGTCGAATCAGTTTGGCTCTTCAAACCCCATACGTTCTAACTGGTCAAAGCCGATGGGGAGTGTGGCGAGAGGAAGGACGTTCTATTGTCCGTGGCCTGGGCGACAAGGATTCGAATTTCTTTTTCCTTGTACTACTAACTGCGTTCTTGGGTAACCACACAGAGTGGCTCAATGTCCTTGGACCAGAATGGTACCGCCGACGTCACAGTCAGCAGCAAAAGGCTCAACAAGATAGTGAACCCATCTTGACCCGCCGCACTGTCATCGTCTGTCAAGATAAGATGACTGCCCGTCGCCTGATTTTCCTACTTTCCGCATTCCTTCCATCCAAACAGCGCCTAGAGCCTCTACCGTCACCAATGCGACCCGGTACATCGGCATCAATGCGTGCCATCTCCCAGAGCCCACCGGCCGTGCCGGTCCTTCGCCAAGAGTCACTTCGCAGAGCTATTGAACGACGTGCCCGTGCTCAACGGCTGATGTCGGGGGAGAGCGATCACCACAGACGCTCCGTCAGCATGTCGTCCCAAGACACCGCTCAGCGTCCGGATGTGCTTGACCAAGCTACTCCTGTACCACCTACCTCCGCGGCTCGCAGAGGGTCGGATGCTCGTTCAATCAAGACCCTGAGTGCCACTATTCAACCGAAGGACATTCGGGCACAGAACACGAGTGGTGCCACGACGTCGATGACCACACAAAGTAGTACGGTTCCTGTACCGCATTTCACCTCTCAGCAAACCCGTTCCAGCCAGGGAGGATCTGACCGTAGTGCGGCAGATACCAATGAGAGCCTGGCGTCGGAGACCTTGCTGAAGAGCCTGCAACGAAGTGACAGCTCAGTGTTGACCGGAAATGGCAGCCTTCCTTCTGGTGGAGGACTATGGGGTGGTATCTTCTCTGGACTCTGGAGCTCCCGACAGGAGTCGTCCACTGATGGGACTGATTACTTCTCCCCAGCCGATGCCCGCAAACGATCTGTTTCGACCATCGCCGGCCCGCCCCCTCGAGCTCCGCCCACTCTATCCCAGATGGTGAAAGAGGTCGCGGAGACGGAAGCAGAACATCGCTCGGAGGCTGTGCAAAGTGGGAATATCTCTATTCCAGCCACTACCAATAGCGCCGAGGACGATTCTCCCGAGCCATCCTCGTTCACGAGTCAGGTCCGCGAGTCTCCCTTGAAACTTTCCGTCCGTGCGGATGAGGGCGTTGTCGACGTTGATCTCCCTCTCCCTGGTTTCCTGTCTCTTTCCTCATCTGGAGACTCCACAATTGCCTCTCCCAGGAAGACTCGAGCGTCGGTCACGAGCATGGATGCTATGGCTTCTACCCATAGCAGTGGTTCTGGATTCCACAGTTCCACGAAGGAAGCTGACGGCCCCAGCACCCATGTTGCTGGTTGGCTCAAGCTTTTCCATGAAGATTTCTCGCTTCAAGCGGTCCGACCGTATGCCGCCGTCGAGGCCGACATCAGACGAGCTATGCGGGCGGAGCCCACCCCATACGTTCCGATGACGCCTGACGCCGAAGGCACGGAGCGGTGGGTGGACGTGGCGACAACGTTGATCGCCGATACCCGGACTTCGACGGTCAAGCGTCTCCGCTTGAGGCGAAAGATCATCGTGGGGGATCCCTATGGGCAGAGTCATACGCCCCCTTCGCCTGTCAACGCTGTGTACTCGAGCTCTCGCACTCCTGGAGGAGGCGCAAGCTCCGCCTCTCCCTTCACCAGTTTCTTCACTGGGCAGGGCAGGTCTCCCGATGTCAGCTTCTCCGAGACACAGGACCCAGGCCATGTCGAGGAGAAGTTCATCGAGGAGCCTGTCATGGACCTTGATGGGATACTAGTGGATGCCGTGGAGAGGGTGCTCGGGCACAGTGGCCATTCCTCGCTCGCGCATTCCCGCGCACCGTCTCCCTCGCGCGCTCGGCGTGGCGAAGACAAAGGCCAGATAACTCCTCGGGGGGAAGATACCCCACCAGCTGAGGTCCCTCGATCAGAGTGCCAAAAGATGGTGCTTGGGGCCCTCGAGGAGGTTGTCCGGTCTGTCACCGCCGAGCACTGTCGCGAGGACGTAGACGGTGGGCTGGGGATTGCCGACCGAGAGCGGCGAAGGGCTTTGGCCGGCGCAGACAACACCCTGCGCCAAGGGATTCGTCGATGGCTGCTGGAGCTAGAGGACTGCTGGTGATCTCGCATCGAGATCTCAGTAGTGGCGTCTTTTTTCTCCGTCTCTGCTTTCTTGTGAGAGTTGATTCGATCAGAGTGGACTCACATACCTCCTTATGTGTTTCGCTCAACTTTCTTTCATTTTGCATATGCATTTTTTGTTTGATTATGATACCCATCGTTTTGTTGAGGCTTAGCTATGCCTCACTTGTTTCTTCAAGGGTTCGCCTTTGATGTTTTAATAATTCCATTTGCAGTTTGTATCTCATAAGCGGTCTAATCCTCTATGCTAAATTCCCAGTTCATACATGTAAACACAGTTCCTGATTTACTTTCCGATATAAACTATCTCCACCTCATGGCCTTCCACCTCCACGGTCTTGCCATCAGAACCACTGGTCAATCGCAGAGTCTTTAGGACCTCGCCTGTCTGGCCCGGATTCACAACCTCAACAACAGTCCCGGCGGGCAGAATACCATTAACCAGCAATTGGATTCCCTCCAACGCATCATCCTCTGGCGCCTTGAGCTTAGGGTTCGTCACAGTCACCGACCCCGGTCGAACCAGGATAGGCAACGTATCAAAGTCATGAGTCTCAGTATACCACTGTCCACCCTCATACGACTTCGAATGATCAAACCAAGAAACCCACCTGCCAAGCCCCTCGTCCTCAGTCTTAGGCACGTAGAACGTAACCTCCCCATCCTCAGAGAAGACCGGCGCAACCAACAAATTCGATCCGAACATATACTGCGTATCAATAGCATACGTGTTCAAATCCCCAGGGAACTCCAGGAAAAGCGCTCTCATGAGCGGCGTCCCGTCGCGATGGCCACGCAACGCTTCAGCCAGAATATAAGGCGTGAGGAGGATCTTGCGCTTCACGCAGTCACGTAGCACGGCCGAGCAGTCTTCGCCATAAATCCAGGGTACACGGAACGAAGAAGATCCGTGAAGTCGTGAGTGCGATGATAACAGTCCGAATTGCACCCAGCGCTTATACAGCGCCGTTGGCGGGGTGCCTTCGAATCCGCCAATGTCGGAGGCCCAGAAGATATAGCCGCAGAGCATGAGACTCAGTCCGCCGCGCAGCGACTCGGCCATTGCTTCGAATGTGCTTTCGCAGTCACCGCCCCAGTGGACGGGGTAGGCTTGTCCGCCTGGTGCGGTGCTGCGGGCGAAGAGAAGACCTTGGTTGCGGCCGACCCGGTTGCTGAGGGTTTCGTAGACGATGCGGTTGTACAGAAGGGCGTAATAGTTGTGCATGCGTTCTGGGTCGGCATTGTCGTGGTATTTGATGCCCTTTACGGGGATGCGCTCGGCGAAGTCGGTTTTGAAGCTGTCGACGCCCATTTCCATTAGTCGGTCTAGGTGGCTGCGGTACCAGGTGCAGGCGGCCGGGTTGGTGAAGTCGACAACCGCCATGCCGGCTTGCCAGAAATCCCATTGCCAGACGGAGCCATCGGTGCGCTGGAAGAGGGTGTTAGGATTTGGAGATTTGGTTAGAGGGAAGCGGGATCGTAGCTAACCTTGATGAAGTATCCGTTCTTCTTGCCTTCTTCGAAGAGAGGTGAGGCTTGGCCCACGTAGGGGTTTATCCAAACGCTGATGCGTAGACCACGCTCCTTTAAGCGCTTGAGATATCCGACTGCATCGGGGAACATCTCTTCGTCGAATTGGAAGTCGCACCATTGATAGGACTTCATCCAGAAGCAGTCGAAGTGGAAGACGCCAAGCGGGATATCGCGATCCCGGAATCCGTCCAGGAAGCCCGTCACTGTCTGCTCGTCATAGTTGGTCGTAAAGCTGGTTGTCAGCCAGAGATTGTAGCTCCAAGATGGGACAAGACCCGGCCGGCCCGTAAGAGAAGTGTATCTCCGCAGAACATCTTTGGGCGAATCGCCATAGACGATGAAATACTCGATCTCCTCGCCCGGAACGGAGATATTGACTCGCGTAGTCCGCTCGGACTGCACTTCTAAACTAATCTTGCCGGGGTGATTGACAAACACACCGTATCCCTTGGAGGATATGTAGAACGGAATATTCTTGTATGCCAGCTCAGAGCTGGTACCGCCATCCTCATTCCACATATCAACCGTCTGCCCATTCTTAACGAACGGACCGAAACGCTCACCGAGGCCATACACCTTCTCGCCAACGCCAAGATCCAGCTCTGCGAGCATGTGGCCCTGTTTCTCGGCGTAGATACCGTCCTCGTAGCGATGCTTCTCGGTGCGTTGGTCTGCGACATAGCCAATTGAGCGCCCTGAGTGGCCAGTGAGTTTCTTGCCGCTTGAGGAGCGGAAAACAAAGTCTAGTTCGTTAGTTGCGGTGTTGACATCCAGGGCTAGGGGTCCGCTGGTGTAGTTGAGCTTGTTGGCTGTCTTATCGTGGGTGATGTCAGTGTGGCCGGAGGTGGTGTTGAGCTTGTAGTGTGGACCATTGTCGACTTGTCCTGCCCTGCTGGGAGTTATTTCTGTTTGATTTAATGAACAGATTGTACGAAGTCTTACCAGTGCACGAGCTTTACGCCGATAATTCCTTCCTGCGGCGAGGTGACTTGCGCCGAGACGGTAGCTATGCACTGGTTAGTAAACCTGTAACTTTGGAAACTTCATGGTAGTCGCTCTTGCTTACGCGAATTCAAAGTGTCTCCACGGTGTCTCTGGAGCTTATTCAGAAGCAGATGCACCGTCTCGTTCTCGGTACGCAGTCGCTCGACGTTGCTCATCCACTCAATGCGAACGCCTTCCTATAATTCCAGGTATGAGCATTTTCCCGAGGTCGGATAATCGCTCTGCAATTGCTTTGTACGTACCTGAAGACACCACATTCCCGCTGTGAACTTCATCTTGTCTCAGTGGCCGTGACACCGGCTCGTACTTGCTTAACAAGTATAGTGCTGCTGGTATCCCCGCGCTTGTAGCCCCCCCAAAAAATTACTGTATGTGCTCAACAACTCTTGCGAGCAAAACAAGAGAAAGACGGTAATGAAAAGAGAAGCAAGACGAGAGGGGAAACGAGGCAGACTATAGCTCCATTTTCAATCTTCGTCGTCCTGTTCGGATTCCCACATTCGACACGGAACCCCGTCCGACATTGCCAGATGGCGTGGTAGCTGGACTGACTCCGCTGCGTTGTTTTGCTGGTTTTAGCGGGGCAGTCCACAGACGGGGTATGCATGGAGTACTGTACACATCGTCGCTGGAGGGCGGAGAGTCCACCAACCAGCGTGGAGATATCAAGGCCGGCTGATTTGCGGGAGATTCGGCTAAATTGCGGCGTGTGGCTTCTGCTTGGCGTGGTGTTTGGTGTTGATCGGGTAGTTAGTGAGGGAAGGGATTAGTCGGGAGGTTCACGCGGTCGGCGAGGTGGATAGGTCGGTCATAGATGGGATGATGGGGTTGGTTGTTTAGTTCATGGTTTATTATCTTGGTTAGCATTCTGCAGCTCAAAATACTGTTGATCTATACTTGGGTTATTATATTCATCACATTAGACAGAAGCTAAGCTACAAAGCTACACTAGTATAACAACAGGGGGTATACAGGGGTCCTTCTCAGGCTTCGAGCCGGGACCATTTGCAAGACGCCAGCGCGTCAAACTCTTCAAATCAAAGGACGCAAACTCCCACTCCGCGGACTACCCTTGTAGCTAAGACTCTCCCCCCGAGCCCGGGCCCGTGCAATCTCCGGCGACATCAGCCCGTCCCGACTATCCCGCGACTCTCGGGTCACTCGCGACGGCAAGCCGGGAGGAGGCGAAATGTGGTGACTAACCACACTGGCGGGGAGCTCCAGAGAAGGAATTGATGTATCCATCAAGTGTGCCGTGGTGGGTTCAACCTTAGTCGACACTGGTCGGACGTGCGACTCGCTGTAGAATTGCTCTAACTGTGCGGCGTCATTGCAGAACTCCAGCAAGCCATTGAGGAAGTGCTCGGGGGCCCGGTAGAGATTTGCCGAGTCGATGTCTTTTGATCCGGGCTGTGGAAGGGGACTGCCAATATCGAGGACGGGTCGGGTAAGCGGCGACAGACGTGGTGAGATGCGATCTAGGACATCGTGCGTCGTGGTGCGACCGCGGTAGTCCGGCCGATTGTGATGCTCGTAACGGCCTGCGTCTCGGCTGGCCGCACTACGCGTACTAACGAGTCGATTTGCCAGCAGCAAGAAATGGCCCTCGTTGGTGATCTGGGCGATGAGGCTGCCCGTTCGATGGATGAACTGCGGGTACTTGTAGTCGGGTTTGCCCCAGGAGTATGAGGCCTCCACGTCTGCAGGGAACGCAGAGGATGCTTCAAAGTCCAGAACAAAGTCAAACTTTCGCAGGAGGGCTTTCTGGTAGTACAGATTGTCCGGTGGCCCTGGCTGCGCGAATGACGCATTGTTGAAGACGGTGTGAACGGGACCCTTGGGAGGAGGGACTTTCAGCTTGATCTCGAATGGCTTGCGGAAGGGCTGGGTTCTGTCAATGGCACATCCTTCCGCGATTGGCACTTGAACCAACTTGAGACCGAATTTCTCAGCGGTGGAAGCCCACGAATGGACAGTATCTTCAATCAGCTTCGGGGTTGTGTTCATCCAGCTGAGCTCAATGTGAAAGCAATTTTCAGGATTATGCAGCCGATCATAATGGAGCTCGATAACTTCTGGGCGATTCGATCGTTTCCGACTGTCCACATCATATTTGAGCGACTTGGACAGCATGATAGCTACCTTGTTCTTGACCTTGGACGGGGTGTTCGGTGTAGGTGGTACTCGGTCTTCGGTGCTGTCCGAACGAGTGTGGAAACTGGACGGAGAGTCCTTCACGTTTCCAATCGCAGGCGTCGACGGCATCGACTTATCGGCTCGGAGTTGAGGGAACCAGCCACCGCGAGATTCCGGGCGGGTCACTCGATATTCGGCAGAAATCTGGTAGAAATAGTTGCCATCACGGAAATTATGGCGTTTCTCCACGTGCTGGAACAGACCGTGCTTCATCAACTCCTTGCCAAATCCAACTGCTTCTTCGCGTGTGTCGATGTCGCGGAAGTTTTGTAACAACCAAGTAGTGAATTCAAATCCAATGAAGCAGTTGTAGTGCAACCGCCAATGCCACCTTCTGTCCATCATTCGCACACCCTTGTCGCCCTGGATGATTTGTGCAAAGTTGGACAAATTAATGCTGGATCGCTCGAGCAGTTCTGATTCGGGTAGAAGCTGAGCCGGCGGGTTATCAAGTCCAGGGTCCGTGAGCAAGAGTCGATCAAGCTCTGCAGCAACCACCTCTGACGGGTTTCGTGTTTGATACATGATATTGAGCGGATTCACGTCCCTCTTCTTGGTTGAAGTTTCGAACCGCTTCTCCTCGGGTGACACATACTTGTGTCGCTGCCAGATATGGGTGAGCTGGCTGATTCCAAGTAGGTGGATTTCCTCCTCGTTGTCTTCATTGAAAGAGTGCAAGTGACGCCGGGAATTGGTATGCAAATTCATCGGGATCAAAACGTAGCGAATCCGCCAGAAATGGAGCTGCTGGGCCGGGTTGTGAAGGTAATCACGATGACCTGCCACGTAATTGTCGGCATAGTTCCAGTTGTATTCCTCTGCGGTCGGGTCCAGCCTGATGTCTTTGATCTCATATTCTGGACTCAAGATAGTTCTCATGGCGGGTTGATAAAGCATGATGTTTGCTCGCTTGGGGAAAGCGAGTGACGCGGCGGCTTGATGTGTGAAGCGTGTCACCTCAATCTCTCCACCATCAATGCAGATGAGACGATGAATTGCGTTTCCTTTTGACAGGAACACAGTTTCGCCATCTCGTTCTAGACCCCGTGTATCAAACACATTCAAGGACTCGAGAGCAGGTCGCGCGGTTACCTCAGCCACGGTCTTGCCGACAATAATTTGGAAGCCATGAGAAAGTCGAAGTGAAATCATCTCCCGCAATAGAACACCACGGGTCTTAGGAGACTCAAAAACGTCAGCGTCGTCGTTTGGGAAGACACGATAAGGGGTTTGCAAGTAGTCAGAAGCAAGTTCAGCCGCCGTGGGAAACTCCTCGGTAGTCAACGGCAATACCGCTGGAGACTTCAAGCTCTTCCATTTAACCACAGCCACGTGCGGAGGACGTGGATATGCATGTTGCCAACGACCAAACCAGCTTGTGTCACGAAGCACGTCCTTGGGTGTGTTGCATGGATTGACCGATCGAACCCAGGGAGACAAGGCTTTGCTTGGCGAGGCTCGTATCGACCCATCACGAGAGCTGTGGTTGATAGTGATCTCAATCCTATGATCCCGAGAGCGAATTGGGCCTTCTTCACGGACTTCATCGTTGAAATGAACCTCAGCAGCCGACGTGGACAATGAACCCTGTGGTGCCCCATGATCTGACTGACCCGTTAATTCTGAAGGCTTCTTAACCGGAGGCTTGATGGAAATCGGCTTGGAGGGAGTTGGACGAGGCTCTTGATGGAGCCTTGGAGGTGTAGATGGTCGTGATGACACATCAATAATAGTGGGGATCGAGGCAGTCTCCGAAGGACTCAGGGATGTGATGCTTCTTGTGTCGGAAAAGGTGCTGGAAGAGCCTCTTTGATTGGACATGGGCCCCGCGCTAGCATGCTCTACATGGACGCCTGTGCTGGCTTGGGCTCTCGGCGGGGTGGCACTCAAACCACGAAGAGCAAAACTGATTGTTCGGGAGATTCTCGACGGCGGTCGTATGGCTGTTGGAGGCTTCAACGCCGGCTTGGTCGGTGATGGACTTTTCGCGGTGACGGGACTTTTGGGGGTAGTGGCAGACGATATATCAATTTTGCGAGGGCCACGGGCTCGTGTGATTTGATTGTTCTCGCTTGCATTCGACTCATGCTCGCGTAGACGCGAGATAGACCGCGCTGATATCCGTTCATGCAGGCCAGCAACTTGGACTTCAGGCTCACTGAGGCGCTTACTCTTTGGCCTCTGGGCTTGTCGTCGTTTTGGCGTCGCCGAGAAAACATTATCATCATACTGATCCATCCAAGCCATGACAGATTTGCGTGATTTTGGTGGGCCCTTGATCTGTAACTCACTTGGATCGGTAATATTGTCCAGAAATGAGGATGGCTCTGGCCGCAGGCTTTCACTGTACTGGGTTTTCAGAGACGAAGAATTCGCGAAACGTGCCCGTGGAGTAGCACGAGCACCGTTGCTGGTCCCGACCCAGGATCCACGACGCCTGTGCATGTCACGCACTTCAAGAAGATATGGAATCGAAATGTTTGATTGTTCGCTTTCCATGACTCCCATCATTTGAATCTCATACATGCGTACCCGCGGCGTGAACGCTTTGGATGGGCGAGTGACTGTAAACGGAATGGGTGCATTGGGGTCGTTCTTCAGTATTCGTCGAGCTTCTCGGTATGTTTCAGGGTTCCAGTAGGAGATATCAAGCCAATGAGGAATTCCATAACTCCAGTCCCTCGATCGAAGATTCCCTCGCTCTCGCATGCGGGCAGCGGAAAGATAAGATCCAGGTGACAGGTAGGATGATCTGCTGACCAAGCTGGATACGGAATGGTGGATTTCCGGTGACATACTATTTCTGGGGATCTCGCTTGTTGTGGGCAAAGAGCTAGAATGCCTTTCTACAGGCTCGCGATACTTGAAGAGAGGAACTGAGTGAAGAGGCATGGGACTCAAACAGACCAGATCAATAGCAATGCCTCGATTTGCCAAGGCTTCTGTCGTGGAGGCAAGTGATTCATATGACACTTCAAAAACACCACTACCGGGCGTTATGACAATGATCGATGTACCTGTGTGTACCATGTCTCGATCAATATGATCATACGCCAGGTGAGAGGAAGCAAGATGAATAGCCTCCAGAATATTGCCTCGCAAGGCTGTACTGGGACGTCCGGCGATTGTTGCCGTATGTGGCTTGGCTGAGAACTTGATACCACTTCCAGCCAAAACCTCCACGTCATCTGTTTTCAAGATGGAGACATCTCTGAGAAATATTCGAAAATTCTTTTTCAGTTCATCCAAAATCGTCGTCCAGTGACCGCTTGCCATATCATTCACCACAACGCGATAAAAGTCTCGAGTCGGGACCTGATTCGGACCGGAATGGGTTTTCATGCCCCCGCTGTTGAGTTTGGACAACCCAGGATGGGCAGATGCATCGTACTCGACGCGGGTAAACAGCACGATAGTGACCAAATGCTTGGCATCAGAATTGGCCCATCTTTTAAATAGCTCTGGTAAGAAGCCATTGATGACCCGGCTGAACAAAATATCCCCGGATCCCTCAGAATCAAAGTCCCACATCTCTCGAGACATCTGGATGAACAGGACATACTTGGCCGACTCACTGCGGAAGACGGGGATGGTGTTGGGCGCAAAATAGCCAGAGAGCACCTTCTTCTCTCGAATGAATATGTTCTTGACGGTCGCTTTAATAGTGCCCATGAACATGATCTTTTGTCCCTTGTAGACAATCTTGTCCACGAGCTCCGACTCAACCAATCGCCACATATCCGAACGAACCATGTACTGATCGCGAAAAGCGATATCTACATGGGATGCAGCGCAGCTCTTCCGATCAACAATTGAAAGATGCACTTGAGTCCGATTCTTAAAGCCAAAGATATTTGCGACGCTGCTCGTCACTGAAATCTCCAGTTTGGGATGTCGAGTTCTGATGTCTTGTGGTAACGGCTTGACCACGAACAAACATCGGCTTTGAAGCGGGGTCTTGAATTTGGAGGTACTGTCACTTTTAGATGACGGGTTCAGATCGTTATGGCTGTCGCGAGCTGTCTTGACAGCGGAATCGGGCTTCAAGCTGGAATGGGCGGGATCCCCAGTCGCGCGAACGGGCAGGATTTCCACAATATCACCGACTTGAATTCCGCTTTCGCCAAGTGCCGAGGGATTGAGCAGGAGTTCTTCCCGAGAGAACATTTCATCGTGAACCCATAGTGTGCATTGCCGCCGAGCAAAGCTGGTCGACATCCGGACAATGCTCTCGTCCAGCGTGGGGCCGTGGTCGCGATGGGATGTTTCCATTGAGTGGGCCGTTGAAAGGGTCTCTAAGCTTGCGGCGCTCACCTGCCGCAAGTGGGACCGCCGCATGGGCCCACGCAGAGACATCTTTCAGCTTCACTGCATCGCCGAGGGCGAATTGGGAGCTTCTTTGGAGATTGTTTCGGCTTCGACACCGGGGGCATCAGGTGGATCAAGAACCTCCGATAAGATACGGCTGCATCACGTGGTCTCACGTTACTTGTCGCCTCAGGTATCAACCGACCAAGTTATGGGTAAGAGCTTGGCAAGATAGATTACATTTGCGTTGCAGTTCACGAGATAATTTGCGTGTTAGGCTTTTCCAAGGTTTATGTTCTGGTTTGAAATTGTTGAATCTTCTCACTATGAATGTAATGGGACTGCCGGGCAGGCATCGGGCCTTGGACGTGCTACGACCCGCTTCAGATATATACCACCTGATTTCACCATCACAGCGTACTTGGAAGATCCATCTCCTTCAAAAAAAAACGAGTCGAGGAAGGTCATCCGTCTGTTCCGTTTCTATATTTTGGTCTGGGCCTTTGAATCAAGACCATAATGTTGAAAGCTGTACATCGATCGTGACATTGGCTTGTCTGCATATTGGCTAGATTAGGCATCCCATGAATTATCCAGGTACATACTGGCTCAGCTCGATAGGTACCATCTTCCAAATTAAGTATGCCGGGTGCCTTGTTGATTGCCCGTGAATCTCGGAGCACTAACCTTAAGATCAGATACCTTGAGAACATTGTTGGATCATCCTTTCAAGAACGGGAATGAGGATGAATAAGGCTATTCAATGGTGTTGTCAGTACTAGGAGAGGGAACCGGCGCGAGCCTAGATGCATTTGGTCCTCCGAAACGGGCAGGATGTCTAATGAAAGATGCGATCTGGCTGAATAAAGAACCCATCTCAGGCTACGAATGGGACCGAGTAAAGAGGTGTCGAGCCCTTCGAGATCAATTGGCTGTTGATTTGGATACCAAAGTCCTTTTCATGTCACCAAAATACGACGAGAGATAGACAAGAAATAATTTTACCACAAAATAGGGCTCGGAAACAAATTCCGATAGTTTGCAAGTCCTCCGGTCGGCAAAAGGTGAATGCGGGCTAGCGTGGCGCGGGGAAATCCCGAGCGAAGGTGGGCGAGAAGAATCGGGGGTGTCACATCCATTGGACCTCGAGCAAGAGGATTCGTATAAAACAGCAGATCCCGAACGCGCAAATATGATTTCTGGACAGAGCCCGTGAGCTAGGTTGCACATGCAAGTCCTGGATGGTCCCGGCAGGGCTGTTGCAACACTTGAATTATTGGTGGAACCAAATTGGCGTGATGAAGCATGGTCAACGAGATATCAAATGTCGCACACACGCGAACAGGATATGATGTTATGTCCAGCGAAGAACAAGGTGGTGAGTGACGGGACTGAGCTTGGAAGTCACCTGGTGTGTTTGTCTTGAAATTGCAGCAGGTGATTGCGCTTGGAGATATGGAAGTTCTCGTGTGGCCGGCACACCTAGAATCCACAACCAAATATCAGGAACATTCCTACCTTTTCAAAGATGCTTAAAGGTTTGTGACACTTCTGCTTCAATCGTCCGAAGGGTATTGGAATAGGGTGACGAGCTACTCCGCAACCGAAACTTTCTCTCTCCGCACCAAAGTGCGGAGAAGAAGAAAAAGAAGAGAAGCACCGCGGTGGTTTGTCTCAAGCGGCCGCGACGACTTCTCGCTACGATAGCACTGCTTGACGCGTCCTAGAATCACCTCAAGTCGATTCGGTGAAGCTCTCCCTATTGGTTTCTCCCTCCAACGATCGGCATATTTCCTGGCACTGTAGCCCAAGCGCACGGCATGTGGAAAGTTTATCTATGGGGCTTTTGAGGCGCTACATCGCCCCTGCGGAATTATTCTCCGGCGGTATGGAGTAGTTCTAGTTCACTACATCCTTAGCCGAGCAAGCTGATTTTGCCCATTCAAGGCGCCGTCCTCGTTCCTCCTGCCAAACGCAGAGGCCGTTCTCGATTGGCAACTGCTAAGTCAGTCTTCGAGACGGGCGGACCTCCTCTAGCGAGTTTCCAAAACAGCCCTAAAGCTACCAATGGAGTCACCCGGTCGCACTGAGGTTGGACCGTCGCCCCTGGGATAAGTCTTGTCCCTCGTCACTGCAGCAGCAAGGATACTGGGCGGCTGGCTCCCACAGAATCTAGTTTCTGAAGGTTCTGAAGCTGTGACTGCAGCTGTCCCAATTCATGAGGTGCCGAATCCACCATGTAGGAACTTGGATGGGGCAACGACGCTATGGTGACGGCAAGACACAAGCTAAAGTGTTCGCGTTCAGTCAGGCCAGAAGATGTGCCAAAAGGATGGGTATTTCTCGCATTTTCCTTCCAAAATGGTTGAAGGTCGATGACTGAACATATTGTCGTATTTGAAGTGAATGCCAATTGGTTTCCAGCCAGGGGCGATGTCACCGAGCAGTGCAGTAACGAGTGTCGACAACAAGCTCAGCCCGCAGGTATTTCGGAAAATTGACAGCATAGGCCCATGGATACTTTTTGGAGCCTCCCTTCCTACCTTCCGAATTATCGCTGAAGGTTTCGCTGTGCAGGTGTGATTCTGGGGGACGCAAAGCCACCATCCCAGCTCCGGAGTGAAGCCGCCGCGAACATTTCGAAAAAATGTATTGCTAATATCTGCATGGAAGGAACGACAGTCAAAGGCATCAAAGCAGTTGTTGGACTGGGCCTGGTTCAGAAAGGGCCGTTGTCTCACGCCAACGTGCGCAAGAGCGGCCCTCGCCAGAACGAGAAATCCGGATTCCTCACAAGTTCCAATAACGTGCACCTGATGCACCGTCACGTACATAAAAGCTGGACACGATAACTCATATCGCTTTAGACCTTGAAACCAGCGCGAAAAAATGGCATGGAACCCTGTTCCTCGAGTGGAATCGCCAAGATCATTGGATTTGATCATTTAGCAATCGTGGCTGTTACACTACATCTGAGAAGGACGCATGTCGGGTGAGATTGTCTCTGACTCTGGACTTCGGTTTTAAGCGATATAAAGCCCAAAGGGTCGTTGAGACCACTGACGCTGGCACCGAACGCGCCAGAACAATCATTCCCATGATGCTTATTATCCCATGTCGGCCACGACCCAGTTTCAGCTCACTCAGATATGTCAGACCATGCAGTCTGCCGGCATCGCTTCTTAGACGGTTTCCCCTGAATTGCTTCGATGCCGTGCCTGCGTTGTATAGGACCAATCCTCAGCATTGAAGTCGCCACCTCAGAAAAGCCAAAACTTGACAATATTGACACACGTTTGGCGGAGATTTCTCACTGAAGACGACAATATCTCCAGGTCAATGATGAAAGCTCAATCTTTATGCACCAATTTGATGCACCTGCTCCGCTTTGAGGCACCTGGATCCTCTTCTTTTGTCAACCCACGGCGTCGAAAGACGGCCACGGCTCTCACATATTCCGTTCGATATATCATCGAATAATTATTTCTCGCATGCAATTTTGTTTTGTGGAGGTCTCGGAATCGTGTCTTCGACTCGTGGGGGCTTCGGTCGGTACGGTTTCTCAGGGCTGAAAATGTGCCGCCCATCCTCAAATGAAGCCGAGGTTGCCATTGAGGATGCTTCTGGATGTTCCAAATTTATTGAACGTCGCGGTGATATGGATTTTTCGAGACGACTAGGACGCTGACTGATAAGAAAGTAAGTTGACTCGTTGAGGTTTTCGACTCCGTCCGATCCAATATGAATCGCCCCCGAGGCATTCGCATCAAGTAGTGAGATGCTTTCAAGCCTGCAGAGAATCCACAGGAAACCTCTTTTCCCCTTGTGAGATGCGGTGGGCTGGATTTACTGCAATTTTCGCGATGGCTTGTCAGTGTGAGAAGCTCGCAGTGACCGACGAAGGGGGTTGACCCACGCATCTGGGTGATGGTCACCTCTTACCATCAATCCTGGTTCTTATCTGAGAGATTCATCCAACATGAGCATGATCGCTATTGTGCAAGTTCAATGATACGCATCATTGTTTGGGCATCGTCGACTGCCGATGGACCGATGTGCGTCGACCCTGACATCGTGTCTCGATCCGAGCCCAGAAAGCCATCATCTTTTCCCCCAACTCATCGTGCCTCTAGCCAGGTCTGCCCATCGAAGCAATACACAATTTCGATGTGTCCGATTGATCTCTCGGGCAGATTTCCCAATGTTCTGGCTCCACGGCGGCTCGATGCCTCCTCGTTCTCGAGTTGGGGTGTGCATCAAAGTGGTATTCCAGTTGTGGACACGATTCGAATGCCTATCAGCTTGTGTTGATGGGCCATTGCGATGCGCAAAATATGAGATGAGGAACACTATCCAGCGATGGGATAAAGAAAAGAAATTTGAGCCTGGATATGGTTGGTAGGTAGGGGGCGTGGTATGTTCTCAGAGGGGACATCGCTGGGATCCAGGACAACAAAAGCACCACTCGGGGGAAGCCTTTTTCGGAACGGCCATACCCATCCAAAGGGGAAACCAGCAACGGACCTCGCCAGACGGACTATCACTACGACCATGGAGATTGCCTTTAGTCTCTGGAAATTACAGGCATACGACAACACATCTCGACTAGACAAAGCCAGTGAACGACCTTCGAGCGAGGAACAGTCGAGAACGCAGTGGCACGACCATCAGATCGGAGATCGGATCGGTACGGCTCCTCGGGCCTCATGAGAGGAATCGACCTCGACTTCCCCGATCGCACACGAAATTAAAGTCACCGAACTAACTCATGGGCAAAAAGCCTGTTGAACAACGCCCACTATCGTGGCTGGGCGCCATCTACCAGACATGAAATTTCCGATTGAGCTATAGCAGTCCGCATCCCCGGTTGCTGATTGGTGGGAACCATGCGAATACATGGCAAATCCAGAGACACCAAGAAAATTCTCGAGTATGCATCTCGCATCACTGTCCCTTTTTTTTTTCTCTCCCAATAGTTCAACATCACATCGGCTACAAGCACCCCATTGTGGCGCTTTTGCTGAAGATTGTTGGGTACTGGCGGCCCGGGACCTAGTGGCAAAACCCCACGGCAGTGACATCCAGCATACCACAGCTCGCCGTGGCCACAGGCCCCCACCCACTTTCGGGGTCTCGTCTCGTCTCACGATACCCTTGCGTGGCACTTTGCTTTTCGTGAAATCGAAATCGAATCGGGCTATTCGCAGCCATTTCAGAACAAGGAATCCTGCTCTAGAGGGTGAGGCCTCGCCCAGAGCCCCTCTCTAGGGCTAATCCTTAAAGCGGCTAAGCTCAAAAGGCACGCCTTCTGTGTACTATCTCCCACTAATCTTGCTGCACCTGCGAAACGAGCGTCACACGATGAGTGAGCAGTTCCCCCCTCGCCCGTTGTATTCTGAATATCTATCGGATGTCCCGGAGAATGAGTCGGCTTCTCTCGACCAACTCAATCCAATCCCGGGGTTCACGCAGCCCATTATCCCTTTCGGAATCACACACTATAATGAACAGTTTTCCAGTCGTCAAGATGCTCCAGAGGCCAGCCCGATCCTCGGTGAACGACCACTGAATCCAAAAGTCCCCATCCCTCGAAGTACACGTCCCATCAACCATATCAGCAGTGGCCGCGTTGGCCGTGCCTGTGAGAACTGTCGTGAGCAAAAAGCCAAATGTAGTGGCCATCGTCCATCCTGCCACCGGTGTCAGGATGCGGGGGTACCCTGTTCCTACGGCGACCGGAAGCGCGAGAAGATGCTCAAGTGCGTAGGATACCTGTCGAACCAAAACTTTCCTAGTTGCGTCTAATTTGGAAATATCAGGCAGCTGGATGAATTTACTGCTCAGATCAATACCTACGAGACCTTGCTACGAGACTTGTACCCGAGACTCGAGGCTTCGTTGGCCCAGCACGTTGATCAGACCCTCGGCCGCCAATTAGTCAGGGTGAGAACTAATTAACTTAACGAGCTAACGGCTTCTCCCATACCCTTTCATCCGTTTCACCATTAGCTATTTCCCCTTCCACCACAAGCCTCTCAAAAAATCAATTATAACAACACCAGCAACGAGACTAACCATGCCTAGCCGCAGAGCCCTTCTATATCATTTTCTGATGGGGAAGCCTCGAGCTATCCCTTGGGCATTACGGATCACACCGCAGAAGACTTCAACCGCGATGAAAAGGTCCGGGCCATGGGATTCGTGGGCGAGCACTCGGAACTGGCATGGCTATACAAACTTAAGCGCGACCTCGATTGCGAAAGCTCAACGCCCGTCGTCGAGACTCCCGATCGGGCAGCCGTTTCCATCTCATCCCTGAACTACTTCCTAGACGACTCCGACATCTCGAGCCTCGATCACGTTGAACTATCAAGACGACCTCCCCAGCACATTGCGGATCACCTCGTGGATGTCTACTTCCAAACCGTCCACTCTGCATTTCCCATCATCGGGAAGGGGGTCTTCCTCGGCCAATACCGATCCTTCTACACGAATCCGAACGTGCGACCTGGGAAGCGATGGATTGCTGTGCTAAACCTTGTGTTTGCGATCGCAGCAAGATACACCTTACTCGTCGGTGATGGCCTCGAAGGAGATGGCGATGACCACCTGTCATATTTTGCAAGGGCTTGGCGCCTGAGCATCGACAATGTCGCACTCTTAGATCATCCCAACTTGCAGCAAGTGCAAGTAGAAGGCCTGACTGCTTTCTATCTGCTCTCTACTGGCCAAGTTAATCGGTAAGCTTTTATCAGATCCATTCCTCGACGTTGATGTTTTGATCTCTTAGGCACGGTGTCTAATCCATCGAACGTGTTTACCCCTTTGCTAGATCATGGCGGATTATTGGAATTGCAATTCGATCAGCGATGGCTATGGGTCTGAATCTCCGGAGCGAGACCGGCAGTGTGGCGCAAGTCTCGAAGGAGACTCGATACCGCGTGTGGTGGGCACTGTTCATGTTGGATACGGTGCTCTGCGTGAGAACCGGCCGCCCGCCTAGCACCGACCCGGCTTTTTGCACGACCCCCTTGCCCATCCCATACGTCGAGGAGGACTTTGGAGTCCAAGGAATTGTTCAGATCATCGACAACTTGTCTATCCGGAATAACTTGATGACATTTTTGTTGACCTCTGGTAGCGGTGCCGGCACCCCTGTCGGGTCCAGCGAAAGCTCGACCGACTCTATCAACTTCGCGAAGACCGGCTCACGGAAAGGCAAGGAGGCTGAAAGTACAATGATGGACTTGAATGAAACTATAACGCCCAATATTTCCCTTTGTTTCCTATATGGGGTGGACCTGGATATCCTCATGAGAGAAGCTATCCAGACTTTGTACGCCCCTGGCGCAACAAAACGATCCTGGATGGAGATGGATATTACCATTTCCAACCTCAACACGAATGCTGACAAGTGGCTCTCCCGCCTCCCAGCAGAGTTTCATTTCACAAATCTAGACGCCACCGCTACCGATCCGTTCGTCCGCCAACGTGCCGACCTTGGCTTCCGCTTCTACAACACCAAACTCGTCATCTCCCAACCATGCCTTCGTCATCTCGCCTACCAACCCACCGGTACAAGCCCCGGTGGCGCTCTTTGTGGTACAATGGCAGGAATGTGTGTGCAAATGGCATGCAAAATGTTGGAAATGCTCCCCAGCAAACCGGACACCACCTGGCTATACGGAGTCTCGCCCTGGTGGTGTGTCCTCCACTACATCATGCAATCGATGACCGTGCTCCTCACTGAGCTTTTCACACGCACCACACCTGGGACCCCCGAGGCTGTCAATTTGATCGATAAAATCCAGAAAGCTCTTGCATGGCTCCGCGAGATGTCCACCAAGGATTCCTCCTCTCAACGAGCCTGGCTAGTCTGTATGGACATCCTCTCTCGACATGGCGAGAAATTCTCAATTGAAATTGACCCCAGGCTCTAGGCTCTGGTGGCCCTTTTCATGATTGGCTTTCATATTCTCTTATGTCTGCCTTCAAGGTCCCATCTAGGCTTACCAAGCCTAGCGGACGCTTCCGCGAATTCTATTGCTGCAATTTGGCCCTCTCGTCCTCCGTGATACTCCCGTTATATCGTGAGCTCTTTCATCTTGGTGATGGTTGTTATTTTGTTCTACGCAGTCTTTTTAGGTTGCTACATCTTATATCTCAACCCCACCCATACCTTGGGCAACAACAACAACAACGTTACTTGCTGACCTTTTTCCTGGATCTGTGCTAACCCTCTCTCATAAGTACCTGGTATCACCCCCCATAACTAATCATAATCGCCGAGCCAACTAACATACAGGACCTGCTTCATAACCATTACTTAAATCTGACGAGGCTTAATCATTGCATAGCTACTAACTAGATATTAGTCTCTAGTCATCAGTACCCTCCAGATCTGGGAATTATCTCGCAAAGCTCCCTTTGCAACTTTTGATAAGTTTGTAGCATTTTGAGATAAGAGGTTACTTAGCAGACTGGCAACGAAACCTAAGGGTTATGGCAGTCATCCGTAAAAGATCGACCATAATCATTGGATCAAACTCATGGCACTCCGAGAGTGACAATATACCGCTAAGCCTAATTGGGAATGTACCTATCAGGCTGTATCCGATAACTGTATAGCCCTGCTAAGCCTTTATGTATGTACAATAGTAGTTCAGAGATTATGATAAGAGACAGAAAGAAGGGCCTACCCAGCTGGGTCCTACCGGGAATGGATAACAAAGGTGTCAACAACATCGGCACCCTAGTAACGAAACCTCCTCGACAAAACGCCGACATCACGCAGAACTCCAACAAAGACAGCACCGGACACGTAAATCCTTAGATCTCATACAGAGACAAGGGAAAGTCGATTATCGTCCGCTCTACCAACACATCACCGCTAATAGAGGCATCATCATCATCATCCTGGTCCAAAGCATCCTCGCCTCACGAACCACCTCCGAAACTACATTGAAAAGGCCCCGCCCTAGATTCCAGGTCCAAGTGATGTATACCTCGTCGCCGGGCAACAAGCGGAGGAGCCACTTTGAAAAATGATCTCTCTACTGTCTAGCAGTCTCGAAGATGTTGGGAAGGAGAACAGGCAGGACGCTCAGTATGGCGCACGATGTGGAGCGTGTTGTAGTCAGTTTGGGTTCGCTGCCGAAATGCTACTTAGAACGTGCCAAAACCAGGGCCTGGAAAACATACCTTGACTTGGGTCTTGTTTCCGGTCCGCTGGTGCTCCTTGCGGTGAGCCTGTTCCGAAGCGTCGGCGGAGTTTCTTAATCATTTCCGCGACCCTTAGCGGGCTTCCGTAGGATATGGCCAGACCAGAACGCTGTTTTCATTTAAAGGGTCGATCTAGTCCGACAGAAAGAACTTCCGACCCCCCGCCAGCAGAAAGTTCAGATCCTGGCAATCTCCCAACATGGCGGCCGAAGCCTGGGGCTGTCAGTTTTCCTCTCCAAAGGCTTTTTACCTCCTCTATTTCTAAAGATCCTTCACAGTCATTTCTCTTTTCAGAGAGCCTAAGTGATCTCTCGATTTATATTTGAAAGCGTATAGCACAAGAAGCAAAGGGAGGGAAGATGGTCCATTCTAGGGCAGCTTAGAAGCTGCATCTATATATCTCCCTAAAATAAAACATGGCTGATAAGATGATTGGCAAGTTTACTCAGAGATTTTAAGTTACAATAAAACCCCACTGTATACGCCAATGTATAGATGCTGCCTGCGGGTGCTCTAAGTAGGTGCCGTTTGACCTTTATACTTGTACGGTGTATTTCCAACCAGTCCAAGCGTCGTGATTTCGCAAAAGTCTCTTTTAGTGCTATTAGTATGGCCATTGTTTCATAAGACATCTTGTCAACATATCGTCAAGTTTACACCACTCTCTAACTGCTCAGTGCCGGCGATTGGCTGCTCACTGGCTGCTCAGTATTACTCCGATACTGATCAGAGCTCTCTCACCATTGAGCAGTCTAGACTAAACGCGGGATACTACTATGCCTCATGATGACATCTTTTCATGTTACCAAGTATTTTCTAGGCCTTATCGACTTGCAGTTCCTTGAAATATTAGGAAAGCTTCTTCCCCTTGCTGCCGCCTACCCTCCTCTCTCCTATTATGAGCTTGCCGCTGAGCTCTAGTGTCTTTTTCGCTTCTACAATGCCGTCAGTTATTGCCTTCCATAGATGGAAACGCAATGTACTCTTCTAAGCCCTAGTGACGGGGTACGCTAGACCTTATATAGCCAACACTGTGCTTAAAGATCTGTTCAAGGGTTGTATATTAACAAGGCTGAAAGTATAAAACTGTATAGTAAATTACCACGACATGTCCAAAAATAGCCCATATCCAAAAAGAAACTCTCGCTAACAAAGAAAAAAGCGCCAAAGCGTCGTTCGTTCAAAGTCCCAACCCTCTATCTGCAGTTACCAAACCACTTACAGAATGGTTAGAAACATTCATCCCTAGCAACGTAACATGATTGATTATTCATATGATATACCGTGAGAACAGACTCCTATAAAGCAAATGGCGAGGGTGACGTAGTGGAGGGAGTGCTCGATCTAACATACGAAAGACCTTACGGTCATTTAGTAGCACCAGATCTCCCCCAGTCTCGGTCGGTGGTCAACCAAGTATCACCGCTAGCATGCTCGACGCCCTCTGTGGCCTCTTCGCCGAAAAGCCTACTATATACGTCGAAGAGATAACGATAGAGAAGAGTAACGCATGAAGGTCTCATGGTCGCCCTCAATGGTGGCGAAGGCTACTATTACAGATGGCAACTTCAGGGTCGGTTCAAGTTATGAAAAAAGAGAATACAGATACATCCCCTAGGAGTAAACGTACTAATCTAGCGAGAATTCTTTTCAATGGATAACTCCGCATTTGCTGAGTCCCGCGACGTGGAATTGGAAGGGGAGGTATAGTTTCTTCTTCGCTGGCACCACAGCTCATAAGTTCCCTCAAACATCACTGACTAGTTTGCTTGCTTCCACTGATCTCAAGTCTTTGAATCGTAACACAATTGTTTGTTTTTGTCAAAACGGGCTTAGAAAGAGCTTAGAAAACAGAAGGTCTGACGTTTCTCAGAGAAGCTTCAGAAGCCTGGCGAACCAAGTCGTTCCAACCATCAACCGTCTGCTCCATCACATCCGTTCCTACATTCGAAGTGTTAGTCCACATTTTCCTTCCACTTCCAAACCCTAAACCACAGAAAAGGGGACTAAGCAGATACTCACCCCACATGAATTGCTGCCAGCTTTTATCGGCCCAAAGATCTGGGTTCTTTCCTCCAGATTTGATAGCCTCATCACGCTGCCTCTGCTTCTCTCCGTCAGGTAGATGCAGCGCGAGCCGGGTTTCCGCTGCGCTATTCTGGATCTTCTCCGCCCTCTCCTTCCTAATTATCTCGTACACCTTCAACCTCGTCGGAATATCCACATCCTCCCCACTCAGCGATAAGACACACGCCAGAACGCCTGCATCTTCAATGGCCTGCGCCGCCCCCTGAGCCACGTACGGCAGCATCGGATGGCACGCGTCACCCATAAGAACGGTCCTATTCTCAACCCATGACGGCAAGAACGCATGAGAATTTAACGTCCACTCCTTCACCTCGCCCTCAGGCACATAAGACAGCAACTTGCGGACAAGCGGACTCCACTGCTCGTAGAATTGTTGCATCTCCTTTTTTGACCCTTGCTGGGTCCAGCTCTCCTCGTCTGACTTCCCTGAAGGCTTCGGGTGCAAAAGGACCATATTATACAGCCCGTTGTTCTTAATCGGATACGCCATAATGTGCCCGCCAGGGCCCATCCACCGCATCCCAACGTTAGATTCTAGCAATTTTAATGCGTCAGGATCGTTCTCGAGTTCCTTTCTCGGTATCATGATTCGGTATGCTGCATCACCGGTTGGCTGGGCATGATCGATATGGCCATGGAATTTGGCAATCGATTGTCGTATGTCGGATTTAATCCCGTCAGCGGCGATAACCACGTCTGCAGCCATCTCTTCTCCGGTCTGGAGATGGACTTTGCCGCTGAACTCGGAATCAGGGGAGATGACGCGCGAGTTCAGTTTGAGATCAATGTTTTCGTTCTGAACGGCGCGTAGAAGGATTGATTGCAGGTCGCCTCGGTGGATAACGCACAATGGGGCGCTATACTCTTGTCCGACCTATCATTGAGTCGAGCAATTTGTTAGCTACACGAAATGAGCATATTTTCCTGCTGGAGTACCTTTGGCATCAATGGTGCAGTACCAAGCTCCTCATCATTCTTATACCGCCGTAGCGAATTCTTCTCCAGAACATTTGCCTTTTTAACAACTTCCGACAAGACACCGAATCGACCAAGAATTCGCGCTGCATTGGGCGCTATTTGGATCCCCGCACCGACTTCGGCAATTTCGTGAACTCGCTCAAGGATTGTAACATTGTGTCCTGCTCTGTGCAAACCCAGCGCTGCGCTTAAACCGGCGATCCCAGCCCCGACGATGATAATGCGTAGGCGAATTGCACCTTGTGGGGGAAAATCGAACGTGTCTTTGTACATGTCCATGTTTGGAGGGTTGACTGAGAATCGGTGGAATCAATTTCGCATAAAGTCTCTACTGAATGTCCAAACGTATGTCTGGCTTTATGATTCTTTTCTGATTGTCCGCTCCGAGCTAAATATACGCCTTCACACAGCTATGCAACACGTCATCCTGCCACCTTCGAATATGGGTAATCAGCCTGGAAGCCGTGATCGGCAGTTGAAAGCTCCTTGAACCTGATCATATATCAAGAAATGCCTTCCGATTGCAATTGAATGACACAATATGAGTCTAACATGTGGAGTACGGAAATCAGACTCGGTAGATATACCCGGGTCGCCGAGTAAGCCTAGGGCTGTCCCGGCCTTGGGTGGGTACTGTGGGGAGTACAGTGGTAGAAAAGTCTTTGACGTAGTTCCCGGTCGTCCCGAGCACTCTATTCGATTAGGAATATCAAGATTGATTACCTCAACCAACTATGTATATGAACTCTTAATATAACCCAGCCCAGGAGGGTTGGGGTGGGTACTCACATTAACAAGGTCTTGGTAAGGGGGTTGAACTCAAAGGCAGCGTCAAAACCCCCTACAGTGATGCAGCTAAGGGATGGCTGAGGGAAGTTGACAGATTGCTAATGGTCGCTAATTTGCTTAATTTTGCATTGAGCCCTCTCATCATCGATACTTCCCGGGGCTTGTATCGATACAGCCGGAGTATAAGATCAAGTACGATTACAATGTATATTCACAACTCGTAATTTACGCGATTCCATATCGAGATATTTTAGATCACGTGACTAGTGTTTGATAGACCATCTCTCTATTTCCAGAGATGCAAGGCAACGACCGGCGGCATTGTATCCTCACGATCCCCATCTCGGCCATCACCAGTCTACTATCAAGATACGCCCCTTTAATGTCAAACAGAGTCACGGAATTCACCGAGAGCAAGAAAAGAGCACCTTTACTACAAAGCTAGAAACGAGATCCTCTCCTACAGTTCAGTCAAGGACAAGCTGAATCGTCGTAACGCTTGCATAGCCAAGGAGGCACCGTTGCTCTGATACGACACTATGCAGACATTAGCCGCTACTGAGGGCAGTTTTAGCTTGCTTACGGAAATACGTCAGATGAGGGAACAGTTGGCAGAAATCAATACTAAGACAGAGGAAATGAAAGCCAAGATGGAAGAAATGAACGCTCAGACGGAAGAACTCGGTCAGAGCTTTCTCAATAACCGTCAAAGGACTTTTACTACATGGGTACGAGATGCGCTTGACAAAGGCACTACACGCCGGCTTGAGGACATCCAAAGGCCGACTGAGGATTTTATCTACAATGGTGATATACGCTGCGATGCGAGGCTAGTCACTCAGCGCTATGAGAAGAATGGCACTGCATGGCGAAGATTCAGTACGCTCTATGGCCTTAACCCGAACGATTTCAAGAATCTCGGTACAATCCTAAATTCCCTTTAGGCGCGTCCTTCGCTAATTTATTTCAGACCGCAATAAATGCTGTGGATCTCTACAGGCCTTAGATAGAGCAGCTGATGTCCTGTTTAAGCACGCTTGGACAAGACTCCCGACTAAGGCGATGGAGAAGGAACGCGAGGATCTTGTCGCTATGCTACTGGAGGAGGAATATGAAGAGGCTGAGAACATGAGCAGTGCTTTATTCTGCGAGGAATATCTGTCTGAGGCCGAGGTGTCATCCAATACTGCCGAAATGCTAGATATTGACGATGGCTCTGGTAAAAAGGACACTTGAGTTAGCTTCAAGAGTAGGCGTTTCGGCGCCGAATTTGCCGTTACCTAGCTTTGTATTGTTGAAGTTTTAAAAAAAATGCATTATTGCTATAGCTCATGACAAGTATACAAATTCTCCGCCTCGCTAAGAAATGTATCCACTGGGTGTAGCAGGCCCAAATCAATATCTGACTGGGCCAAAAAATCCTGCATCGTCGGCTCCAGAAACGCCATCTCCGTGGTATATCCGTTGACAGCGTCCCGCGCTGGCAGAACATATGCATCAGGCCCGTGAGACGGCTGGCCAGCCAACAAATCGCCGTCTGCAGGTAACAAGGGCGCAACTGATGCCTCAGATGAAATCCCCGGCATATGCGCCGTAGAAGAGGGTGCCAGTGTCGAAGCCAGACCGGATATTGGTCTCAGTGCGGCTGCCGCAGGGGAATCAGTCATCTCTACGTTGACTTCCGGGCCTGATTCGCTTTTTTGTGGTCGACTTGCGCCGCGATATGCGTCGAGACAAACTTTCACTTGCTCCAGATTGTGGTAGAACTCCGCGGCGGCAAGGTTGCCATTTTCGGACATTGAACGCAGCACGTCTAGTGCGGAGTCGAAGCCGCTCATGTCACTTGGATTTCCAATAGGCACGAAACTAGACATGGCTAGAATCAGTGCGGAGGAGAAGAGGTAGTGTGCGTGGAAGTAGCCGAAAGAAGGACAGGTTCCGTTGATCCAGCGAGTTAGAATCATCGAGTGGGAGTGACGTGCGGCGTGGATACAAGCTTCGCTGAGTGTGAGGACGGGCTGAGAAACTGAATCTCGGATATTTTCTCCGAGGGGCCTTGAACCGTTATTTTTGCGAAGAGTTATGAGGAGGTGTAGTAGTGTAGGTCTCGTTGTGAGGATGACACACTGGTTAAATGCCATGTGTAAGGAAACAACGGGTTTCTTGCTAGATTCAAGATCTTCCATGTTTAATCGCAGACCTTCTGGTAGCGTATCAACCCAGTTTTTCAGTGCTTTCAGGAGTTTCTGCACGCGCTGGAGGAATGTCTCCTGGTACTTGCGTCTGCTATACAACCGGGCAATTGTTTCGCCCGCTATCCTGGCGAGTTTAATGTTTGCAGTCATATAGTCCGTGTCGGAGAGTTCTTCTTCATGCCGCCAATTTGGAGAGATAGTTGTAGGCATGTCGACGTGGATATCTTCGTCGAGAATCTGCATGGGGAGACCCATTTTGGATCCCCACATGCGGTCGAAGATGTAAATTGTCCACCAGATCTCGATGCGGTGTTGGCGTTCCACGGGGTCGATGAGTTGCGATTCGGGGATATTATGGTTTAGACCGATTGTCAAGCCCATGCGCATGGCATTTCCAATCAGTACATAGGCTGAGTGTCGTCGATTGAGGTAGTAGGAGAATAAGGACTGGGCATGTTAGCTTCCAGTTGTATACTTGAGGATTTAAGGAACCCACTAGTAGAAGCAATGTTTCAAGGTGAGTGATACTAGTCCTCTCTGGCAGGACTTGAACTAAGCTCATGGCACGCGCGAAATATGCTGTGCCGGGGACTCGTGATCCGGTGGTAGGGTCAGATCGAACAGAATAGGCCTGACCGAATGCAAACAGCGCGAAGAACTTGCACTTATTCGACACGCAGTCGAAACTTCCTGTCTGGTAGACCTCCTCCAGCTTGTCCAGAGTGGTCTTGCGCATCATCAAGTGATACAAATGTCCGATTTGGTTGATTGCAATTCGGACTAGAAGTCGGGCGTGATGTAAGCTTGGCCATTGGGCGTTCGCTTCGTTAGCTGCCGCGGCAATGACTTCTTCTCGCTCCCACTGTGTGCGTGTAATATGTGCAGTCGCATTATTCCCAGTGAGGAAGCGGCGAAAGCGAGTCGCAAAGGCAGAGCAAGCCGCTTCGCCGATATAAATGGGCGGCGAAGATGAATCATAGCGATGGAACCATGCTCGCTCACCAATGATGGGGTTCTGGATACTAGTAGTGTCAGGTGCATCGGTAGCATCTGCATGCCGAGAAAGGGCCCTGTAAGACGTATCAGTAGAAAATCCTATGATTTCAATAAGGCTGTATACACGAGATACCGTTCAGTATGAGGCCGGCCGCTGGCTTCGGTGGCGTCGGCCGAGGTTACCGATTGCTCCTTTAAGCGCCGATTCTCCGCTAGGAGCTGATCTAAGTAGCTGGAGCGAGGTCTTTGTATTAGCCCTTCAGAACTTATCTAAAAACATCCCCGAGCAGCCGAGGGTTCGGTCCGGGAAGGGGCAAGTCCGGCATACTTCTCGCTGACTTTAACTTGACGATCTCTAGAAGAGTAGGCGCATTCGTCCGCGCAACCCACTGCACGGCATTTGCTGCAAGGCTGATCACCGGAACATTTGATCTTATGGGCGTGGCATCGCTGGCATCTGTATTTCTGTCAGTCAGTAATGTCTCACGTGGACGAGAATGATCGGAGTGGAGAGTTTCTACGCACGCGACAAACTTCCTTCTCTGTTGTCTAGGACTATCTTCTGCCTCATCGGCAAATAGAGAGCGACGTTTCAACCCTGTACCTCGTGCCATTCTGTCCACTCCATTTCTCCCGGGATTGGTCCGTGTGAAGAAGCGAGGAGGTTGGTGTGTCACTCAAGATAATCGGCGAGCTTCGCCGAGCTCGGCGGCTATTGCCGAGATGCTGCATACTCTCTCCACCAATCAATTCTCATCTTCATCTGTCAGTGGAGCATGCCAGCAAATATTTCCGAACAGTCTTAGCCCGGTCGGCGCCAGAGTCTGACAATTTTTGAGCCCTACATAGAGTCATCGTTACAGTGGACTTTGTGTCTCTTGATTCTAAAACTCCCACAGAGGCCAGTGTTACAAACATCTCATTTCCGAAATTCATTGCTCTCGTGTCGTCATGGATCTCTAAGTGTCTGTCATGCCACCTCTATATGTTTGTTCATGTCACAACAAAAAGCAAAAAGGCAAAAAGAAATACAAATGCAAGTCATTATGACGGTTTTGCGTCAAGGCCAAATTTCCCCTCCACCCATCGCTGCATGTCGATGCCCCATTTAGTAATAGTGAAGACAAAGAGCCCGCCAATAATCGCGAATGCGACACCTAAGAACGGCGGTTAGCTAGCCCGAGTATAATGGTTGTTTATTAATACAGACTTACATATGGTAAATGTCCAACCCACACCAATGGAATTAATCAATGGCTCGACAGCCGCTGTCGCGGCAGCAGCAAAAACATACTGCACTAGGTATTTACCGCTGATCACCTCGGATCGAATGTGCGGCATGACCTCTAATGAAATAGTCAGAGCATGTCGTTGTGCTGTACTGGACAGTTTCAATTCACTCACCAGCCGAATAAGTGTTCAACCCATTGAATGTACCCAATAATCCGATTCCAGCCGTGAAAGCACTGATGATAGGCACAGCCATGCCTCCAACTCCTTCCTGCAGTGTCCAGGCGTAAACCAATGTAGAAGCCGGAAGCACGGCGAATAGAGTTATCAGACCGCTGTTCAGCCGATCCTGAGGAAGACGCACGCCATTTCGCTTTTTAATCCACTTCTTCACCGCACGATCTGACAGCTTGCCACCCATGACGCTTCCAATAAGGAATCCTATTCCCGGAGAAAGGTAGAAGAGCCCACTCACTAGGGGCGTTGTCAGATGGAAGCGAGGATTGAAGATAGAACGAGCAGAAGTGAGAATTCCATATTGGAAAGTTGCTAGAAGACCGCATGTAAAATGCTGCAACGGTTAGTCATGCGACGGACCCAAAATTTGCTTGTTCATACTTACGCAAAGGAAAACATTCGGGTAAATGAACGGAAGAAAGATGCGTAATGGGTTAAACATCCGCAAGGCTCCTGAAAAGCTGACCGGCTTCTTTGCAGGCAGAGACTGCTGCTGCTTCTGGATGTTCGGAACGAATAGAAGAGATAGTGCCAGCCCAAGCGCTGTCATACCGAATTGGAGCCAATAGATGATGCGCCATTGGGCGAATGTGACAATGACACCGCCAACACATGGTCCTTGAAATCGTTAGCATGGATAGCGATATACGTGGACCGAAAAGATAGATAAGTACCGATTGCAGGGCCACTAACTGAACCGACCATCATGAAGCCTACGGCTGTACCTCGTACGACCTTTAAAATGAACATCGTTAGCAACTCTTCCACCGAGGAAACAAGGTGAATCAATGACTTACTGGCTCGAAGATGTCCGCAATTATCGTCTGGCCAGCGACCATGAAAAAAGTTCCAGTAAATCCACAGAGTAGTCGCATCGCAATGAACATGTGCAGGTTAATCGCTACTGCCGTGCCCGCCGAGCAGGCACATAGGACCATGATCGCGGCATTATAGGCACTTCGACGTCCGAACAAGTCCATGATAGGGCCCCAAATAAATGATGAAAAGCCCATCGCAATAAGAACGCCCGCATTAATGACATTGAGAGTCTCGGTAGTTGTTGAAAAGTCACTAGCGATCTCTGGAGTGGCAGGAAGTAGTGATGTACTCGAGAATGTGACTGCCAGAGTCATCCAACTGACAACAAAAAGAATGAGATATTTGCGCCACAAAGGCAGGTTGTACCCAGCGGGCAAATGTGGCTTGGAGCTTATTTCCGAGTCCGATTCTGAGTCGTGCGGCGAGTCAAGTTGCGGCTCGGGTTTTTGATATTCGGGATCTGGACTCGGAGCCATTTTGGGAATGCTTCGAAGTAGAAAAAAAAGGATGCAAAAGAATGATATAAAAGAATTTACGTTGGTACTCGACTCAGATTATATTGAACACAATCAGAAGTTTCATGGAGATCGCATAGTTTTGTAGTTCACGTTTCTCGGCGACAGTTCAAGACGCCGATGACAAAAAGAAAGGCCCGTTGACTCCACTTTCGGGCACCTGCCCGAGCTCGTCCCCATCACTGATAAGAGTATGCGAAAATGGCGTAGAGCATACTATGTTATACAGGGTTTCTCTAAGTCAGATCGAGTCATATCAATGCTAGATAAGATCAGGGAGGTGAAGTACCTACCATTTCAACATGGAAATAGTGGACTGGCAATTGTAAGATCCGTGGCGCATGCTGAATCGGTGGAGTTGTTCCCTAGATGGCTATTGAAAGGTTCCTCGTCCAAATATTTCTAAGATCAGTGCAAAAACAAAAACATACAACAGCCAGGATTCGCATGTGGTCACCCACCATACTACTAACTGGCCGGCGTGTGGCTTAAGTATGGCTGAGCGGACGGGAAGCCCTGTTCTCCACACCCTATGGTCGTATGTACCTGGCATGCAATAAGTAAGAACTATACAGTGTTTCGAAGAATACCTTGAGAATGTTACAGATTATCCAGGTGATATGATCTACCTTTGTGGATACAATACCAAGATTGGGAATACGTCTCGCCTTGTCATAAAGCACAAAAGAGAGAACGAGAAAGAGAGATCCGAATATGGCTGATTCCTTAGATGATGAGGTAGGTGATTATAGTCAGTAAAACTTATCAATCCAAGTAGGCAAGTTTATTTTCCATTGGACTGAATGCCGTATCACGGACAGAACAGACTGGCCTCAATGTTCTAAGGCATTAGCCACTAGACCACCAACCGGACAGTGCTTCAGTATGCTTCTAGAGATCGGCGTTAGGTAGTTAGACCAATCGCTGATTAGTCGTACTACTAGATATTTCAATGTACACTGCGCGGTCGTGTCTTCCGGCCACTTTATTATAATCACAGCAAAAATTCCCCTTCCTTAGTACGAGGACCGCAGGATGAGACAGCTGTTGATCATCTTCAGTACGATGACTGAACATACGACCCTTTTCTGATGGATGCTTGCGTCAAATTCGCTGTGTATGGAACCTTGGACAAGAGCTAGAGGGGGAAGCCCACGTCGGTGATAAGGGGGAAAATACAGGCTGGAAAACTGGCTTTCATTCGGCCTCTGAGACCCCCATTATTCTCCTTCTGTTGTTCATGCATCCCACTCGGGTGGTTTTCCACTTGGGCCAGGTCGTATTTTTGTGAGCATCAGTACAGTGAGAGGGTATGCGTGGTATTGATCAAAATTCGTTAATTCACCGACGAAATGTAGATTCTGAACAATCTATCACCCATTTTGCCCAAATCGACCAGCTTCCAACTCACCCACTTACACAAGAATCGGCATTTGTGGACTGGGGATGATTAAAAGGTCAATAATGGCCAGGAAGGTATATTGTTTATTCTTCATCGACGAACCGGCTATGATGGGGCCTATCATTAGCGGGAGGGCAGACCGAGCGATGACGATAGAACCCATTCATGCCTCAAAAGGATTCCGTCACCAGTCATTCCCCCCCACAAACGGCGGTCAATTGATGATTGATCTTGATCTTGTACCTGACATGATATTGCCAATACACAAGGATATTTTTTCATGAATTATTGGCTAAGCGTTACTGGAGGCAACTTTCTTCTTTTTACCGCCGCATCATTCGTTGGCATGCGCAATGCAGTCATTTTTTTCAACATCGACGGATCTACAGGCAACTCGAGAAACAGGTTGTAGTGAGACACGACAAACCCGATAATGTCTGGACCCGGGAGCGACGCTACTGGTATCATGAACGAGAGATCCAGTCAGAACCAGGCGAGCGAGACGACGGCTCACCGGCAAGACGAAGACGAGAGCATGGTCAGCGCACCCTCATTTCGGGGCCAGCCCTTCACCCTCGCCATACGACTCGCACACACTTGGAACGCGACGGAGACGTGGAGCGCGCGGATTATGACCCAGGTTTCCAAGACGAACCGCACACCATCAACTCGCGAGAGACTCTGGGAGGTACGCTCGATATGATGGTAACAGGCGTTGAAAGATACAGACGCAACGACGAGCCCAATGACACACCCGACGGGGCTGCCGATGGCACAATCAACGGCGAACCAGTCCATAAGGAACGACTCGTCGTGGTCACTTTCGAGGGCGACTGTGACCACATGGACCCGCATAATTGGCCTGTCCCCCGTCGGCTGGCATGTACAGCGGTAGTGTCACTGACTGCAGCCACGATGCTATGGGCAACTACAATTGATGCTATTGTTTTCACCCCTGAGACCCGAAAACTTTACGGCACTGATAACTTTGCGATTGAGACGGTTCCGACAGGTACGTTATAGGGTCGCTATAGATGCTACGAGAGACTAACCTGCTCTTTTACTAGCCCTTTATCTAGTCGGCCTCGGGATTGGCGGGCTGTTCATAGCCCCTATCTCCGAAGTCGTTGGACGCAATCCCGTGTTTATTCCTTCATTATTACTCTTCATATTGTTTGAAATGGGGGCAGGGCTGGCTAGATCCCCAGCACAGCGAATGGTCACCAAAGGTCTCGCTGGATTTTTCGGGTCTGCTCCCCTGGTGTGCACCGCGGGATCTATCGTTGATCTTTGGTCACGGATCGAGCGAGTCTATATCTTTCCCCTATACGCCATTTTGTCCTTTATAGGACCTCTGGTAGGCCCCGTGCCCGGTTCATTCGTCGCCGTAGCCCATGCAGTGAGCTGGCGCTTTGTAGACTGGATGACTATTATCTTGGCGGGGATTACACTAGGTTTGATTGCGCTATGTATGCCGGAGACATACAGTCCCATCTTGTTGCATTGGAAAGCAAAGCAGCTCCGCCGCCTCACAGGAGACCATCGATATCGAGCGCCGCTAGAGTTTAAGAGGGTCTCGTTTTTGCGCCGCCTTGCCCACGCAATATATCGGCCGTTCCTCTTACTCGCGATAGAGCCGATCATCATGATTTTTGGGGTATACCTCTCGGCCATATTCATCATCCTCTACACCTTCATCGCGGGCTATATGGCTATATACGAGAAAGTACATAAATTCACGCCTACGCAAACAAGTCTTGCCTTCCTCGGTATCCTGGTAGGGGTATTTCTCGCCGCCCTATCTGTCCCGCTAGCTATGAAGCTGGTACGCAAAGACATCCGCCGAGGCTGGTCCCAAGGCCGTGACTGCTCGGGTCCAGAGATCAGCCTTTATATGTCCATTTTCGGGGCCCCCGCTATCCCAATCGCACTGTTCTGGATGGGCTGGATGGTCCGTCCTTCTATCTCAGTCTGGTTTCCGATCGGCTCGTCCGTGCTGTTAGGCTATGGAGTGCTGTGCGTCTTTGTCTCCTCGTACCAATACGTCGCTGAAGCATTCGGGTACCATGCTGCTAGTGCCCTGGCTGCCGTCCAAATGTTGCGCCTTGTCACTTCTGGCGTGATGGTCTATGTCTCCGAGCCAATGTATCGCAAGCTGGGCATTGCCTGGACCCTGACCTTGCTAGGTGCGATTGCCACAGTGTTTCTTCCTGTACCATACATACTGTACCGGTGGGGGCCAATGGTGCGGCGTTGGAGTCGGCATGCACAGAGTGAGGAATAGTAGGACGATTGTAGATACTCAAGCCTGAGCTATTCCCCCGAACTGGTGAGGCTTGAGGTTGAGCGGCTCATCCGACTTGGCTGCCGCGAGTGGCTGGCTCCACTCTAAGCCGCCACGAAACCTTCGGAGCACAAGCTTCAGAGCCAAGTATTGAGTACTAAATGGTAGTTACTGTGTCTGTTAAGTAATCAATCGCTATGTTTGGATGTTCAAAAAACTCAACAACATGCAATAGCCACATGCTTGCACAAAGAAGCATAGATGAGCTTAATGATGTATAGGTAGCTGACGCGTCACGGTCATGAACAATCCGCTAACGAGCGGCGCTCGGACACGAAATTGAAGCGCGGTCCGCCAAGACATCCAATGACCTTGTTGGGGGAAAAAAGAAATAAAAACTACAAGGGATGGGTCCAGTCCCTATGTTCAACCCCCCTTTTTCCACCTGAATAGTCGATATAGCACTTGAGACTGTCAGCTCAAAACATGACCGTGGGCGACATGAAAGAGGCACAGGAGTCAGCATCTTCGGCGCCAGCGGCGTGTGAGGCGCATCTCGTCCTGATTCCCCAGCCTAGTACCCACCCCCGCGACCCCCTGGTATGCAATGATGTTAGATAGCCGCGAATTGCGTGACCGCGAGGCGAGGCGCCGAGATTCGAGAGCTAATCTGATTTATTCGCAGAACTGGTCCTTGCGGCGGAAGTACATTATCCTATCGGTGCTGTGCTTGGCTTCGTTCTCGGGCGCTATTGCGCCCTTGTCTGGGCAGTTAAATCTCGGGGACCAAGAGAAGCTGTATCATAAGACGAAGCTACAGGAGTCCTATGCGGTAAGTGTTCTATAGGTTCTTGCTTTGTTACTTGACAGCTTAGGCTTGGTACAGAACTAACATTCATGTAGAATTCGGCCGCCCTGGCCGGTATGGCCGCAGGGCCATTTTTCTTCGCGCCCATCTCCCACCTGTTGGGTCGTAGCTCGGTCATATTCTGGTGCGTGCTCTGTACGCTTGTATGCCAGGTCTGGGGAGCAGTGATGACCCACCCGAATGATTATATCGCGTACATCCTTTCTCGGCTGTTTTCCGGGTTCTTCGGTGCAGTACCGACAGTCTTAGGTCCTCGTGTTGTTACCGACCTGTTCTTCTTGCATCAGCGTGGTCGTGCTTTTACTGCATTGCATATGTCATTCTTGTTTGGAACAATCGCGGGCCCAACGTTCTCTGGCTTCATTTCAGCCGGAGCCTTTTTCCCTGTTGAATTCTGGTGGACGGTTGGTCTACTCGGATTCACTCTCATCTGTTGCTTCCTCTGCCTTGAAGAGACTAGTTTTGACCGTGATAACCCTGACAAGAATCCGGAGGTCCCAATTTCATTCGGTGAAAACCGGGTGGCGACTTTCTTCTTTGGCCATCGAGTCGTGCAGCCGACTACGTGGAAGGAAACGGCAAGTGTAAATATCCTTTTGAGCCAGTGCTTGAGCTAATCGTTTAATAGGCCAAGATTGGGATCACCCCGATCCTCATTGGCATCTGTCCTGTCACCATCATTATGGGTATCTTCACCCTCATCTCCTTCGGCTTCTACGTCGGTGTCAATGCGCTCACCCCCGTCTGGCTCCAGAAGCCCGTCGCCGATGGTGGCTATGGCTTCACTTTAAAGCAAAACGCAGCCTTTACCTTCTGTCACTGGATCGGCATTATTTTCGTTCAGTTCTATGGGCACTGCTTGAATGACCGCCTCCCTCTCGCTCTTGCGCGCCGCTGGAACAACGGGTCTTGGAAACCTGAGTATCGCTTGCACGTCCTCTGGCTCCCGAGTCTGATTCTCAACCCAATCGGTCTGGGGATCTTCGGTGCCGCTCTCCAATATCACCTCCACTATATGGTCCTTGCACTGGCAGTGTTTATCGTGACCATCGGATCGCTTGCTAGCGTGCCCGTTACGGTGAATTATGTCGTCGAGTGTTTCACCAAGTACCCTGCCGAGGCAGGTATCGTGATTGGTGCTTATCGTATTGTGTACGGACTCACTATCAGCTTTTACATCAATCCGTGGGTGGAGGCGGTCGGTTTGGGCTGGGTATACGGGATGATGGCATTCTTTGCGGTATTCTCATTTTTCTTTGTGATGCTCTTGATGTGGAAGGGTCATGCTATCCGCAGCATTCAATTTTCAAGTCTTGCGTCCAGTGAGGAGGGTGAGAAGTTGACGGAGTAGATGGGCGGGTAAATGATGGGAAGAGATACACCCATCAGACGATGCTGATCATCATGTCTCTACATTTCTATTCCAAGAGATCCCCTGATCACACAAGATGAATTAATTACGGGAGGAAATTTGCTCCATTCAGCAGTCACTAGCCCATGTGGCCTAATCGCCAAAGCAATAGATAATATCGGAAATGTCAATCTCATGCGGCTACCGGGAGAGTCCAACATTCCTACTCTGATGGATGTGCTCTTCGTCGTAAGAGCCAGACTATGAAATACAATCAATTATACGGGCATGCCAGTGCTTGTTCAAAAGCTCCCTAAGAGGCAAGCCAAGCTGATCGAAATTCCTTCCGAATTCAGAGACCAGTTGCTCGGGGACTTGGTACCAATGGTAAATACCAGCGCTATAAAGAATGATCAATCTGATTATTTCAAGGAGTCCATTCAAAAAATTGAACAAATTATGCCCAATCTAGTCCAGTATCTAGACTTCTGAACTACCGCTATAGATCAGTAGGTGGTATAGAATGACGACCACGGTTTACATAGAAAATTCGAGCCAGAACACGGATATGACATTAAATTGAACTGCAAAAAGTTCGAGAGAAAACCATAATACCAGACCATCTTTCAATAGAACGCCTTTTTAACACTCGACCGAACCACAAAACTCAGTTCTCTTCAGCCTCCGGCATCAACTCGGGCAATAACCCTGCCACAGTCTGCACATCTTTGTCACCACGACCACTCAAGCAAACTACAATATCCTTACCCTCTCCCAACTCTTTCGCCAACTGAACGGCACCAGAGATAGCATGCGCACTCTCCAAAGCAGGAATGATTCCCTCCGTCTCACTCAACAACCTAAATGCATCCAACGCATCCTGGTCGCTTGCAGCAACAAACCTCGCCCGACCCGACTCTTTCCAACTTGCCAACTCGGGTCCAACACCCGGATAATCCAATCCCGCAGATATAGAATGCGTGGAGGTGATCTGACCATCCTCATCTTGTAGCACGTACGTGCGAACGCCATGTAAAACACCAACCGAACCGCGCCCCAGCGTAGCAGAGTGCCGGCCAATAGCGGAGCCATCACCCCCAGCCTCGACACCAACGAGTTGCACGCCCGGGTCCTGCACAAACGGATAGAACATGCCAGCTGCATTCGACCCACCACCTCTACACGCAACGGCAGCATCGGGCAACCTCCCACCATTAAGCTCTTGGAACTGCGCCCGCGCCTCATTGCCGATAACAGCCTGGAACGTCCGCACAATAGTCGGATACGGGTGTGGACCAAACGCAGATCCAATCACGAAATGTGTACTGTCAAGATTTGTGACCCATGTGCGAAACGCCTGGTTCACCGCATCTCGCAGTGTACCCTCATCGCCTGGATGCGCGCCGGGCACGGCGATGACTCGTGCACCGAGTAGTCTGATTCGGAACACGTTCAGCGCTTGTCGCTGTACATCTTCCGCGCCCATGATATTAGTGCATTTCATGCCGAAGCGCGCGGCTAGTGTGGCCGTTGCCACGCCGTGCTGGCCGGCTCCCGTCTCTGCGATGATGGCTGTCTTGCCGAGACGTTTTGCGAGAATGATTTGGCCCAATGCGTTGTTGATCTTGTGGCTGCCCGTGTGGTTGAGGTCTTCGCGCTTGAGCCAGATGCGGGCTCCACCTGCGTGTGCTGTGAGCCGGGGTGCTAGATGCAAACTTGACGGGCGATTGGCATAGGAGGCGTAGGATGCTATTTCGGCCCAGAAGGTTGGGTCGGCGATGGCGGTGTTGAAGCCTGCTTCCAGCTCCGTGAGGCATTCCATGAGTGCTTCGGGGACGTATTGGCCACCGAATTGACCAAAGCGGGTGTTCAGATCGGCGGGTGTAGCATCTCCCCCATTCGCCGAGGTGTGAGCAGGAATGATATTTGCAGTTCCTTCCTGGTTGTCTTCCTCAGCAGGAGGAGTGATGACTCGAGCCTCGGTCCTGCCAGTAACATGCAAACAATACTCCTGCACCTGCTGAGCCCCAGTACCCTCCGGTGCATCACGGAGTATACTGATAATCTTACTCCCAATAACGACTCCGTCTGCAATACGGGAGACATCCACAAAGTGCTCGCGGGTATTGATCCCAAAGCCCACAGCCGTCGGGACTCGGTCCCCAGTGTAGACATGCACACGCTCCAGAAGCTTGTTCAAGCCCTCGTCAAGCACCTTCAAGGAGCCCGTCACTCCCATTCTGGAAACTACATACACGAACGAGTCTGCAATACTGCAGAGCATTTTGATTCGGGAGTCTGGGGTTGAGGGTGCCACAAGCGGGATGTATGACAATCTGCACATATACCGTAATTAGCACTCCATCACTCAACTTCCATAAATCAATGGCCACAAAACCCATACAGCCACTGCCAAATCCAAAATAAAAGCTTCAAAATAAACTCACCCAAATCCCTTACAAACCCCCCGAAACCGCACCGCCTCCTCAGGCGGCAAATCAACCATGATAAACCCATTGACACCCGCCTCCTTGCAATCCCTCAACATCCTCTCCTCCCCATAGGCCCGTACAGGATTATAATACCCCATAAATATGACCGGTGCTGTAAGGCCACTCTTCCGCGCTTCACGGACCATCTGCAGCATCTCCGGTATGCGGACGCCGTTTTGGAGGGCTTGGGCGTTGGACTTTTGGATCGTGGGCCCGTCGGTTAGGGGATCTGTGAACGGGATGCCGAGTTCGATTATATCTGAAAAAAAGGAGCCATTAGAATTGGCTATCGAGGTTGGGTTGGAGGCATGGGTTTAGTTAGGAGGCAAGTACCTGCGCCGCCGGCTTGCATGGACAGCATTATCTTTGGTGTTGAGGACGCGGTTGGATACCCGGCTGTCACGTAGGTGACTAGGGCAGCGCGGGACTCATTTTTGCACGTTGCGAATACGGCATTGATAGCCTCCATATTTGGTAGCTTGTGATTGTGTAAGTCTTGACAATGTCTAAATATGATATTCAAGAAGGAAGATAGGAAGATAGGCCCGGACCGGTACTGTCCAAGTTGGAAAGACACGTGCGATAATGCTAGGGGAACTCGATTGAAGAATATAGAATCAACTGCAAACCATAGCAGTATTTATGTGCCGTTCCAGCAGTTAATGATCTATAACTCTGACTCACAATTTCTGTATGTCATTTTGCAGCTACAATCCTCCCGGGTCGAGCCATGGACTTCCATCCTCGGACTAGTTCTGAGATTGACCCACAGGATCTACTATTTCCGATACAATAAACCATCATTTCGATTCAATGGGAAGTTAAATTAGAATAATTGAAGAGCAGATTATGTTGTACATGATTTGAAGCTGCTAATGGCGTTAACTATCCCAACTTCCTCCGGGAAAGACACCAACATCGTCTAATTCACCAACAATAACCACTATGACCAGACATCTACCCTTCAATCAAGCCAACATCGTCCAATTAAAATCTGCAATAAATTTTCAGCTCGCAAGGGCATCCAGCAAAGAAATGAGTCACAATTAAACTGCAACCAGTGGCATTTACAAATTATACTGGCAGTCGGAATCGGGTCGGAACAAGTGGAGAGGTGCACGGCCCGCGCACCTGACACCACCTTGAGCTCGACTGAACTGGTTCTCGGTGGAGGCGTTCTAGAAGATGAGATTAGGGTAGAATGTGGTGCCATTGGGTGGATTTCATCTGCAAAGAGCTTATTCCAGCATGACCTATTGCAATTGAAGTCGGTTGGTACCTGGTACAGGAGGACCTTATCAACTGTGGGTATAGTACTCGAGAGCAACCTTTCTCCGCAGTCCCTAACACAGGTTACAACTAGGATTACTGGCTGAAGCGGAATCAATGAATGAACACCGGCTAACTATTGAACCGTTAAGGATTATATAAACAATTTATCGGAACAAGAGGTTCTCGAATACAAGAAAAGCAGGGGGGATGTGCGCCAATGTGCGAGACTGCCGAAACTATAGCACACGAAAAAAAAGAGAGGGTGTCAAAATTGGACGCACCAGTATATCACAGAAAACAAAAAGTTTGGAAAAAAAAGAAAACGATACAAGAGCCCATTTTTGGTTGTTAGGGGACAAGGTTTACAGCATGATCATGAACAGGCCAGAGGCGATCGCGGCAACCGCGTAAGCCCCGGTCTGCCAAGCACCAACATAGACGGCCTGGGGGCTAAGAGTCATGGCGCCAGCGCCCTTGGAGGTAGAGGTGGAGCCGCCAGTGGCGCTACCAGAAGCAACCAGACCACCGTTCACGTTGTTGGTACCAGCGGTACCGATGGCGCTCATGGCAGAGGACTGAGCAGAGCAGGAGGAGGCAGTGGTGGCCTTGGTAGTCTTGGCCGCACCGGAGAAACCGCAGGCGTCGCTGGACTTGCTGTTGAGCTGGTAGTAGCGGTTCATGGCCCAACCCAGACGCTGCTTGGCATTGCACATGGAGTAGGCGCCGTACGTGCCCGCGGTGGAGTTGGTGGAGACACCGCTCATGGCACCCTTGACACCACCCAGGTAGTTGAAGGTGTCGGTCATCTTCTTAGTGGAGATGTCGTCAACGGGCACACACTCCAGCTCGTTGTACATGCACTCGCAAAGATCGGCGTTGGGGGAGGGGGGCAGGACGCTGGCAGCCAGCCAGTAGCCGGCCTCGACGGTAGGGCAGCTGCGGCCCACGGTGGTGGTGGCGGAGTAGCTGGCGCTGTTGACACCGGTAGGAGTGGCCGACTTCATCTGGGAAGACAGGTTCTCAAAGTCCTGCAGGGTCTTGACGCTGTTGCCGCTGGTGGAGACCAGACCGAACTCGTTGGAGGTCTCAAAGTACATGTAGACGATACCACCGCTCCAGACGTTGTTCATCTTGGGGCCGAAAAGGACGGGCACATCCGTGAAGGGACGGGGACGGGGCTGATTGCAGCCGTACTCGGAAAAGAATGCGGGGACGGGGTAGTCGGCGAACTCCTTGGTGCGATCCTCGTAGCCGGAGGTAGAGTAGCTGGACTCACCACACCACTCGTAGATGTTGTAACCGAAGAAGTCGATCGAGTCATCGGCGGTGTCGCAGACCAGATAGTTGGAGACCTGCTCACGGACGGTAGCATCGTCATCGGTAGCGTAACCAATGGCCAGGGAGGTACGGTAGTTCTTCTGCTTGATGTAGGTCTTCATGTCGCGGACGGCGGCCTTGACGTAGGCCATGGAGGCGGTGTTGTTGATCTTGTTGGCAACCTCGTTACCGGCGAAGAAACCGATCACATTGGGGTACTTCGCGAAGGCATCGATGACTTGGGAGTAGCGCGTGAACAGATCGGCATCCCAGGTGGGGTCGTCGGACTGAATGGACTGGGAGGGCGCCGACAGATCGGAGATGACATAGATACCGGCATCGGCCAGGGCGCTCATGCACTCGTCGTGGGAAGAGTTGGGGCTCACGGCGTAAGTGCGGACAACGTTGGTGCGAAGCTGGACCAGGTAGGGAATGTCACGCTTGCAGCTCTCGACATCAGCCAGAGGGTCGACGTAGTTGTCGCTGGAGCTGCTGGAACCGCTGGTAGGGCTGGAGTAATCGGCCTGGTAGGCAACACCACGGATGAAGAACTCGGTACCGTTGTTGGAATAGAAGAACTTCTTGCCCTTGATCTCAATGGCAGGGACGGTGGCCAACGCCGAGCCCACGAGGGACAGACCGGCGAGAACGGAGTACTTCATGATGAGCGGTAAAGCTCGGAAGCGAGTGATGTCAAGAATTGACGGGGGAGGATGGGTTGAAAAGGAATGTGATGTGTTGTAGGGTAGTCACAACACGGGGGGAACCAAAACACCAAACGAATGAATTGGGGGAAGGGGGGAAAGAGGAGGAAGGCGTTTGAAAAGGGAAGGGGAGAAGAAGGAAAAGACGGAGCAGGGGAAGGAGGGTCGAGCGGGTGATGGTGATTGGCGTTGGGTCCAAAGCCTGGGGCCGGCTCTGTAAGACGGCTGAGAGGAGAGAGAGTGACTTCACTTCTCATACTCTTCTCCTCCATCAACCAAGTACCACCAACGTCCCCCTCCCACTGCAGCGGCTTAATGATTTGCAATGGCGACGCATCATCAGGCGGGCTGTGCCTGTGGGTGCATCGCAAATCAATGGACCGACTTACTGTCAGAGGCAACTCGTCATTGGCAACCGATCGAAGACACGGCGTGTGGTGAGGCCGATATCTCGGGGCCCTTCAGGGTCATTGGGCCCTGAAGGGACCAAAGTGGATCCTCCCACTGGGGCCACTTTTTGAGGGGGCCCTTGGGCCCTTTGGGGGTCCTCCGAAAGACGAGAAGGCCCTTTTGGCCCTGAAAGCTTTGCTTCTCTCGGAACAAGTGGAGCTCCGTCTCTGCACCAATGCCAATGATCCTCGATCACTCTGACTGGGATGGAGCCCCTGAGACAATTCCTTTCTCCACTGATAACACTCGCTTGCTCCCAGAGCCCGCTACACAGCATTCGCGACCCCACTACGAGGAAAACAAAAGGTCCCTTTCAAAACGAAACAGATTGGCCCCTGAATCAGGGTCCGCAGAGCGGGCTGGCGAGGGTCCCATAATACCACCTGGTTTACGAGACCCTGAATGGCTGGCCCCCTGCATTAGCGCATGACAAAGGAATATCATCCCGGTCCAGCCAATCATTATCTGCGCTTAAAAAATCCACCGTCCCATGCACAAATCTCAGCGCTTTCCCGAATACTTTACGGAGTACCCAACTGCGCATTTACCATCCATCCGCGAGCCGCGCTTCCTGCACAAGTTGAAAGCATATCCATCCAATCCCTCCAATAATTTCCGGCTAAATCCAATCGGTACCTCCAGTCAAACACCTGGTTCGCATTAAATAGAAAAGCTTGTCTTTCCGCCAAGGGCGATCCGATCGTGGATGGTGCCGATAGCAATCCTCGGCGATCTGGGCATACGTCGGTCAAGGAAAGCCCAGGAAGTCTTGATTCATCGTCATAAAACATCCTTGATCGACAGCCACGCAAGACAATGAATTTGTGAAACAAGTTGACAACTGACATTGGAATGTGAGAGCCATGTTTATTCTTAGATTATTCCTCCGAGCCGTGTCATTGTCCACGCCGAGAATGCGAGGAATGCGAGTAGCGTCACCGCTCCACGTCCGTGCCCCAGACAATCTCAGTTCAACAACACTCCCATATCCCACCACGAGGGAACTTTGAAAATAGGCAGACACTTTTACTCGATTTGAGCTATTGGCGGAACCCGGAACTATGGCCAATGGTCTCTAACCACAGCCCGCATGATGCTGAACCGTCTTCTGGATTCCTTTCACCAGGAAGAACAACAAATAAGACTATTTGGCCAATATGATCGCGCCGGTGGATCATGGGGGGGGGGGGGGGGCAAAACTTCCACCTCTATGTGGGCCACCTAGACCAGCAACGAGACGGCACATCATTTTCCTTTCCGCGGTCTCATTAATATACGGTCAATCTACTTGGCGCAGTAGTTGCACTATAGAAACAAGATCATCAACTTTGTCAAAACGAGATTCAAATTGCATAATCCGATTAGGCTCTTCTCGTTGCTCTACCTGCAAGGTGCCTCATCATTAATACTCCGGACCTGCGATATCAACCGACTATTGTTTACCCCTGACGATCGGGACGGGCGGCTGCATGCCAATGGGTCAGCGCGGGCTCATCACTTACAGTATCCATACTCCAGGCTGAACATCCCTTCGAATTCGGGGAAATATGTAGGCAAATCTAGATCAATTTGCGCTCCATTCTGTGGACCAAGCTTTATAGCGTGGGGTCCATTGATGTTGCCGCCATGGAGACCAGCCGGTGATTGCTGGATGTGACGTAATGGATGGCTTGCGCCATCATTGAGATACAGAGGGATAAGGGGCATTTCTTGTGTGATTTGGAGAGGGATTCACTTTGGATTAGTTATCTCCAGGCACTGATCAAGCTTGTTGTCACTAGAAACTCAGCCAAGGGTATCTGGCCCGATGATATCCCTCATCTCGCCCAGTTATTTCGCGTAGCTTCTCATGTCCTTGGCGATAAATACCTGAATATTTCTGCATTTCTCATCTAGAACAATGAACAGGATACTCAACAGGACTTGTCTGTGCCCTTTATTCAATGACATGGCCCATCTCTTAAGCACCTGTAGTATAGTATATTCTAAAGAGACGGAATTACCGTCCTAGGGAACCTATTCGTAGTGAGAAAGCCTCGCTCAACGCATAGGATGTTCGGATCAATTAGCGTCGATATAGTTTGGTAGGGATTTCTGGGTTAAGTTAGTATATCAAAAGTGAGTAATCTGTTCGACCAACAGAGTCGCAGGCCACCCTTTCAAGATTACCTACGTCAAATGAGACACGTCGTTCAGTGCGGCGAACGTCCTCGTCACTCTGACTTGAAGCTGTAAGTCAGTCGCAAATGACCCGTTTGGCGGCCACTCGCCGCGACTCAGCTTAAAACGCCTGGAGCTATACTCGAATGGATCAGGGGTACACTCAAAAGAAAATTATTCTGGGAAATGAGCTCGAGACTCGACTGCATTATCTCAAAATGTGTCGCATTTTTCGAGCAGACAGCCGTCATCTTTCAAGGTTACTCTAGAGCTCTTCTCGTCATTAGGTACAGGAGTCCCTCGAAGGTTAACTTCCTGAGCAAGCCTATTAAGATTACTTGCCAAGGGCGTGACGGCCCGCCAGGTCCTTCATTACAGTCGATTTCGAAAACAGATTACCCCTCGGACACACTGACTTTGTTTCTCGGCCTGTACCCCTACTTTGATTTAGGGTGGTCAACCCCCTAGAGTCGAGAGAACGGGTGAGTAAATGCACCCTAGGTCTAGTTACACGAAAGAAACCCCTCAAAATATTTTCGGTCATGTCTATATCTCAACTCGTTCTATCAGCCTCATACCACCACCTTCATTTTATTGAAAGGTCATCTTAGGTAGCCAAGTTGGAGTAAAGAGGTAGACAAGACAAGGGCTAGAGTCTCAATTCAATCAGAAAAGAATTATGCGCAAATAACTGGTTTTAGTAATTATGAAGCCTATTTATTGCCCTTTCTCAGCGACTGCCAGCAAATGGTCCGCATTTCCTAGTAGTGCCTCATCATCCGTACACTGCATCACAATATCCACCCAAAGCTCGTAGCCTTCTTGTGGCAAGATCGCCAGCTTTGACGACAGCCCTCCACCCAGAAATCCTTCGCAAGGCACTATCCTGTTTAAAAAAATTCCCACTGCATGCTGAGCTGCGCAGAGCCCACTAACCATTTTAAAAAGCTCTTTAATCTCGCTGACATGCGTATGGTGCATTGCACGAGATGGGTTTCTTGTATATTTGCCCGACAAAAGATACTCTCTGTAAAAGCTGTAGTACTCCGTCATAAGACGCGCCGGGTCCCGTCTAGCAATATCTCTTAGATGCGCGTACTGAGTGACAAATGCGACGAGAAGAAATCCTCCGGGACGGAGTAGGGCGGTGCAGGTGCAAAGGACTTTGGAACGTTCAGACTCTTCAAGAAGGTGGTACATTGGACCCTGGCAGAGGATCAGATCATATGATGATATGGCGAAAACTGCTTTAGGATCGTCCTTATCTGCTTGTAGCTGAATAGCTTGCGCATCAGCCTGGACAATGCCATCGATAGTTACGCCGGATTCGGTAGCAAAGGACTTCGCTATGTCGAGCTCTGACTGCGATATGTCGACGAGAGTAACAGAATGGCCATTTCGCGTAAGCTCGACAGCTTGACATGAAGATTATCATTAATAGGGGATTATCGCTGAATCAAATATATATCCAGCACTTACTATATCGGCCGGTGCCTCCTCCCAGATCTAAGATCCTTAACTGTCTCTGTAGACGTCGTCCTAGTTGTTCTAGGCATTGATTGATTACCCTCATGGAAATCGAAAATTCAAGGCTACAGGCATTAAGTCGATCGTGCTCCAGAGCCGCATTGTGATTATACCAATCCATAATGCGTTGAGGGTTAGTCATTTTGGAGGTATATTTGTTGCTGTGTTGGAAATTTAGAGGCACTGTGAGTTATTTAAACATGGCTGGAATCAATAATAAACAAAGCCACCGTTGCATTTGAACTTAGTTATTATGTTTTGGCTCGTATTCGCCTAAATGCTCGCGTCTCCCGATTAAATGCCTCATATTATGAGCAGAAAGTTGATAACATAGCCCCACTGTCTGTTGCCCGATGCAACATTTGCCTCGTGGGATCATCTCTTGTCTATCTATTCTGAAGAGAACGGATAGCATGAATCTACAAAGTATCCGCCCAAGAAAGATGCTCAAGACATGCTGGGGAGAAGTAACGCCGGTGCGGTTTGGGTTAGATGCTAGAAAACCCTCTCTAATGAAACATGAAAATTAGGAACTAGGACAATGATAATGAAGTATTGCATACGTGATGACCTCAAAAAACAAGTATTGTACACAGCTGAAGCTAGCGAGTGGACTTTAAGGGGTTACAGTAGTTTTCGAAATCAGTCTGAGTTCACTCTTTAGATTTGATTATCGGAAAATAAATCCGAAACCCGCTAATTCTGTTCCACATCGCCGCTCTATCAGTTGGGCAGAACTGCGGTGGTAATGACAATAACACAATCTGAGACTTATTGTAATTATATCATTTATTGTAATTATATCATATTTCTCCCAAAATCCCTACAATCATTTGAGTACTGACGATCTGACATGGTCCCCCGCATACTTTTCCGTTTCGTTATTTCTCCCTCCCCTACGGTCTCTGAAGCCTTCGAAACATAATGCCGGTCATTTTATACAAATAGCTGCGCTTTGCTATAGAGAGCCAAATATAGCACAGCGTCTCTCACTAATTGCGTTGATACCCCAAGGTACTTCTTGTCATTACCAGTTCACCTCTTTTAATGCGTGATGTTATTATTGTTCGGACAATCTCTGACTAGAAGAAGTTATGATAGAGGAATGCACTATGAGCCCTTGATCGAAAAATATAACATGATATCAAAAGAGAGAGAGAGCACTCTGGATCTTCTCCCAGGGCTCCTTCTCCGTAAAGCTGTTCCTCTCTCTTTATTTTTGTTACCGAGCATACCGAGTCCTAGAACAGAAGCCATGCAATGCGACAACACTGGAAGCGTCGGCGCCAAAGCCAGAAGTATGAAAAGCCTTAGGTTATTCGACAAGTTACTCTATCTACGAGTACACTAGTTGCAGGTGATGTCAAAAATATCGACTTAAATAACGGTTGTGACTGCCTACGTCGCTCAGCGTCGGGACACCAAAAACACAGGGGAGATGACTTTGAAAAAAAGATATAACTCTAGATACGAGCCATTTCCGTATATTTTCAATCCATCTAGATAAAGCCAGTCGCATTCTGCCTCTCGGACTCAATACCATCAACAATACTCCAATCCCGTTGACAAGTCAACACCGTATGCTACTACACTACTGTACGCCTTAAGAAAAGATTCAAGATCGGACATCAAGCTAACTCGAGAATAGGGATGGTCATTCATGACCCAATTGTCTCCGTAATGCAAAGCGCTTCTGGATTCAATCCCGTCAGAGATGTATATTTTTCCATTAGAATTTTCTAACGCTTCATAGTTCAATCTTCTAATAGCTCATTCAGCTTCTTAAATGGCCTATCTTTATACTAAAGCGAGCCTATTAAGAAAGAATTGGTCATCCGTAGTGTTTTTCCAATCAGCGCAGTATCTCAAGCTCGAGAAATATCACCAGTGCTCCTCGCTAATGTCCACGTCCTCAACATCCACGCCTTCCACAAACCACCGACCATCACCGTTACCATCAGGGCCGAGTAACAAGTCATTACCACACATAATGCGCTTACGCATCTTTCCAGTTTCCCTGTTGAAAGTCCAATCTTCCAGTCCATAGCACCGCTTCCAGCGCATGCCATCTTCGGCGTCCTGGAATTCGTACCAGAACTGAACAGCAATACGATCATCTGTGAATGAGAATAACTCTTTCCGGAGTCTATAGTTGCGTTCCCGGTTCCACTTAGCCGTGAGGAAGCTGATGATGCCCTCCGTTCCGGAGAGAAATGAGGTGCGGTTGCGCCAGATGCAGTCCGGAGTGTATGCTTGCGCGATACGAACAGGGTCCCTATAAAAACAATGAGCTAGAGCCTTGGGGCAACAATGAGCGACGCGTATGAAGCTAGAGTTCCAACTTTGGAGACATAACGGCTCTGCGGTCTCAAAAAAAAACCAGAGTGTAATGTGGTGCTAGGCAAGCAAGAAATAGGGCGAGGCAATGGTTCAAGAATCAAGATCGGGTTCTCATTCCAGGGATACTTGAAGCATAGAATGGGCACAGCCAACAATGACCAATGAATAAAAGTACAAGGGATCGGTGCCTAGCATACTGATCGTTACTATATGGAAAAAGCTGACTTACTGAGTATTCCAGAGATTCTCCGCCAATTTGACCTTCTTCCTCGCAGTCTCTTCAGTAAAAGGCGGCTTAAGGTCTGCCATATTCAACAGGACACTTGGGAATAGTAAAGAAACTTGAACAAGATGATTTATTATTTCTTTAAAAACAATCATTCAAGTGACATCCAAAGTCACATATATAAGCTCTCTCATGCGTTGTTAGCCTTATGTCAGCCATAGATCAGCCATATATCAGCCATGTATCAGCCATAGTTATATCAGCCTTATATAAGCCTTATGCAAGCCTTATGCAAGCCTTTTGCACCTTATGTTTAGCGTCACTTCTTGATACCATAGCCACAGGGGTCCAAGGGGTGAATATGGCTCGCAAAAGGCGAAAACTAGTCACAGGGCGAGCAAATCGTACCAATCGGGAGTTTGAACCAGGCGTGCCTAATGAGGCGAGGCCCAAGTTAAACCTCTGTTTTTGGGAATCCTGGTATGTATCATTGGTCACGTGACTCAGAGTTTAGGCGACCCCCGGAGCCACAGGGAAGCTTTTCGTTTCACACCGGATGTTAAATCACGTGAAACTTTGGTAAATGGCAATGAGAGTGGAATAGAGAGCCATCAAGGTCGCGTATAGACAATATGTGTAATATGCAGTATTCTACGTTATTCCATCGTTCAAGTTTTTTTATGGGTCTACTCTTAGGAATTAATCATTTACAGTCTTTCCTTATCGAGACTAGCGTATACTCGGATACAGGCCGAGAAACAAAGTGAGTGTGTCTAATGGGTAAGCTGTTTTCGAAATCGACTCTAACGTCATCCACAACACACCCCAAACGCAGTGTCAATAGAGTCAGGGCTAATCCTTCATGAGCGATAATACGACAGACCGGTATATCGCTGAGCTCAAATCGGCTCTGGTGATCTTCTGGGTAATTTGGCAAAAACAAACATCACAAATTTTCAAGAAAAGTGGTTACCGACAATACGCTACAGTGACGCCGGATATCGCCTTCCATTTCGGGGAAGAGAGGGGTCTTGTTTTAGACCCCCATTGCATGATGCGTTAAACCTGATTTTTGGGAATTTCCGGTTCTGAATATACATGGGGATGACAACTGAATTTGTAGAGATCTGTATAGATAAATGAAGGCCTGGACGACTAGAGGCTCTAGGCAAACCGAGTAACCTTGGCGGGCGCCGGGAGTCTGCCAGCTTCCCTCCATCCCTGGGTCGCTTCACTACAGAATTTCAAAGTTGCCCTGGGTATTCCTCTCTAGTCAAGTTGATAGACAAAGTTGCCAATAGGACCCCATGACTCTTTCCGTGAGGACGCAGACCAACTCCGAACTTAGTGTAAGTACCCCGCCCGCTACAGCCAAACAGTAAAAACTTGTACCTCATCTCCAGCCTGCAGGTAATCGCGTCGCTTTTATCTGGCCAATCACGCCCTCAACTAAGAAGTTATACTCCTTCTTTAAAATACCGACAACGTTTTATTGGAGCCTCAACGCCTCTCTTCAAAACAGCTAAAGACATTGACCGGAAACTAGCCTTTCTTAGCCGTTGTTGAGGGGAGCGGGGCATACCATGCTACATTCGCGCCTGCGGCCAGCTCCCCGCCGCAATCCCTCTACGACCACCACCGCGCCTGCGGCTCCAGCGCTAGGCTTTCATGATGCGGATGAGAGCGCGTACGTCGAAGAATTTCCCGAGGATGTCTTCGGTGCCTTCCTGCCTCATCTTTTTCCCGACGATGCGCCTTCGTTCCATGGTGATCCCGGCCAGTGCCTCCTTTACTCGTCCCCGCGCTATGGCGAGCTAGAGATCATGATTCCGTCCTATCCAGGCCAGACTGGGAAGCAGTCAGAAGAGGTCGCGATCGGACTAGGGAAGGAAGAGGGGGGTACTGAGGCTAAAGAGGAGAGACAGCTGTTTGCGCATTTTCTATGGAGTGCGGGGATGGTTATAGCGGAAGGTGTTGAGAATGCGGATTGTCAGGCTACGGAAAACGACTCTGTCTCGCAGAAAGAGGCTCGTGAGATCTGGTCTGTGTCTGGGGAAACGGTGATGGAACTCGGGGCTGGTAAGTTCTCTAAAGTAGTACAATGTGAACTTTCTAGCTCACTGATATCCATCATCTAGGCGCCGCTCTGCCGTCTCTTATCTGTGCGCTCGCCAATGCCTCGCTGGTCGTCATAACGGACCATCCTTCCTCACCAGCTCTAACTGGTGCAATCGAGTTCAATTTGAAGCAGAACCTGCGCAAACCTCAAACTTCACAAATGACTACCGTTTCTATCCAGCCCCACGAATGGGGAACTCTGACCGACTCCTTCTCTCAATCCTACAGAGGGACTTTTACCCGTGTTATTGCTGCAGACTGCTATTGGATGCCCTCGCAGCATGAGAATCTCGCCCAAACGATGCAGTGGTTCCTTGCCCCAGGAGGTAGAGTCTGGTGTGTGGCTGCGTTCCACACGGGCCGGGCTATCGTGGCGGGCTTCTTTGAGATTGCGCTTGAGAACGGTCTTGAGATTGAGCGGATCTTCGAGAGGGATATAGTCTCAAGTGATGAGGAGGGCCGGGAGATTCGGCGGGAGTGGGTTCCCTGGCGGGAGGACGAGAACCCTGAGACTATGCAACGGTGGTGTGTCGTTGCTGTTCTGAAGAGGAGAGAAGACACTGGAGATGAGATTGGACGATAAACCTCATTTGCATTGCGTAGCATATGGTAATACAGAAGCTACATGGCTAATATCACCCTTTTCATCTATGATGTGTATGTGATAGACCGAAGGTTTACCAAATCTAGGCAGATATACTCATGTATAGATAAAAGCCTTCACAAAGAAAGACCGATTTGACAGAAAATCGAGTAGCTAAAGCTCCACTTGTAGATATTTTTGTCTATCTTTGCCGACCCCCTTGAGCACCAGACACTATCTCGAGAAGCTAGACCTTTTACATTTTCCCGGACCAACTTGGTTTACGCCATAATCTCTGTACCTGACAATTTTGATTGGATAGACAGGTGAGACTCTTGCCAGATATCGTTATATATATGAAAACCCGTCAAAAGATGGCAAACCCGTGTCCCGGCAATGACTGACTGCTGTACAAATCAAGGGCAGACGACCAGGACAATAACAGAATCCTGGAGCCGCACTGTCCACTTGATATTCTCTTCGCAAATGTTGCAGACTGCGACGGGTAGTAGTTCTGGAGCACTAGATTCCCAACAGCATGCAAGAGTCAACAATGGAGAAGGTATATCGAGCATCAAGAATGAACCATTCAACCGTTGACTGTAATCCCACTGAACGAATCCAGACTAGTAGGTTAATGTACAGAGACTACGGAGTACTTATCTGATACCCCTAATGAAAGTAGAGATACGTCCATAGAATCGAGGCGGGTCATCAAGTGGACTCCCGTCCTATGCTTCAGCCCTACCACAGACTCAGGGAACGGAAACGCCGGGTAAATCACTGTTCTCCCTTCCACCACCACCATTACTATCCAGATTTCCACCTTCTACTGCCATTCTTTCGAGCCTCGACTGATATCACTATATTCAAATAGACAACCGTACAATTGAAGCACAGGCCATTCTCCGAGTCGATGCCGCCCCCACTGTAAGTGCAATGACCTGCCCCATTTGGCCAGCCAAGAATAGAAATCCAGCCCTATGGTGTCGATCCTCGCGAATTCAGGAACGGATTCGTTTGAAATACGCACCCACGAGGACAAGTGGGCAGGCTAAAACATGGCGCTTAACATCACGCCCGGTCCCCCATTCTCCGCAGCAGGCAACCACAATAATTTCAGAGGGTTCTGTGCTGTACAGGGTCGATTCCTTGGTCAACCCGTAACCCGGGTCGAAGGAGGCTCTTCATTTAGAAACAAAAAGGACAAAGCCCCCGGGACCTCGTCATTTGGCGCTTACTCTTCCTTTTTCTCTCCTCTCCAAAGCCCTGGTGCCTACTCACTCAGCCCTCGGCCTTTCCCTATGGAGTTACTTTCTCACCTTCGAGGGCTCATGGGCCATCGAGTTGAGCTTCAGCCTTTGAGCCAGTGCTTACCCTCAGAAGCTACTAACCCAAGCAGGGACGATCTTGCGATTGATCTGTCCTGCGCGCAGTCCCGACGTAACGGTTTCCCGGGTCAGCACATTGCAACTGCAAAAGCGCATTGAGGCCTCACCGACATTGAGGTCCTCAGATCGCAGGCTGCCACTGAACTAATCCATCAAGGTTTGCTTTCCACTTGGTGCAGCTGCTCTCCCGGTATCGCCGTCACCAAGTCAAGGCTGGCTGATCAGCCACCGACGTGCCCAAGCTTATACGGATCCGATTTTGGGGAAGGCCTCGCGATGGCCCTGCCTGGGCCTGCCCATGATGTGCAACTAGTTGCACGGCCATGATTGCCCAGTTGGGTTCCTGATAGCACTGGGACGGATGCCACTTCGCACGGAACGCCCGACCGGGACTACACGTGACCGTCCGCAGACGCGAGTTTTCTCTTCAGCTCTCCTCTGCTAAACTTCCAAAACGTCGTCAGAGCTCCGAAATTGAGCAGGGGGGTTCGTGGCTAGCCCAGACTCGATTCGACACAGAGGCTCTCGTTCGTGATTCGATAATCACGAGTCCTGGCACTGCCAAGAGCGGGCCAGAGCCACCGACCAGTCCAATCATCTCCGTCCCCGCGGAATTCCACAGCATTTCCAAAGTGGGTCCATGCGTGGCCGGTGTCCTCTCCAATGTGCCACAACGATCATCGGCGTCTGTGCCAGTTGAGCATCTTTCCTGGTGGCTGCACTCCTGCTCGCCCGTCATCATCGGTGTGGGAGAATCCAAGCCATGACATGTCCTGCAAAGAAAAGCTAACCACATGGGGATACGACATGATGATGACGATGATGGAGGAAGGTGCATGTTGCCAAGAAACTCAAGCTCGTGGGACTAAAAGCTTCCCCTAGCCGAAGCCTTTCTCTGCCTGCTTGGTGTCGCTTGGGTTTCCTTGGTTCTCCGTGGTGACAGCCCGTGTTTCGGGTAAGGGGGAGGGGATCCTCTCCCAAGGAAATCAGCATCACCAAGTGCCAACTCATCACCACCATCGTCACCCTCATGGCGGCCTAAACCTGCACAGAAATTCCCATATATCCTTCTCATCAGTTTCCTTGAATTTGCATTCTAACCAGGATCGATTGAGAATACTCCGGTCGCATTCTAGTGCTGTGTTATACCAAATACTTGGTGCCAAGCGTACTTCGTACCCGGCGGGAACTTGCGATCGCCGGGCCCACGACCACGAATATTGTGGCTGTGCTGGCAAATTATTGAAGGCCAAAAGTTAACCCTGAGCGAGAGTCCTTTCATCATTCTGAAATCAAATCGGCCCTTTGGCTCTCCAGCTATTCTCCTCGGGCACCAACTCTCCCTTTGTATTTCCTTTTTCTTCCTGCGCCAATTCCTTCCACTCATTCCTTGTGGTGCCGCGACTCTTCTTGTTGACAACTCGCATGATTACGCGACTTCTCCCCCCCTCCCCTTGCTTGATCTCCTCCACCGATTCCAATTCTTGATTCCCTGGACGATCCCACTTTCACAAAATCACACAAAAGCAACCGGATTGTTGTGATTCAATAGTCTCCACACCTGCTCTTTCCTATTCTAATTCTTGCCTCTCTTTCTCCTGTGGCTGCGTTCGAACTGCGCCACGTCGCGTCCCCCCGTATTCGCAACTTCAATTATCGCTCTCTCCACCATTCGCCTCTCTGGAATTTGTATGGTCGAATAAATTTGGAACTTCCAATCTCACGTACGTGGCTTTCAACGTTGGGACTCGTGTGGCTGGTTTCATCCTTCCAGATGGCAAATTAGCGCATGTGCAGACTTGAGGCTGTTGCATCAAAGCAGAGCTTCATTTCAAAGACTGCACCCCTGCTCTTTGCTTGAACTTTCATTGTTCACTCCAGAGACTGGTCGCTGTTCCGAATCTTATCAAAGACTAACATCCCGATCAGTTACCTGAAACCTCATCCTCGCGTCGGTTCTAGGACACATTTCTCATACTACTGAATTACCATCGATCATAATGCGTGAGTCCGACCTGCTCTATCTACCATTACTCTGCCAAAATTAGATCGATACCATCACATCCTACCATCTCACTCCCGTACACCACAAAGGCCCTTGCTAAACGATGTCCACAGATATTTATCGCCGTCAGGCCCGCAAACTCGCCTGGTACGACCAAGATGGCGAGCCATCCTCACACAACCCCTTCAAGAAATTCCGCCGGCGCCCTCGCCGCACCGCCTCCATTCAACTAGAAGACCAAGCACTCCACTCCCGGAGCATGGGTGACCTGCGCCTCCCAGAGGACCAACGGCGTCGTGCCGAGTTCAACAACGACCTCGAAGGTCCCGCCTACGCAGGCACATTCCCACCCGAATCAGCCGGCAGCTACGGCCCCGCAGGATCCAATCTCAGCCAGGAACCCATTAACGATTCGGCAGACCTGTCGACAGCGCGGGGGCTTGACCTCGAAGCCGAGATTGAAGGAAACGGCAATGCGAATGCCAACGTGAATGGGACCCAGGCGCGCCAGCGCAAAGGCTTCTTTAGCAAGTTTGGCCGCCATAAGGAGGAGGAAACGTCTTTACCAGAACCAGATGATGAGAAGCCCGCCGAGGCTCATAAGTTCACGGTGGCAAGCCAGATCCGCGCGACAGTGCTCAACTCATGGATCAACGTGCTTATCCTTGCCGCGCCCGCGGGTATCGCCTTGCATGTGGTCAATGCGAACGCGATCGCTATTTTCGTGGTCAACTTCATCGCGATCATCCCGCTCGCTGCGATGCTGAGTTATGCGACGGAAGAAATTGCTATGCGCACTGGTGAAACGATTGGTGGATTGCTGAATGCCTCGTTCGGTAATGCGGTCGAATTGATCGTTGCTATCATCGCGCTGGTTAAGAAAGAGGTTCTTATCGTGCAGACCTCGCTGATCGGTAGTATGCTTTCCAATCTGTTGCTGGTCATGGGTATGTGTTTCTTCTTCGGTGGTGTGAACCGCGTTGAGCAACATTTCAATGTCGTTGTTGCGCAGACAGCGGCGAGTTTGCTCGCGCTGGCTGTGGGTAGTTTGATAATTCCCACTGCCTTCCACACGTGGTCTGATTCCAATAAGGAGAACACTGCTCCCGTTTCGCGAGGTGAGTAATCCACCCTCTAATCACCCAACGTCCCACTCCACGTTGAATACTGACATTTCGTCTATAGGTACCTCCGTCCTGCTACTCATCACCTACGGCTGCTACCTTTTCTTCCAACTCAAATCCCACACGGACATGTATAATGAGCCGTCCAAAAAGGTCGAAAAACGCTCCAAAAAGAGCGGCGATGCTAACCGCGGCATCGCGCAAATCGGCAAAATGACCGCCCGCACCATGGGCGGCTCCAACGCCCAAGAAGTCAACATCCAGGACGACGACGACGAAGCCGAGCAGCCGCAATTGTCCATGCCTGTCGCCTTGCTGACTCTCGGCGTTTCAACTGCGCTCGTGGCTGTTTGTGCTGAGTTTATGGTTGATTCTATTGATGCGTTGACTGCGACGGGTGGTATCAGTGAGACCTTTGTTGGATTGATCCTTTTGCCTATCGTTGGTAATGCCGCGGAGCATGCTACCGCTGTCACGGTTGCTTGTAAGGATAAGATGGATTTGGCGATCGGTGTGGCCGTTGGGTCTAGCATGCAGATTGCCTTGTTGGTTTTGCCGTTTATTGTTGTCTTGGGCTGGATCATGGGTATTGATGATATGGTAAGTGTTTGCGCATAAACGAGTTCTCGGAATTTATGTGTTGCGGAATGCTAACTTGGGATTACCTTGCAGACCCTCAACTTTGACAGTTTCGAGATCATCTTGCTCTTTGTGTCTGTTCTTTTGGTACGTTTCACCTCCGCTCTGACACTTAATCTAGAGCTTTCTGAGGATACTAATTGCTTTATTACAGGTCAACTACCTTATTGGAGACGGCAAATCTCACTGGCTTGAAGGCGTCCTGCTCATGATGATGTATCTGATTATCGCTCTTGCCGCTTGGTACGTACTTGGAGAAATTTGCCTTGCCCTTGACTCTGAATCCATTGCTAATCTTGGTGTATCAGGTTCTTTTAATTTGGCTTTGGGAGTCATCCGAGCGATAAATACTTCGCACCATATCGTTCCTTTCTTGGTTTTGGGAATATACCCTGTCTTGTAATTTATTTGACCTTTCACGTTTGTCTCATGCCTCGTCATCTACAAAAAATCTATTCTGTAATATTGGGACCTGTTATTTACTAGATGCGATTAGCTTTGCCGTTCCCGGTCTAGCGCCCTGATACAACTGTCATGTAACCTCTTCCTCCATCGCTCGACATAAAAGACAAGGCATGCCCTCTCGACTTATTTTTCTTCCCTCTCCCTCCCTTTAACTCCTCTATCTTGCACTGATCGCCGCCCCATTTCTTCCATTCCGGGCCCCACCGAACATTGCGCCTTAGCTTTCAGCCCGACGCTCTGCCTCTTTCAATTAACTGGCGATGCCACTCGATCTAACAAAGTAAGCTGAAAAGACCTGAGTTTGATTTCTCAAGCAAGTAACTGAATGGCTAGGCCGTAAGATCCCAGCATGTAGTTTGTCTCCTTTGTATACTGCTATAAAGATGCATAGGGCACCAGCCACTTTCAAAAACTCAATTTTCATACTTATATACTTCCTCCCATGAGACTAATCCTCGGTCATGGCCGGAACTTCTTAAATATAACCTAACATCCTTCAAGCCATAAATATTTAAATAGCTGACAGCCGCCGTGGTTCATTACCCCCCCTCCACAATCAATCTTAAGATATCATTTGTACTTCGTCACAAATTCAATCAGGGCGTTGTCTACTTCGTTCGGATGAGACCCACTCAAGAAATGAGCCCCGCCTTCCACCGTCACTAACTGTGCATCCGGAGAGTTCACGAACATCTTGACCTCCTCTTGAGCATTTGCAACCGAGTATACAACGTCTTTGGTGCCCTATAAATTGCAAGGTGAAATTAGCCAAAGCATTCTCCTAACAACTGGACATGAAGCTGCCTGATGGTAGAAAACTTACATGTAGCCACAGCACCGGACACCGGACATCGGACAGGCGGGAATGCAGCCCATCTCTTTCAGCAAGGTTAATGGCTGCCATTCGGATACGTCGACGGCCGTCATCGCCACGATAATTGGCCTTGATCGTCTTCCGCCAAAATTCGCGGAGCTCCGAGGCGCATTCATTAAAACCAATATCGATAAGGAAGTCACAGTACGCGGTGTCGGGCTCAAAGTCTGGAGAAGGCTCGTTTGTAGTCCACTTTGTAATATTGGCGCGCAGGAGCCCAGGGCCATTCCAGCAATTGAGCTGGCGCGTGCGCTCAGATTCATAGTCCAGCGAGGTTCCAAGCGGAATAATTCCTTGGATCTATGGACGTTTGAGATGAGGCCGTGTCATACTCGCGTGGGTAATCCGGAATTCACGTACCTTCTCCGGTCGCATAAGCGCCATTCGGACAGTGATCCAACCTCCTTGGCTCGTACCGAGCACAAAGGCCTTCTCGATGCCGAGGGCATCCAAGACCTGCAAGTTCATCTCCGCAGTATCCCAATAGGTCCAATTCTCACGCTTGGTTCGTGTTTGGCCATGGCCAAGCAGCTCTATGGCCAGGAGATTCATAGAGTCCGTCAACGCTTTGTCCTCGTATTGTTTTCGGTAGAGATCCGCGGAGGTGGTGAAGGAGTTGACGAGAACAAGCGTGGGCTTCTTTGCGTCATATGGGTAGGGCATATGATAAGAAGCATCGATCCCCCCCAGGTGAGGGACTCGTACAATTTGCGTAGGAGACATTTTGCCTGTCAGTTGAGCCTTAAGCGTTCGGTATGACAAAAAATGATAAAGGAGAAGGCGTTATTCTACTGAATGTTCAGTTTGCAAAGTCCAAGCAGGCTCTATATACTCGCCGGCAAGCAGCCTTCTGATGGTCCTGTTAAGCGGAAACGCCAGCCGGACGAATGGAAGGGTCAGGATGTCGAACCTTCGAACCGGGATTTGGTTGCGATCGGGGAGTTAGGCTGGTGGGGGAAAGTAGCTTAACGGAGCGCGCAGTCGGATGCGATCATCTCTTTCCTTTGCCGAAAAGGGCTTTTTGGGTTTCTGCATGCCCACCATACCCCGAAAAGGACAGTGGGGAAATGCGAGCGGGGAGAATTGGAGTCTCCGGGGTAAGGTTTCCTTACCACGCCTTACCCCCGGATGAATCTGAAAGAGAATGCCTGCGATTGCCCTTCGATATCTGCAGGAGATGCATGGATCCTAGTCCCACGACCGCCGCCCATTCAAACAATGTCTTCGTCCGCGCCGCACCCGAATAAACGGCGCAGGGCCACCTTGGCCTGCCAATCCTGTCGGCAGAGGAAATCCCGGGTAAGGACGCAGTCCGCCTCAATTCGAACGTTGCCTGAAAGCCAGCCTGGCTGACCAGAATCTCATCTAGTGTTCAGGTGATCGGCCATGTGCTCTATGCCGCGAATTGGAAATCGAATGTTTGTATTCTGGGGGTGCTGGTCCCAATAATTTGACCTTGGGAAAAAGGTGAAGAGCATTCAATTCCTTTCCACTGCCCTCTACGGGTCTTTTGCGATCGATCTGTTGGCGATAATGTTAACAAATCTGCAAGTTACATCCTGCAACTGGAGCAGCGACTAGAGAAGATGGAAGCTTCAATACGGCAGCTCCGGGACCATTCTTTAACGGCGCCCATAGACAGCAAAGAATCGAGTGAAGGCCCGAGTAGGGAGTCAGAGGACCCATTGAAAGATGCACGGGATTCTTCAACTGCCTCCGCAGCAGCACCAAATCCTGGGGACCATAATACATCAGAGCCCCTGGGAGAAACTGATGTATCTGAGAGCTCGGTAGACGGAATGGGAGCGCTGCAGTTTACAGACGAAGAAAATTGCGGTTTCTTCGGTATGCTGATTTTCTACCTATATGGGATTGTTGGTGGTACCCTGGGCGCTAATTGTGAAAGGGCCCTCTTCTAATATTGCATTTCTGCGGTATATTTCCCGAGCGATAGCAAAGACAAGCTCTCACAGGGAACCGTCCCTGATCCCGTCTCCATCCCGGAGGACCTGCGGGCCGACCAGCGGTGCCAAATCACCAACTACGGGCCGCCCGGCGAGTGTTGAGAGCCTTAATTCGAGCGCGGTAGTCAACCTCTACGCTCTACCAAGCGAGGAGCGTACGTGGAGTCTAATTCAGCAGTACTTCCATAAGACCGGACAGCTTCTGCCTTTTATCCATGAAAATTCATTCTGCGAGACATACTTTCAGATGAAGAAGGAAAGATTTTGCAAGGTTCGTAGAACCTGGCTCGGTCTGCTCAACATCGTCCTTGCTATTGCAGCAAGTCTGTCTACCAAAGGTGATATGACTGCGGAGAAACGACTACAGGAATCAGATGTGTATTATCAAAGAGCAAATGGCCTCTGTGATCGAGATTCTAAACGAAATGCCAGCTTAGAAATGGGTGAGTGTCAACGCGGGAGCTGACCTTGTCCTTGCAGTATTTCAAAGAGCTAATTCGGACGCAGTGCAATATCTTCTAATTCTGGGTCAGTACCTACAAGGTACCCAAAAGCCAGTCCAAGCTTGGACGGCACATGGGTTGGCAATATCTGCTGCGTATCAATTGGGTCTACACTCTCCGGATGCAAACCGGGGATTTCCTCCGGTGGAATGTGAGACTCGTAAACGCACCTGGTTTGGATGTGTCCTTCTTGACCGGTGAGAACAGCTCTTTATGAGGTCTTGCGCATTTCGTTGATCCGGTGATTCTAGTACTTTGAGCATGACTTTCGGCCGCCCTTGTAATATACCTGAATCCTACGTGAAGCTGGAAATGCCCTCTCAGGACTTGCAGATGTTGCGCTCGCCCGTGGAGTCTACCACTTACCGAATGTTGGAGGGCTCTTTTTTTACGGCTGCAGTGTGAGCTCTGACTTGATTCCCATATCAATTGGAAGAAAATGATCTTTCGCTAATGATATACAGAAAGCTATACGTTATACTCTATAATGTGCTCGAATCGTGCTACGGGGCCAATTTAGGGTTCGAAATTTCCACGAGCCCTTTAGGCGCCATGGCTGGGATCCTCGAAGGGCAGCGCCAGCTCGATGAATGGCGACTTCAACAGTTGCCCTCCCTGGGACTGACAGTCTGCGACAGCCCCTTAAATCTGGATGACGTTGAGAATATGGATACTGGGTCGATAATCCGCCGTCGTTTCGAAGTTGTCCTTTCCGTGCGCTATAACAACCTTCGAATACTGGTGCATCGCCGCTGCTTGGAGAGCCTCCTTGACCCAATTCAGGTAGAAGGTGACACTTCGGTGACGTCCGAAATGCGGCTACTTCAGCAAATGGGACTAAGCAGCGTCATGATCTGTGTTGAATCTGCTATGTCTATCATCTCGATTGTACACAATATGTCTGCCGGTAGTGGCTGGCGACGTGAGTTCTTGGGTGCATGGAATTATTCACTCTATTACAGTAGGTTGGGTTCTGTAAGATTTGACTTCCAGGGAGTTGAAACTAATGTAACACAGCTTTCAATGCAGCACTAGTTATTTTCGGCTCCCTCATTGTGGCATCGAAGGAGCGTGACCGCAACCCGTCAGCCTGGATCATGATTAGCCATTCCCGGTCGTATATTGACACGGCGGCTGAAGCACTGCGTCAGCTTGACCCGGGAAACCCTGTTGTTGAACGGTGTCAAGAATATCTTTCGCAGCTATCCGCAACATTGGATCCTCTCAGTTAGTTATCCCGCACAGATGCAAACCTCCCTTTCGTCCCATCCGTGCCACTTCAAGACTGGCCCTGCCCGCGCTTCAACAATTGTTTCGAAAACCCGCTGACAGCTCTTGCCTACACAACGCACAGTTTCAGAAGAGCCATATTGTGATAATAGGCTTTCTTTCGACTTTCCTACCGAATATTCAACCGGGCTGTTTTCTCTTCACAGTGCCGACTTAGTACCGCCCATGGACTTTGGCGAATTCATGATTGGTTAGGGTTGTAGCTGTTCAGTACGGCCCTCGGAATAGCGAGGCATTGACTGCCACTTAACTGTAGTGGCGCAAACAGAGAAGGGACCTCGTAGGTACAAGCTGGGCGATGCAACTGTCCGACCCTCTCGAGAGGGATTCGCCGCGGAAGGAGCAAATAGTCTCAGTATCCAGCTTTGCCGTAGGAATGAGAAAACTGAACTCTGGACAGAAACCTCAGCGTACCTTTTGAAAGATGATGTAAAAGATGTCTCTCTCAGAGAAGGATAGTATAGTGATGACTAGATCCGCTGGAAAATAGTGCGGCACCGAACCCCTGACGGCCCGGCGGCCCGGCGGGTAAGGTAATGACGGTAAATTATCTAGGGCAATGCTATGATCATTTGACAAGACCCGTGTGTCGGCATTATCATTCAGACATGATTCAACGCCTCAATTTTACCCCATATGTGTCAACCATTCCATCTCGCATGGGCTTAGACATCCCACGGGCAAACGTCCCGTCCAGCCCCAGTCAGCGAATGCGGGGGATAATCCGGGGTTTCCTACCCCCATGGGCTGGGCCGGAATGCCTAACTCCCCGGATTGGCTGCCCGGGCAGTGCAAATAATATAGTTGCATGTATACATATATATATCTCCTTCGGTATATCCAAGACTTCCTGTTGCATCAAGCACAATCCTAAGCTTTTTTTCCCTACCACAAGTAGCTCTAGAAACCCGAAACCTGGAACAATGGTAAGAAGGCTGCTTCCCAAATGTTTGAAATTTTACTCATAACCTGCAGGCCAATCAGCGTGTTCATGTTGGAATCGTCGGCGCAGGAATTGGAGGGCTGGCAGCCGCCATTGCCTTTCGACGTGCAGGAGTGGATGTCACTGTCCTGGAAGCAGCGGATGAATTGCTCGAAGTAAGTTAGCCTTACCAGTCACTAAATGATGCCGCATGCAGAAGCTCATGAAGAAAAAAGATTGGGGCCGGGATCCAGATGACGCCGAATGTATCGGTTCTGCTGCAGAAATGGGGCGTTGCAGATGTGATTGGAGACAACTTGGTTCAAATTGAAGAGCTGAATATGCGCCGCAAAGATGGCACTCTTGTCGGACATACCGAAATACCAATTGTTGAAAAGGCATTGGGCAGACCGTGGTGGCTTGTTCATCGTGCTCATCTCCACGAAGGTCTCGCGACTGTGGCCAAGCGTCTGGGAGCCGTGATTCATATCAACAGTCGCGTCATCTCACTTGACTATCAGGAGGGGGGTGAAGTCACGGTCGAAACACAAAAAGGGAATAAGTATCATTTCGACCTCTGCGTGGGTGCTGATGGCGTCAACAGCATTGTCCGAAGCACACTGTTTCCGGGCATAAAGCCGGACGCGAAAACCACCAACTGTGCTTACCGGGCGATTATACCGTATGAGCGTATCCGACAGGACCCAATTGCAAAGGAGCTCATTCAAAAGTTGACGATGGAGGTCTGGATGGGACATAATGCCTATATTATCACCTATCCCATCAGTGGAGGCGAAACATTCAACCTGGTGCTCTCGCATCATCGTCCAGAGAAGCTCTATAGTACCCAGCCGAATGTCCCTGTCGAGGAAATGCGGGATGCGTACAAGGACTTTGACCCTCGGATCAAACGCATTGTTGATATGATCACCGAGACTGTTAGTTTTACTCCCCTCCGAGAAGTTCTGGATTGCTGCTGACGTTCTGGATACTGGCAGTCACGCTGGCCGCTATTGGTGACCGGGCCCTTGCAATCATGGTCCTCCCCACAGAAGAATGTGGTTTTGATGGGGGATGCAGCACACTCCATGGTAAACCATATGGCGCAAGGCGCTGCTACTTCCATGGAAGATGGAGCTTTTCTCGCAAAGTGCGTAGGGGCAGTTACTCGTGGAAAGCTGAGTCTTCGCGAAGCCATCAATATCTACGAGCTCGAGCGGATGCCAAAAGCCTTCATGAAACAACAGGTCTCTTTTCTGAATGGTGCCATCTGGCACTTACCGGATGGACCTAAGCAACAGGCTCGTGATGCGGCAATGGCACCGTCACTTGATGGGAAATATTTGGTTCGCAGCAGCAATCTCTACGATGACCCTCAGACGGTGCTGGATGTATACGGATATGACGTTGAAGCGCATGCAGAACATGCGCTGGCAAAGTTTGCCCACGGGCGTGAGGCGTTGTATCCAGGCACTGGTTTAGCGCCTTTCATGGAGGACAAATACATGGGGTGGTTTTCAAAGTGTCAACAAAACGACCGCTACGCCGCAGTTGGAAAGCTTTAGATCATTCAGCAATCAGACTATCCTATTTCTTCCCTACATGCAATAACTGTGTAAATATATCTTTTGCTCTATGAGATTGTACCTTTGGACGAACTTGGAGCCCCGCCGTGGCCTGTGTTTGTTTCTCCTTTGATCTGTGAAGAGGCTAGGGTATTCAGGTGTGCAGATTCATCATTGTAGGCTGGTTTGTATGGTTGGGGAAGTGTTGGATCACTCTTGCACAACCATTGCCCTGTAGCGCTGTTGCCCCGTGGCCCCGTGGCCTGGCAGTTGACATGATTAGATCCACTGTATTTCCTCGCCGCTTTTAAATTCAACTGTCTCTTTCTCTCTGATAATTTGCGTGGGTGACAATCATGGCAGTTCATAGACATCGTCAGCTTCAGCTAGAGCTGATTCTTATGGTCGCAGACTATTTGCGACCTTTAAATCTCTTGAATATGGTTCAGGGCATACCTCACATTGCTTCCCTTCTCTCCTCTCGACATATGCAAGCCCAAGATGACAATGGATTCACTATATTGCATCTGATTGTGGAACAGGGACTTAAAAGCCTAATAGAACGCCTCGATAAATGGATCCCCCAGGGCTTTATTCCCGACAACGAAGGGTGGACACCTCTTCATCAAGCAATCAGGAAGGCTAATTACCGGATGGTAAAAGCACTGATTGATGCTGGCTCAGATTTATCAGCCCGGGGTTATAATGGAAAAACTTCCCTTCACCTTGCCTGCGGTGGAGATGCAGTTAGAATTGTCAGGTTGCTCCTAGACCACGGTGCAAACCCGTCCGCAAAGGATTACGACGAAAGGACGCCTTTGCATGACGCCTTGTCTCATGACATATCTGTCCGTCAGATGCTTATTACAGCCGTGCGGACCTTGACCCCCGGCAAGTGCCACGGGGGTTGACCCCCCTTTATTATGAACCTATTATAGCCCGGGAAAGTACAATTAGGGTTCTTCTTGGGGCTGGGGCAGATTCAAGATATGAGTGGAGATACTATATTACACCGCGCTACGATCCACAATTTCGCTAATGTCGTCCGGCTGTTACTTGAATTCGGTGTTGATATCACTGTGCGAAATGTCCACGGTTATACCCCGGTTTTGGTTGCTGCAATTGGCGGGTCAGATGAATGCCTACAACTGCTCCTCAAGGCCCGCGCAGACCTTTCAGGCATGGATAATCATGGACGTAGCGCTTTACATATAGCAGCTCGTGCGGGAAGGGAATCTACAGTCCCACTGCTTGTGAAACAAGGAATGGACATCGCCGCACGGGACTGCCACCGAGGCTGGACTCCGATGTGCTGGGCAGTAAACTACGAACAGAAAGGGGTAATTCAAGTTTTAGAAGATACGCAAACAAACCGATTTGCGAAGTTTGCACGGCGAGTACGCATCAAATTCTAAATGCCATTTTTGCTCAGAGCGCTAGGCATGTCGTGGTTCCGGATTTCCTGTAGCTAGATCAGCCTTATATATCACTCTTTCACCATTTATGGAACCTAAAGGTAATCAGCAAGCAGTTCGAGATGTTGCGAATTCAAAGGACAATGATTGAACAGACCATGAAGTCCCTTCGTGTGAATATTAAGATTATAAAGGGTAAAGATATAGGATAATAAATGATCAAAGCCTTTCCAAGAGTTTTGCTACTAGATTCGTGATATTTATGACTTCCATTAGTGACTCCTCAACTCCCCTCATACAAAAAAAAGAGATGTTTCAAACCACTTTTATTTTTTCTCTTAATATTAGGAATAGTAAAGAATACTAAGCGTCTATATATCTATATTATATTACGCTAGAGAAACAAAATAGAATTATACCTAAATTCTTAATAACTATATGTACCTTTTATATATAATACCCATACAAAAGGTACATGGCGAGTCAGGTGAAATTGGCGAATTCGGTGGGGCGCACCCATAAAGCAAAGCGGCATGGGGGCGCCGAAGGTGATAATACCGGATATACCACCTCCTCTTCCATCGCCCCGACATTAAAGACGAGGCCTGCCCTCTTTCTCCTCTCTCTCCGTCCCCTCAACTCCTCTCTCTTCCTCCTCTACCTTGCACTCATCGCCGCCCCCCTTCTTTCCCAATGCCCCCACCGGCCACTGCGCCTTGGTTTCAGCCGGACACACTGCCCCTTTCAGTTTACCTTGAAACGTCGCTTACGTCGCTCAATCCGACGCAGCTCGTTCTCCCCATGGGAAAGAGTGGGCGATGCTGTTCGGGGTGATAAAGGATGTTGGGTAGCAACGAAGAGAAGGGCGAGAAGGTTTTGGATGTTTCAAAGATGCTTCCTACAAACCCTAGCGTGCCATCCTTCGGAGATTCGGTTGACGGCCGACATTTATGACTAAAAAAGGTCGCAGACACGGATGCTGGAGGTGATGTAGAGCATTGACGGTCGACGCAGGAGCGAGAGCCCAGCTATTCCTTCACACCGAGACTTTTAGACCATCACGACGGCGCCCTTGTCTACCAAGGTATATATGAGTGGTGTTGAGAGGATGTCCAATTTTGATGCCATTTTCGCCAGCCCCATTATTTTCCCCACCTCGCAGATAAAAAGCCTCAGAGTCGGAGGCAATCCAGTTGTGGCACGGAAAATAAATGCACTAATTCTAGGAACGGGGTAAGCTAACTACTTGGGCTAATTCCGCCCCACGTTCCACCTATAAGATCGCCATCTGACAATTCAACATGAATTATCTTACTCGTGGCATTTTTGTACTCCTGAAGAACCCTCACGTGTGCAGCCACCTAAGACATTATGCAAAGTGGTCGGGTTGGCCTTCGCAATTCTTCTCTCTACCGGTTCTTCCTCACTCTTTGAAGCAATTAGCCACTGCCCTGTTTTGAAGCAATTCGCTACTGCTCCTATGTCTGTTGTCAACGCATACGTTTGAATATGCGGGCCTGACTTTTCACTCTTAATCACTCTTCCGTCCTCTTGAAGGTCCTCCTAAGTTTTTCGGCAGCACCTATACAATGATACCAGTACCGTCGCTCATAATATCCCGCGACAACAGCAGCTCGGACGTCACGACGCTGACATATGTTGATCCGACGAAGGAAGTTAACGCGGGATTATGGTGTCTATTTGGTGGTGCCTCGGTCTTCCTGGGCCTGCGGATCTGGGTGAAGTTCACCAGATTACACGGGCTCTGGTACGATGATTACGTTCTCGTAGCATCATGGGTATGACTTTCCAGTCTCTCACCCGCCATTCATACTTCAGTCGATGGCTCCGACAACGCACTGCTAACAAGCTTCTCGCACGCAGCTGGTCCTCTTAGTAAACAATATCCTGATATGCTGGGAATACGCCAATGGATATGTCAGCCAGACCGGCGAGTGGGACAAACGCATGCACATCGTCATTAATATCACGTCGTGCGGCACGCTTATCGGGCAGGCATGGTCCAAGACGGCCTTTGGCGTTACACTCCTACGAATAAGCAATAAATGGCAGAGTTACGTCCTGGGGTTTTGCATAGCCACCATGAATATCTTCATGATCCTCAAGTGTATCCTCCAATGGGCGAAGGTCTGCGATAGCGGAGGCGACTATCAGGCGTCGTATCGGCTCAATTTCTGCATTTATAAAAATTTCCGGAACGGTGTTAAGGAGGGAGGCCAGGGTACGTGGTCAATCCCTGCTCGGGAGAAGGCATGACAAACTGTGGCCTGTGAGCTGACAATGTGATATCTAGTTTATAACGTCATTATGGACTTTGTTTTTGCGCTGTTTCCGTGGCTGATCGCATGGAAACTGAACATGAGGAGAAATGAAAAGATCGCTCTCAGCGCCACGTTAAGCTTAGGAGCTATGTAAGTTCAGACGTCTCGGACTTGCAGCAAAGTCGCTCTCAGTGAAGGATAGTTCACTAAGACCATTCCAGAATTGCGGTTCTTACAGCTGTAAGAACGGCCTGGAAGAACGAATCGAACAGCCACGATGCTTGGTATTACTGTAAGAGTCATTCTTGCCGAGTCTCTATTTCTATTCAACAGCGCTGATATGTTGGCGATATCTCCACACAGGGAATAACGGAATGTCTAACATTTGGTACTCATCCGAAGTGGCCGGGACGATCTTGGTGCAATGCATTCCTATCTTACGGCCCTTCCTCCGCGAGATACACACCTCCCGGTTCCGCACTTCTAGGGAACAAGAATACCATGAGAGTGGCCGACATAGTATATTTCGAAGCACAGGCTATAGCTGCGAAATATCGGGGAGGCGCCACTCTTATGGCAGCTCCAGGAACGTCTTGGTTGGCGACAAAGGCCACGAGTTTATGGAACTACAGAGTGTGCAAGAAGGCTCAGAGTTGGAAGCTGGGAAAGGAAGGGGGACCTGTCGAAATCAGGTTGATCAAACATTTATTAAGGAGCCTTAGCTTTGACGAGCTGCAGCCTGCAGATGACTAAAATACGCTCAAAAATATTGACGGTTCATGAGTTTCGACACCCCTACCCCCTGGATTATATGATATTTTGCCTGTTACCAGCCAAAGGTAAATGGTGGAGACCCTGTGTATCAAGCGAAGGTTTCAAGACTGGGGAAAGTAAAGGAAGAGAAAACTATCTTGGTGGGGTGATGTTTGATAACAGGGCTTGGCGGGTGCAGAATAGTGGTGGTTAAGGTTGATGGGGCGGTCGAGCGGGGGCCAGCTGGTGGAGGTTACGGGTGGAAAGGCGGCCGTTTCTGGCGCCAGGGGCTGTCATTTTCGGCGTCGATTTCATAGGTCCTTATATTCCATGTGTAATATTCTAATGATGGTTTCTTGCTTATTAGGGTTTGGGGGTTATCAGATTCTTATCTCTATTAAGTGCCCACTACACAAAGACCACACTAAATCCTCTCCCCCTTCACAGAATAGACGAGGAGATTGATAGATGGACTTCAATAGAGAACAAAGAACCCACCGTTCTCTAAATAGGATAATTAAACTACACACCGTCTCACTCTCACTTGCAAACTCATCTCCTCCCCTATCTCGTACCTCAACCCAAAACTCCCCCCGTCAACACTCTCCAGAGCCCCCAAAGCCCTCGAAAAGGATTCAAAACACCTGATATTCGTATCCGCATCTTCCCACGAAGACATCCGTTCATGCCATTCAGAAACACTAATTAAGTGTCCCCTAAGCCCTGCGTGTTCACTCCTGATCCCGGTCGTCCCGAAACTGCGATGTAAAAGCGTAACTCACGGCGTTGTGCATAATTGCCCACGAGCGTGTATCAAGAAACTTCTGACGGCACTGGCAGCGTGGTTAGTCGTTTCAGATCTTAGATTAGGCATATCGACGTCGATATTCAGTGTGCTAGGCTTAGTGTTGGTGCTAGTATTATCTGATATAGATTCGAGGATGAGTCGTGAGAGTCGGCATATCCCATAATTAATATCAATACGTACTATTAAACTCTCCAGATAACCCTTTAGTGTGCAACAAGCGGTGTTGCCTCGTTCCATATATCTTCAATCCGGGTGTTATAGGTTTAGTGCGCTAGTCGCAGTAGGAGTATCGGTGGAAGTACTGACGAATGAAAACTTCAGGGATGAAAAACTACTGACCCATCAGGATACATGCACTATTAGTATCCAGGGCACTCCTCAAGCAGTGCCCAATCAACGCCATGGCCTAGATTTGGTTCATGTAGGCGTTGTTGAAGAAATTCGAATAACTAAGACGTTGAAAAGGTGAGCAGACTAGAATTATTGTTGGCTGTGGATCTGGACTCTGTTAACAAGTATCTCGATGTAATTGCTACACATACTGTAAACCTCCGATCAAAGATTACGCTCTTTAATCGGATCATTCGTGAACTGTACTCCACCTGCCAGCAAAACGAATAATAGTGCCAAACGCGACGGGTCAACGTCATTCAGCAAAAACGGTTTATTACGGCGAGACAAATTGGCCCGCCGGTCGAGAAAAGCAAGCAGTTCGACTTGTATACGCAGGCTTAATATACTTGCCAGCTCGTATCTGTATCTATAAGTTAGACCAGGCCAATCTCACGATCAAACCAACAATTTGCAGTTATATATGTAGCCCCCTCACCGCGTAATATCACAATCTCACCGCCAACATTATTAAATCGTCCCGGTAAATTGACAAAGCTCAAGATAATCCCTCTTTATACAACTCAGATACGGTAATTGCCATCACACCGTACCTTACGAGGCCAACAGGGAACACGCGAGTTGGTCCCACGCATGCGAGGGTTTCCCTTAAGCGACTCGCTGACTTGAGCCGTATCGTATGGATAAGGATGAGCGGGGTGTTTTGTGTTGGTCGATATTAAGTTGTCAATCTCCATAATCGCGGCTCTTTGAACATTTTTTGGATATCACTAGTGACAAAAAATAGAAACTGGTGAAACGGGTATAGATCCGGGAACCGACTCTATAGATTTGCCGCGGGATGCCGGGGAAATAATTACGTCATCCAGAACTAGACCGATTCGGCACCCCCACTTTTGTTAGTTTGTGATAGGGGAAATCTTCAGATGCAGGCCCAGCCTAAGGCCAAGGATATATTCTCGGTTTAGAGATTCTCGCTCGTATCCGTGGCTTTGCCAGCAATTGGTGAATATTTGATTCACTGGGGTAATCCTTTCCGTGGTTTATCTACTTCTAGCTAGCCTTACAATATTTGTAGGATATATCAAAGACAGAATAGAATCTTGGGATCAGATTATCCAGCTCAACGGGCTCCAACGATATACTACCAGGGTCTTAGAAGGGTTCAAGCCAAGGACTCACAACTATAAGAAAAAAAAGAAAGTATTGTGGTAACACCGATGTGAACGGCTTGTATCAATTGAAAGACACACAACGATAAAAATGGCTCACAGCTCAAAACACAGGCTGAAAGCACCGAAACCAGATCCAAAAGACAAAAGGATACACACTCGACATAACGCCATGGCTCATAATCACATCCCAAAAAACAATAACTCGGTTCAGGGTCGGCTTCGGGATACAAAATGCGATACCCAGCAACGAATAACAGGAAAAAAGAAAACAGGCTCTCAGAAGTCAATCACAGCACGCTCCGATCCGATCCAATCCAGTTCACTCGTATCCAGCCCATCAAAATGGCCCAAGCCAAAGAAAACCTATCCGCCCTGCACGTTTTTGAGGAAAGTCGCCCGCGATTGTAGATAGAGAGAGAGGAAGAGCGGTAAGAAAGTAGGTGGACAGGAAGAAAGAGGTATAGGTGAGGTAGGAAGGCAGGACGGAATAGGTAAGAAAAAAACAGGTCAAGGAAAGTCGTGAAATATAATAGTACAAGGTCATCCACGGAAAGCGTACACCTACCGAGTGAACTGTGTCCAGACAGTGCTCAGCCAGCCAGTAGGAATGCCCACCTCGGAGGGAGCCGTCTGCGACAACTGTGCCCACTCGCAGCCATCCAAGAAGGCGAGCACATCGTCACCGCCCAAGCTGGTAGAAAGCAGACTCGTGTCGGGTCCCTCGGTGGAAGTCAAGGGAGGCGAAGGTGCGAGCTGAGTGACAGAGCCCGGGGGTGGGAGAACTGGCATGCCGTTCTGAGCAGAGGCATTGATGGGAGGCAACGACTGAGAGTATGGAGGTGGAGGTACGGATGGACGTGATGGGAGCCATGAGTTGATAGGCTGCAGACGGTTGGTCGTTGCAGTGAGATATTGCGAGGGTGACTGGGTGGTTGCTGCGATGCTAGGCAGGCTAGGAGGCGAGGAGGTATACATTGGTCCATCCGGGTGGTGCTGCTGCAGCGAGGGCAGGGAGTAGGGGGACTGCGAAGGCATAGGCCGGCTGTTGGGGAGCGGCAGGCTGGGACGGCGGTCACCCTCGTGGCCCGGAGGAGGCAGACCGGGGCTGTTGATGGGGACCCACGATTCGCGACGACCACTAGCACCCTCAAAGATCTCGCTACCATCAAGGTCGCTCTTGACAGCATTGCTACCGGCATCGCTGAGGTTCATGGCGCGCTCGGGCATCGGCTCACCGGTCACGGCAATCGCAGTGCCGTCGTCATCAAGGGACTCTGACAGCTGATCTTCGATGGAACCAAAGTCGAGGAACAGCTTCTCCAGGAGCTTGAACTCTTCGAGACCGCCACCAGATCCACCTTCACGAACGGGTCGAATACCATTGGCGGCACCGTGATCGGATGCATCAGACATGCTGTCCAGGCGATTGCGAGAGTACCGTCGGAAGTCACGCTTGACTTTGGAAAAGTAGCTGTGCAGACGATTGAGGGTGCGGAACCAGCCGGTGGCCATCCTCAGACGAGGTCGCATTTCACGCAAAATATCAAGGGCCTTGCGAGCTTGAGCAGCCCCGGGCTGGTGGCTGTCGTGGCTCGGGGGAGGTGACCGGACACCCAGCAGACCATCGGGATCCATGTGAGGAAAGTGGTTACCGTACACACCGATGAAGGCAGCATTGTAAATCGCAAAGCCGACCAGCGGGCTCTCCACGAGGGCTCCCCGGGCCTGGCAGGTGACCACGAGGTCGATCATTTGGCGCGCGGCCTTGAACAGCTCGCGAGCACTATCACGCCAAAACGCCTCGGGGGGACCGCTGACTTTATCAGAGGGGAACAGTGGCTCATCTAGTGGGCCGACGGGCTCATTGCAGCGGAGTGGCAGGAATGGGATGTAAGCCCGATGCAAGACGATGACAGACAGGAAGTAGACGACGTGCATCACGGTATAAGAAGCCAGAGTTGTCTTATACATGATGTGGGTATCGGTATTTCGTAGAGAATATTGCAGGTTGCGGGAGAGGCTGTCTTGGAACTCATTCAGTTGCATACGCAAGGATGCGAAGCGGGATTCGGGGTGCCAGGGCGGGTACTGCTCGGTTCGTCGCCCGCCCGCACAGGACCACTTGGCAATGCTTCCCCAGATTCGAATGATGCGAATCACTCGGCTGAGTACCGACTCTTCCGCGCCAACCTCCCAACGATCAACGTCGTCTTCACTTGAGTCCTTACGTCGCGAGATTGGTGACCAGGCCTTGCCGTCCGCATTCCCGTTAGCCGTCTGAAGCTTCTCATCACCGAACCCGCCAATACTCTGTCGAATACTGGGAATTTGCACCCCCTGGGAACCGAAACTCTGGGGACGGCGTGTCGTCGGCTCATTCAAACGGGCCGTCCGTACGCGCTCGCCGAAAGCAAAAGCATTGTCACTCGGAAGCTGAATTCCGAGCTCCTTCACCCGGATCATTCGAGGCCGATACTTTCCGCTGCTCAGGCACCGGTCCAATAGGAAGCAAGCCCAGAATGTCCTCCGCTTCGTCTCCTGTGCGATGATATCGTCGGAGGCAAGTTCCTTGGGCTCCACGCGGCGGGCGAGGCCGAAATGATCCGCCTCGGTCTTGAAGCCGGGCGATGAGCGAGAAGCCTCGCGCGTCGGAAATTCGTTCTCTAATTCAAACGGGAGACCCATGGCTTGTGCAAGTCGAATGGCCATGCCCACGTACACCCAGGCGCTCTTTCCACGGCACACCCCCCATTCGTGTAGCGCCAGCATCAACAGAGCTTGTACCCGAGCCAAATCGGGTACTGCGAGGCTTGCGCCATCCAGGCCGGCCAGCCGGCTGCGCAAAGCTGTCGCATAGAATTCGGATGCGGCGAGAGGATTGGAAGCGTGGCCGGGGGAAGCCGGCGAGTGAAAGGCCACGAGGGGAGGGTGGAAACGAGCCGTGAGCGCCAGGACTCCGAGGGGAATCAACGACGATGACGAGTCGGTCTTGAGGGCCGAGTTATGTGCTGCATCCTGGCCATCTAACGGAGCCACTGATGGGGGGACAGGAGGTGTGGAGAGAAGTCGGATCTGGCCGAGGAAAGTCGCAGGATGTAGGAAGGGCAAAAGGGTCGCGAAATGTGACTGGAAGAGGTCAAAGACCGCCTCCCAGACCTTGGTGGTAAGAAGGGACGAGTCCAAGGCATCCAGGCCCGCCTTGGAACCGGGGGATGCGCCAGACATGCCGATAGACTTGCGCGGGCGCGAGCGTTTCGGACCATCCCAATCACCATTCCGATCCTCTCCTTCTGCGAGAGTTGCTAGATCACGTTTTCCGGTCACGCCAATCGCCGGGGTGGGATAGACGCATTCGCGGCCGGAGGATTCGCAAGCACGGCAGGTGGTGTCGATGCCGGCATTGACGCACTTGATCTTACTGCGCCGGCACCGGGCGCAGGCGATGCTGGATCGCATGGCTGTGGATTTCGCAGACCCACGGGTCTGGGGTAGGGCGAGAAGGCTCGAGTTTATATACTGCAGGTGGTTTGCGAAGGCCCATCTACCTGCGTTGAGAATCCGGAGGGGGAAGCCAGGAATGAGGGGTGGTTTGGATGGGGAGTGAGAAGTGAGGAGGGAGAGGGAAGTTGTACGAGTCTCGTGTTTGCCCGGTTCGGCGGGTTAGTTCTCAGGCGGGCGTGCTCGGCTATTTTTATGGGACGGAACCCGCGTCAGTATTGCATATGCCGAGTATAGATTTCAGACCGGGTCGGACAGTCTGGAAGATCGAGAGACTCACAGGATGATGAGCAAATCGTGCGCAGCACTGCCAATGGAAACCGCGATGAAGCCGGAGGGAGTGTAGAAGGAGGAGTGTGGGAGTGTAGGAGTGTAGGAGGAGAGGGAAGGGGAGCCCAAGCGGGAATGGGAATGGGCGGAGTGTGGGGGAAAGTCAGAAGAGTCGGGGCTGCGGACCGGGAAGGCGAATTGGGGGGTCGGGAGGGAACGGAGTCGAGAACGCCGAAAAAATTCACGGGCCTGGGGGAAAAAAGAAAAGAAAAGGAAATAAATATCATAAGAGAGGGGAAAACCCACGACCAACGGAGAGTGCCTAGATTCCGAAAGGGAAAGGGCCAAAAAAAAGAGGGAAAAAAAAAAAAGAAAAGATGGAGCCGAGAGCCGCTGGGGAACTGGACATTTGAAATTGCGGAGGCCCAAAGTATGCAAGGCCCGAGTGGGATTTCGTGGAGGAGCCCCACCACAGACGTTCCGAGCTCGAGTCACGACGGATCTTGGGATTATATTGACGATCGAGACAACGAGAAGAGGCTACATACATTACTCTAGAATATAGTATATCCTACTATATACCTATCTCGTCCGGGAGGAATCATAATTATGATGATGATCCTCCATCTGCAGGATTCCGGGGTAGACGTGGCAGAAAACCGGGCCTGGCTGACTTGCCGAGGAAGCTCGACCGGGAAAGGCAGTCGAAGACGAGCTTTGCGTTCCGACAACCTATATACCATATCCGACCATGACACGTTTTATACATGGGCGCATAACATATACTGTTTACTACATTTCTCACACTCGATCCCCCATCAATATTCTACCGCCCAATATTATATCTCCCCTCTCATACACCCGGATCCGACTCGTTTCCCCCGGTCGCCCATTTACCGACCGAAAAGCACGGGCCAGCAACCACCCGTCGTGGTACCCCCCGGAGCACAAGCGACCAGCGCCCAGCGACGGAGTATACTCTCGCCCTTGTCTGATGCCTCACTTCCCAGTTCAAATTCGAATGGTATCTCGTAGTGACCGTGACCTACTCTGCTTAGTGACCTACTAGCCGAGATTCCAACCAGTTTGATTATCCTCACTGGCTACCTTGACTACATCATAACATCATTTTGATCATCATCTCACCGTTCCATCCAGTGTACGCCCTGGCTCAACGGCCGATCCGGTCTCCGGTCGTTCTCCTAGTTGCCGAGCAAAAAAAAAAAAAAAAAACTCTAGGGGTTCCTGGTCAAGTGACGAGTCTTTCCGATCTTCTTCATTGGACCAGAGTTCCAGGAATTGTACGTAACTTTCCGTTCGGCTACACCCTTTCCGCCAGGGTATACTTGGAAGATAGAGCACGCTTGCTTGACGTAGATCATCCCCATAGGTCTCACTGCGAACTGTATGTATCATATCCTATAATATAATATAATGAGTAGCCCAGGATGAGCGCCCTGCCCGACTCAAACTCGTCCGCATAACGGGCTTATTGCCCTCCTGTACTGACTCGCCCGGCTCCCCATCTGTTGCCCGACCGTGCCTGTCTATTCTCTTCAGCCCGATCGGCAACGTCTCCCCAGAAGGGAATAAAGACCAGATTGTCAGATCCAGGCCCGGGGGCCCCCGCCAAAAAAGAGGACGTGCATTTGCCGTCGGGAACTCCCAAATAGGAAAGCGGCACGACCGAGCTTTACTTCGGACAGCTGTGCGAGGGCCGAGTCGGACAGGATACCTTCGTCATGGCAAATCGTAGGGTACGAAGAGTACCTCTTTTAATAATGAAAAAGGCAGGGTATGACTACTATCCCAATAGAGGACGCTCCGCTGAAGCCGAATACGGGCTAGCCCAGGGAATCCGTACGGCTTGCTTTTTCCCCCGGAATCCAGTTTGGGGTCGATCGTAGACGATCCAAAAGAAGGCATAGTTGGGAGACAAAGACAGAGTAGGAAATGACTGCCCTCGACGTGAAAGAGAGAAAGAGAGAGACAGAGGACGGTCTCCGACACGGGACGAGGTCTGTGGTCCGTGGTTCCTCGGGTATTCCCCGTGTTTGCTCGTGGGACGGACTTTGATCTTGCCTGAGCCCCGGTACCACATGGTGGCCTATAGGGAAATGGACTTCCCCTGGGACCACTCGTGACGACCTGGCACCGTCCACAATCCACAATCCACCATCTAGCATTGGGGCCATCGGGTGTCAGCGAGTCTAGGCGATCCAATCGAGAAGAGCGAAACATCCTTGTTCGCTCCCCCGGAGCTCCCCGCGGGGGAAGAGGACGAGATCCGCCGAGACTTAGGTTGTGGAAAGGTTAATCATTGATCAATGCTCGTCAACCATTCACCCGTTTACCCTCGCTTGCCAATTCGGAAGTAACATCAAGGGACTGGTCGGATTACTCCTACAGTTCCGCACGGAGCATGTCACTGATGGAGACCTGGTCTCGTTCATGGTTCTTACTCGCTCGCTTGTGCGATGAGGTACCGTGATGATGCTAGTGGTAGTGTCAAATGAATGGTGATAATATTAGGTCCTTTGCTTTCCTATGTGCGGCGGCCTCCGCGGCGTATTATAATCATGGTCATTGTTGCTCTTCTTCGTCTCGGGTTTAATCTATCACGGTTCCGCGCTGTATGTAAGTATGGATACTGCTGTTGTATCTTGGACGTGTTCCTGCTCTGCCCGGTGATTGCCATATTCTCATCCTTGGAATTGCTTTTGCCACATCCATTCGCTTCCCATCGGATGTCTGCCAGACCAACTCCTTGAATAAAGGTCGGTTCCCTCCACAGTCCGTGGATCGGCACAGCGAACGGAACACGATTGGATGCCGCACGGAGGACAGCACAGAGCACGGATTGTACACACCGTGTAATTGTCACTGTCTGGGGCTCCGGGGTAAGACTGCACCGCTTCGCCTCTAGAACAAACGTCTCGCACCGAACCCGACAGGGGACTCGGGACGGATGATCCTAGTCGAAAATGACATGGGGTTTGACCAGGGTTGATCACTGCGTAGTCTCGTCATCCCCTGTATCCCTACCGCATACCTGTCGACCGTAGTCCTCGGCACCGATCCCCATGATGCACTTCTCTCCACAGCCCAACCCCAAGATTCAACGCAGTAAATACCTGTTCTCTACAGTACATATTCTCACCCCTTACATCGAGCGTTCCCATACCAGGAGCGCGGAAAAGTCACCGAGATTTCTCCCCCACCTACGGCAGACCCGTCGCGTTTCGGCCCCGTCCGAGTAACGCCCCTAACCCGCTGATTGGCCCCCAGCCTCCGAGGGCCGACCCCGGGCAACCCCGCATTTGCTGAATTCACATTAGGTAAGTCGGGCCATTGCGAGCCGACCAGAGAAAATCTCGGGTTGGAAGGAATGGGGGGGGGAGAAAAAATGTGGTGGTTGCACCAAGAACATGACCGGACGAAGAAGAGGAGCGGGGCTCTATGTGGAAAGAAGCAGATCAAAAAAAAAAGAAATATTCCCGAGAAAATTAGTATCAACCAATCGATTTTTAGAGGATTGTTGTTTGGTTCGGCCTCGATGAAGACAAAGGAAGCGGAGTAAACAATAAGAGGCGGGTGTACCAGATATACGAAGCACAGTATGTGGCTATGTGACAATGTGGCTTTCTCCTCCGACGTATATACCCTGTCCTCTCGATCATGTGCCCCAGTGCCCGGCCACGAAAGTATTCTTTTACGCCTCGCCTGTCAAATTATGCCCGGCGGATCCCCCGGCCTCTCCCCGAACAACAGCCCTGCATTCTCCGTGGTAAATCCGCGTAAAGTAGTACTGGCCGTAGCCAAGCAATCTATATGTTTTAAGCTATTCTATATCTCGAGCAGTACCGAGTACTGTACACTGTACCGTAGAAGTAAGGGTGGCTATCGCCCTCGTCGGAACCTAACCGGCCACGACTATCCTCGGCGAATCATCCGCTGGAAAAGGAAACTTAACCTGGAGGGCGTGACGGGTAGCGGGACTGGTTGCCCGAAGAGTCCTTTAGCGACCGTAGCCGTTCGGGTGGACTTTCACGCTGTACAGCAGTACTACATCAGCACTGCGACGGAGTTACTCTATACTACAAGAAAGGAGACGTAGTATAGAGCAGACCCTGTGATGGACACAACACAGATTTAAAGTAGGATTCAAGTATTTACTCTAGCAAACCTATTAAAAGCGCCTAATGCGACTCTATCGTCTCCCCCACACCCTGTCAATCACCCTCAGTCCTTGCCCGCTCCCGAGGATCGAGCGGTGCTCGGCCCGCCTTTTTTTTCTTTCTTTTCTTTTTCCGGCAGGTCCCTTTTAGGGGAAAAAAAAAAGAGACCAAACCTTCTCCCTGTCTCCTCCCATGTGGCCTTCTTGGCATTGGTGAAGGGCTAGTCCCAAGTTGTTCAACCTTGTCGAGGTACACTGCAAAGTTCTCCGTACAATACCCGTCCAATGATATGCAATTGCGACATTTTCGTTTTATTTTCTCTCTGCCTCACCACCAGCTCATCGGACTCATCGTCCAATCCTCCGATCATTTCGCCGGAGACAACCCGAACCCGGGCGCCTCAGCTGACGGTTATTATTAAGAGAAATCCCGCGATCCACAATTCTTCCTACGGACTCCCCCTCAACGGAGTAATAACGTCGGGTAGCGAACAGTCACTACAGTAATAGCTGGCCGACCTGCCCAACGAGGTATTCCCTAGCACCCCCTGGCAGTTACCACCCCACGGAGTTACACATGGTATGGGATGGAGCCACAATTCTTGTAGAATCAGAACCGTTACTTCCCTTTGCACACCCCCCTCCAATGACTTTTACCCAATTGAATTCATATCCGCTACCCGCCAGAGAAAGGCCCAACAGACGAGCAGTTGGAGCGTTGGCGAATCCTTTGGTTTCAAACTCCACCCCCAAAACCAAACCTCGCAAAAGGAAGACACAGGCTCTGTTTGGTCAAAATTGTCCCTCCACTCCTCATCCTTCGTCCCCCCATTTCCCGATCCCCTTTTTACCCGAGTTCAAAGGGGTTCCCGCTCCGCGCTCCGGATTACCGAATCGGTCTGCCATAGCCTCGATGACCATTTATGTACTTTTATTCTGCGGCAACTCCCGGCGGGAATTTCACTCATTTACTCCGTACTGGGGGGTGAAGTAAATACTGTAGTAGTGATGTGACTATGGATACCTACGGAGAAATTGGAGAACAGTTACTACAGTAACTCCTGGAGCTATTGTCCTGTGCGGGTTCTTCCAGTATCCTTCCATAGATCTAAACGCATCCGACCTAAACTCTGCATTAGCGAGAATGCATCTCCTCGTGGTCTTATGCACCTCTTGTACTTATTTCACACCCTGCCAGATGCTCAGGTTGAACAGAGGCCTCCGCCCTGGAAAACCGGAAAATAAACTATCGGGATCTTATCCACCCACAGTTCCCGTCGCAACACGGAGCCGTGTCCGACCGTTCCTGAACCCTCTAATTCTCCGGACATACCGCAGGATGTCGACGAGTAAAAGAACTGCAGAAAAGGGGCCGAGAAATAGAATAAGCATAGCTCCCTCTTCTACGAAACCTCATCTTAAACCACCTTAATAGGTCCCTTCTACCCTAGTATTCTGACGTCCCATCTTTCTCCATCGCATCGTCACAGGGTTGCCTGCCAACCATCGGCCCGACCGATATTTTTCATTCCCCGACAAACCCACCCTCACTACTCCAACAACCAACCATCCTAACCCAGTGCCCCCAAAATCTCCACATCGGCCCCGGGTAAAAACTTGATCAGAAGCGTCAAGGCAAGTCTGCTCCGGTGGGATGCCGATTCCGAAATTCCCACGCAGGCCGCCGCGTGATTTCATTATGATTCGGTTTACTGGGTGGGAACTTAGGTGTGTGGGTGTGGGCGTGGGGGTGCGTGTTAGTACGGGGTTACATAGTCGGTAATATGTAGCAGGATACTGTACATAATTCTGGTACTTTGTGCACGCCGTGCTCCGTAATGCCTGCTAGGTTAGAAGTACTGTAGGGCTTAAGGTCGGAGGCGGGGTGTGACTCGAGTCTAACCCTACGGCTAGATTCATCACGGAAGGGACTCGGTGCGTCTGGAAGGCAAAAAGGCAAAAAGCCATATTCGAACGAGGACTGATTATGTACACGGTACGAATTAGTTACCCCATCGTGAATGGAGGACAAATTGTTATCCACAATGTATCCGTAGAATAAACGGGATAAATTGTACTATGACGGCAGGCCGTGACTCTGCCCAACCCTGATCACACTCGCATTGGTATATCCCCGAATATCACCCGTTAAATTTCCTCAGCCTACTGCAACCCCCGGTCCAAAGATAATTTAGCCCGCTACACCCCTAGTCCGTCTGGAGCTTGATCCAACTAGCTAGCCCGCCTAGGCGGCGCCTAGGCGGGCTGGACTTGTCAATGCGCTGCGCTGCGCCCCCGGACCTGGGTTAGGCTAATAAGACAGGCCACAAAGGCAAGGCCCCGCCCCCGGTTAAGTAGCCACGGTAGGGCTCTCTATTCGGCGGCAGAATTCTAGCCTGAAGTTGGTTAATTCGAATCCGTTCGCTTTTAGGCTTCTCGACCGGAATGAATAAGACGACTCATGGCCGGTCGGCGCTAGTGAATTTCAATAGGGGCGGATTTAGTCGTTAATCCGCAGGATACAGGTCTGTTTGACGTTTTATCCAGATACTCTTGTACATATTCTACACATATCTATACATATCTCGGGTATTAGCCGACGGATTCTGGCGCGGTTTATCTATCACGATCCACTACGGAGTAGACAGCACCCTATGCGCAGTAGCCAACCCGCCGATTGCTGATTTCCCATTGAATCCTGGTAGATCCCTGACAGATTCCCATGTCTCTATTACCCAGAAAACCGATTTCTCAAACATTGACACCCACCACTTCATGGTCATCACCAAAAACTGTCGAAAAGAAAAGAGAAGAAAACCAGTCACGCAGCCCCTGAATTCGGGTTCGGCTAACATTGGGTCTATCTGTATGTCCATCAAGTGCCAAAATCTGAAGATAAGGAACCTGACACTAGTCCTGACTGAGGAAACCTACCCCAAATCTGGATGAAGCTACCCCCCACATGTCCCCAATTTGATTGGAACTTCATTATTAATGTCGCTCTCCTATCTTTCTCTTGTAACTTATCTCGCCAGATACAAGCATGAATTCAGATATCTTATCGGTAATCCATCTTGTACATTCCAGGTAGCCGCTATATAGAGTCACGATGTAACAGAAAAATAACATTTTTCGGTTTCGTTCTTGCTTCCAAAAGACACAGGAGGCATCATGATTTCCTCAAAACTATTTGGTCTGCCAGCTTTGCTGTCTCTCCTCCTATTCCTCCCCATCAATGCTATCGCAATCGTCAATCTTAAGGGGCAAACTATCGAGTTTAATGGCAAGACATTCTACGCCCCTCCAAAAGCAGTAGCAACACTTAAAACCGCTGCTGGGGCCCAGATCGGCAATACCAATGACTTGCAACCTCTCACAGTGGTTTTGACTGATACATTGACGCTCACAAGCTCTGTCCTTGAGTCCTTAGTTGAAAATTATTCATCTATAGATGATGTTTTCAACACCGGATTCCTTGAAAATATATATGTTGAGTACAATGGAACTCACAAACACCCATCTGAAAGTGTATCCGGTTCCTCTTCTTGGAAAAAGAAGCTCCTTGGATTTGCATCTGCATACAATACCAAAGCGTCGATGAAGCTGTCCTCGTCCAAAAGCCTGCCTGCTGGCCCTTACTTCTTTAATCCGTCCAGCGGAGAGGTCTTTGAGGCCTATCTTTTGTATTCGGATACAATGGGCTCTTTTACTCAGGGCTTAATCCCAGTTGGTAACGATGGGTACGGTGTCTTGTCAGCGAGCCTGCCTGGTTATGCTTCGTTGACAATCGGTGTTCCGTCGAGATTGTACTACACGAAGACGGCCGAGAAGCCTTTGGCAGGTGTACGCATACCGTTCTTTTCTTATCTTTCTAACAAGCTCTATCTGTAATAAACTAACAATCACACAGGTCCGTCTTGGAGTGAAAGATATTTACGACATCAAAGGCGTCAAGACCGGCTGTGGTAACCGCGCCTACTTCGATATTTATCCCGAAGCCAACACCACAGGTCCCGCTATCCAATCACTCATTGATGCCGGAGCCGTCATTGTCGGAAAGATGAAGACAAGTCAGTTTGCCAACGGTGAGACTGCCACAAGCGACTGGGTCGATTATCATTCGCCCTTCAACGCCCGTGGAGACGGGTACCAAGATCCCAGCTCCTCTTCATCGGGTCCTGGATCCGGAATCGGAGCTTATGACTGGCTGGATCTGGCAATTGGCAGTGATACGGGAGGTTCGATCCGCAACCCTGCACAGGTGAATGGATGTTTCGGTAATCGGCCCTCATGGGATCTGGTCTCATTGACGGAGGTCATGCCCCTGTCTCCACTCTTGGACACTGCGGGCTTTTTGACAAGAGATGTGAAGTTGTGGAGGGCCGCCTCTGAGGTCATGTACAAGAATGCAGGCTTGAAGTCCTACACGAAGTATCCGAAGAGTATCAAGACCATTGATTTCCCTACTAGTGCTGATACTGCGGCCGATGCACTTGTGCTTGATTTCGTGGACAAATTAGCGGCATATCTAGGTGGTGCTAATGTTTCGACGTTCGATCATGATGAGTTGTGGGAGACCACTAAGCCTTCAACTGTTTCTGAAGATGCAACTCTTAAGTCTTTGTTGAATATTACTTACCCTATTCTCATTTCAAAGCAGCAGTATTCTCTTGTTGCTGCTCCGCTGTACGAGAAATATGAAGCCGCAAATGGAGGACGGAGACCTTTCATTGATCCGGTTCCTCTTTCCCGCTGGGGATTTGGATTGGAGTACCCCGAATCGCAGCTGGATGTCGAGATCTTGCACAAGGATATCTTTAGTCACTGGTGGAATAGTACGGCCCAAGTGTTTGATGAGAAGACCTGCTCTGACAGTCTCATGCTGTACGTTGGAACTGCAGCAACACAAACGTATCGCAACGTTTATCGGAGGTATTTAATCCCTTGTGCTTGTTATCCAAGCACGAATTCATGTTAACAACACGTTATTCTAGTCTGCCCGGTATTCCCACTGGATTTTCAACCTCTCGCATTGCCAACTTTGCTGGTGTACCTGATATGGTTGTTCCAAGTAAGTGTCCCCAATGGAGAAGACAAGGATAAATATACTAATTTCGACGGTCAAATAGTTGGTCAAGCACTGTATAACTCCACCATCACCCTCAAGGAAGAATATTTGCCGGTGGCAGTCGATTTCATTGCCCCTCGCGGCTGCGATCTGATGATTTTCAATTTGGTGAATGAGCTAGTGGAAGCAGGAATCGTGAAGGAGCCTGTTGCCGGATCGACGTTGTATGGAGATGGTGTAATTTATTATTGATCGAAAAATCACGAGACATTTTAGATACTATTGATACCTGTGATATGCACATGTACAATGCCTAATTTACTCCTTCTGGGACTCCCATATACTCTAATTTCGTGAATAACGGGGAACGTCGATATTGAATTTCTTCATTCATCTTCACATATAATCATCCCGCTTGACGCTACTTTCAACATACTTTGACTTGGGCTCTTGAGAATGCTCAGAATTTCTATCCAGTGAAGTGACTTCTGGTGTAAAATAAAATATTCAAGAGCTTTCTGTCATCACGTCCGTGCCCTACATTTTATATTACACCACTTTACAGATCAGGTGTTTTTGTTCGAGATCAGTGTACTGGCTGATAAAGGGGGATTTTCTACTTAGAATTCAAGTAGAATAGACAAGTTACGATCTAGATCCCCAGAATTATTCAACTCTTTCAAGATGTCCCCATAGTTAGTATTCTGTAATATTGCGAATATTCGGAGGGAGTAGTCATTCCCGGAGCTAAACATGTTATTGTGTGCCGCACCTACTCTATTCACGAACCGAGACAATCTAAAGTATTCAACTTGAACGCAATGAAATCTCAACAATTCATGCGGGATCTGCTCCGCAAAAATTCAGAATCCACTCGGCAACCTGACCACGTCCGGATTGTCTCCGTGCCGACTCCGAACTGAATCCGGTCCGTCTATCTATTACTAGATTGCCGGGCACAGTTTCCGCCATTTTGTTGGATCTGTATCCACCCGAGTCATAGATCCATTCATTCCAAACAAATCTCCGGCAAGGTTAATCTCTAGCTCGAGTGCTCCGAAGTCTGATCATGCCTGAAACAGGTATTCTGGGACCGCTCCTTCATTTGGTTGGTGCCGATTTTCCGGCAGCGCGGGTTCTGGCGCATCTAATGAAGGCAGAACTTGAAATATGATGGAAAAGTCTGATAACAATATAGAGCAACGGAAATATGTTCGAGCCCTCTCATAGTATATACATAAGATTGACCTCGCCGTTCGATCACCCTCTACGTCATATCGACACACACGCCCTCAACCCTGGTATACCTCATCACATCATTTTTTCCCTTTTTTTCGCGTCGAAAGTCAATTAAGCCGGAATGGTGATTGAGCCTTACACAAACCGTCCCGTTGCCATTCTCGGCGGCGGAGCCCTGGGCCGGCGCATCGCTTGCGTCTTCGTAGCAGCTGGTTACAACGTTCACGTGCAAGATCCATCCACGGAGGCCCTGCAGGATGTCGCCGACTACATTGACACACACAAGCAAGAGTTCTCTTTGATGCCGCGAACCAGCATGGGCAAGGGAGACGGCATTGACAAACGTGAGGAGAACAGGGCTGTCGAGGGTGGACTGAGCGACACGGGCGTTTCGACCGTTGACTTTGGATCTCAATCCCAGTCACAGTCACGCTTTGGAAACTGCAAGACATTCACAGGGATTGGGCCTGCGGTCAGCAATACTTGGCTCGTCATCGAGGCTATTCCTGAGAAGCTGGATCTCAAGATTGCGACTTTCCGTGAGCTGGATGAGAAATGTCCGGCGGATTGTATTATTGGGTCGAATAGCTCTTCTTTCAAGTCGAGTTTGATGGCAAGTAAGATATCGACTGAGCGGAAGAGAAGATTCCTCAATATACACTTTACCATGCCACCCTTGATTCGGACTGTGGAGATGATGACTTGTGGAGAGACCGATCCCAAGGTCTTTTCTTATCTAGAGGCCGTCCTGGGCGAGTGTGGACTGTTGCCAGTGACCGCACGACGAGAATCGACAGGGTGTGTATCTATACCTCTGTTTGTCAGTCTCCCTCAGCTAATCCTTGACTATCTTCCAGGTTCATCTCCGACCGCCTCTGGGCAGCCGTGAGATGCGAGCTCATGAACATCTTCTCCGACGGCGTTAGCGAACCCAGCGAAATCGATCTCCTCTGGGAACACATATTCAAGAACGGACCCGTCCCTTGTAAACTCATGGACCAAGTAGGTCTCGACAACATAGCCAAAATCGAAGACATCTACACCCAGGAACGGGGTCTCGACTCCCAAAAGACCGTCGATTGGCTCCGCGGAAACTATATCAAACAAGGCCGACTCGGCCAAAAGAGTCCAAAGGGCGGCTTATACCCTCCCATCATCAAATCCGCTCCCGTCAAAGCCCAATCTGCGAACTCTCACACCGCAACAAAGGACATTTACCTGCTCGACGTGGGCCTGGGCGGAAACGCGCGCGACGTCTCAAAAGTCCACACCAACGGAAAAATCCTGCGTTTGAACTTGGCAACGCACAAGCTCACCCCGATCGTCGTGGATCAGAATCTACCAGACGGAATAGACGTTTCCCGCGAGACGCAACGCATCTTCTGGACGAACATGGGTCATAGCACAGCCGCATGCGACGGTTCAGTGTGGACGGCCAATCTAGACGGAAGCGAGATCCGGTGTCTGATTCCAGAAGGAAAAGTGCATACGCCCAAACAAATCGCCGTCGTCGACAGTCGGAAGCAAATGTATTTCTGCGATCGAGAGGGTACGAGCGTGCACCGCGTCAACTTTGAGGGTAGCAACCACCAAATCATGGTCCAGCGTTGCGTCACCGCGGACATGAAACTCGGCGAGCAAATGCGCATGTGGTGCGTCGGCATCGCAATCGATGAAAAGCGTAGTCTCATGTACTGGACGCAAAAGGGTCCTAGTAAAGGTGGTCGAGGCCGAATCTTTCGCGCTGGCTTGGAAATTCTACCCGGTGAGACTGCTGAAAATCGGTCTGATATTGAGTGCTTGTTCGATGGGTTGCCGGAACCGATTGAAGTTAATATTGATAGGGATACGCAGGATTTATATTGGACGGATCGTGGGGAGCATCCGATGGGTTCTTCGTTGTATCAAGCTTATGTTGGTGGGGAGCAGGTTGCTATGCAGAAGGTTAGGCGAGGCAATTTCATGAGCCGATTGGGTTGAAGTTGGATCGGGAGAATAATGTTGTTTATGTGGCAGATTTGGGGGGTACTTTGTATTCCGTTGGGTTGGATGATGGGAGGAAGGTGGAATTGGTCAAGAATGATGGGTGTTATACGGGGATTACTTTGGTTTAGTTTGGATTGTACAGGCGAGGGAATCGTAATTTTAGCTCGTTCTGGTAAGTTAGCATATCCTTTTCGTACTCCAATGGTTGAATTATCACGTAGACGATTCATTTCATGGGTATCAAAGTTAGAGTAACTGGATCCGTAACAAGGCCCATGGAGAGTAGACCATTACAACTAAATTCCCGTAGTTCACCAACCCTATGAAAGAACCGAGAGTTTACGCAAATCTTATCAGAAGGCGGAGCTGTTGATAACTACTGAAACAGAAAGACTAGCCCCACAATGATAATAAGAATAAGTAAAAACTCATCAAGATCAAATGAATTGACAATATACTCCAAAAATGTATAACTATGAATATGAAATGTGAACATGAAATATGAAAATATACGAGATAACCACCGTAATCATGACCCCCAAAGACGAAAGAGATAGAGAAATAGATGAAAGCAGACCCAACCTGGCTAGTATAGCCAGACTGAGATCCACGTCCACGCTAAACCCACCCCATCCTGTCCTATCCCATGCCATCCACCACCCCCTTCTATAGAACGAGAACCTCAGACCCTAGACACTCATGACGGAGAGTAGGGTACTCAGAAGTACAAGAGCGTATCACGAGGTAATCCAGGGGGATATGGACGGTAGAAAGAATTCGAAAATGGAACGACAGAATCAAAATCAAAAAGACACGTAACTCATGGAGGACGTAACTGAAGCATGGACATAGAACGTAGACATAGACATAGACATAAATGTAACCATCAACATGAACATGAACATAGACATGATAGAAAATGAGAAAAAAATCAGATGAAATTGCAACCTGGACACAAAAAGAAAACCCCCTATAAAAACCCCAATATGCCACCGGTAACCACACCAAACCAAGAGCATGAGAAACGAGAAGAAAAGAAGATAGACATGAGATCAAGAAAGGAAAGAATGACCATCTCAGTCCACTGCAAAGAAAAGTACCAGCTTCTTTACAATTTTTTTTTCAATTCGGAATCCAGCACCGAAAAATGTACTCCATTCAAATGACGCATCCTGTAACACATCTTGTCTTCTCTGCTGAATTCAAATCAACAAGTTGATCAAGATTCTGTAGATCGTGTCGTGCGGTGAAGTGATCCAATCCACCCAGCGCCCCCACAACGAAAAAATTGCACAAAAAATAAACAAAAAAAGGAATGTCCATATATCTCAAATCAGGCATAATTCATAACATCCGTAAGGCTCACATCCCATGAGTTGTTGGCCCGTCAAGGTCAAGGGTCCATGGATATAGTAAGTGAAGTGGGCGGCAAGCAGATCATTTAACGTCAATCTGGAAAGCCTTCCACTTGCCCCCAGTCGACCGGCAACGAGGACACCCCCTGACACTGGGATAACTAGTCGGACCCGGAGGTGGAGCACTGTTCAGCGAACCATTACCAGGAGTGCGGAAGGAGGCTGGTGGACTGGAGATGAACATGGGGACGCATTCGCGACACACGCCGCAAATACACTCCGTACAAGCGTAGCACTCATTCAGCGGCCAGGGCCGCCTGCAGTGTGCGCAATAGATTTGGATATCATTATTGCGGAACGACGCGGGCGTGGGGTTCGAGAAGCGATGGTGCTGGCGGTTTTGGGAGAGTGGTGGAATGAGATTCAACACGGGACTGGAGTCGGAATTGATAGAGCGCGCGATGCCGGATGTTGATGAGGGGAAATTCTTTCCCGAGGCGGATGACATGGAATCCAGGGACGATTCAATGGATGGGAAAGGTTCCAAATCATTGTCGCGACCGCGATGGCCTTCAAAGGGTGGAGGGGTGAGCGACTTGTGTAATGGCGAAGCTGCATATGAATGAGGCGGGAACTGTCGGTGCGATGATAGCGGTGGAAGCCCCGAGCCTGATTGGAAAGCTGGAGGTAAAGAAGACCGGTTCTTGAATCCCGAGGGTGCAGATGTGACGTTTGCAAGCAGTGGAGCGATCGTTGGGGATTGACCAGCCTGGAAATCAAGTTCCATCCTGTCAATCATCATGGGATCGCTAGCCTGGGTGTCGCTGAAACTGACCTCGGAATACCGCTCATCATCAGCTTCCGTCGCGGATGTAGCCGCTTCGATGAGATCCTCCCAGCGCTTGCCCTGTGCCCACGCGGCAGTCTGCGGCTCTGCGGACAGGGCCTTGCGATCGCCGAGACTCGGGCGTCGACCGAATTCCTTTGATCTCGGGCGGTCGTGCTTGGGTTTGCGGGCCGATTGCGTGATGGACGATTTGCGCGGGCGGGAAGGCTTGTCTCGTCGCTGGATCGGAGGAAGAGTCGAAGAGCGACCGGGGGGAGAGTGGTTGAGAATGGACGGAAGGAGTTCCCGCGGGCGAGGCGAAGAGAAAGGCGGCAAGGACTCTTGCTTGAAGTGGTCGCGCAGCGATGGGAGTTCTATGGAAGAGCGCATACGGCCTTGGTGAATATCGGTGTCGGAGTGGGTGTCCTGTGGGGTAGAGAGCGCGGGGAAATGTTAATCAACCATGTGATTTACCAGAAGAATCGCGGGGAGGACCGCAGAATGAACAGAAAAAAAGGTCGCAGAGCAGTGAAAATAATACGTACCATATCAGTATCCCAGTCGGAGGCCAGGCGGTGGTGGTGCAATTGAGCGAGCGCAACGGCCGCGGTCGCAGCGGCGGGGTGGGGTTCATCGAGAGCTCGAGGGGTGGCCGGAGAGCTGGCATCAGCAACGTAGATGTCTCTATCCGCGATGTCTGGAACTAATCGTGAGCAAATCACTGTCGGGGAGGAATTCAAGAAAACTCGAAAAGAAAGCAAATCTTACCATGGCCATGAGGGCGACGAGGACGAGCTGGTTCTGGCGGGGACAAGTGCGCACGTTGATCGGGCGGGGTGGTCACCATTAACAGGAAGCTCTCCTCGGTAGCCGGGAGCTTCGGGATGTAGTGGTTCGGATGCGCACGTCGGATGTGCTCCTGCATGGAGCGAAAGCGCTTTTCCTGGAGGTCATGATTAGCTACATGGAAGCTTTCAACCTGGACGATCTCAATCGGATTAATAGTAGAGGGGGATCTGGTTCCCATGCCATCGCACTCCTCCCCCCATCTCGATGGCGAAAAGGTGGGGCTCGTAAATGAAAGGTTGCTCGGGGGGAGTGAAGACGGCGAAGAAGAGGAAAACCAAGACAAGAAAAGAAAGTGAAACTTACTCCCGTACATCGCTTGCGACAACTGGACCCATCGTTATTTTTCAAGGGACAAATGACTTCGTTGTTGGCGTCGGTGACCGAGAACGAGCTCGTCAGCGAGCTTCGAGGAGGCATGGTGCATATGTGCCCTCCCTTCTATGTCTCTCTCCGTGTCGCACTCGGATCTGTCTGTCGGTGCTCGTAGTCTGTGGGGAGGGGGTCAGGTGTCGGCGGGGGTGTATAGTGAGCAGGATGATCCCGGAGAGATGTATATATACGTCGAGGACAATGTAAATGAACACAATCGAGGATCCCAAAGAGACTGGAGAGGTGCAAAAATAGCCCTTTGAACCTGGTGGGGAGGAGAGAAAGGAAGAAAGGATGAACGAAGGCGCGGCTCATTGAGTGGCACAGAGACGAAGAAAGACGGGCTGGGTAAGCCGTAAACTGGTAAGCTGGGTGAAAGGCGAAAGCTGCGTAAGAAAGTTGGGTAAAGACGGTCAGCGTAACGGGGAGTACACTTCAAACTTACCAAGTGGTTACCACCCAGCAGTATCGTCCGGAGTGGACTTTTCGTTGGAGAGAGTAACGCAAGAAGCCCCGAGGCTTACCCTCCGTTGGTGGTTCCTTCGGTGGTCCAGGGAAAGTGAATGAGCCTTAATTACCGTATCAAACGGTAATTACCAGTCCCCGTTTTCGTGGTTTTTTATTTGCTTGTTCGCCCCAGGTACAGCTGAAATTTCGATCCCCCCCTCTTCTGCGACATACCAACTATCAGGGTCTAATAGGACCTAGGATCTACCCTCAGCTCGAGGGGCCCGCCCTAGTTAGAATGGGCGTGGCCTGCATGCATGATGTACATATGCGTAGAGGTACAGAGGCACCTCCTCCGGACCTCATCCGGTCCGTTAAAATATCCACCCTAATCGGAGCTGGGGGGGGGGGGGGAAATCCTGCGTACGGTCATTTTACGTTTCGGAAAGCCCGGTGGAACGCCGGACGAAGAGAGCTGGAGGATCAGCTCTTTTTTTCGGTTGGATTTTGGCTGCCTTCAGCTCGCTATGAGGTTATTTCTTTACTTTCTCCGTGTCGTTGTCCTGTATGAGAGGGGTGGTTACAATCCCCCTCCTCTCTGCACTCGATAAGAGCTGACGGGGAAGTGGTCACGATAGGCGCTATCAGCGGCCCCCTCCGAAGCTCTCCCCAGCTCAGAAGCTCTCGAAATTCCAGAAGCTCTCAAGCGAAGGAGGGGAGCTCGGGTGGCAAAGGCCTTAGCGCCACGTTACTTTCCCGTATTACCCGTACCCGGCTCACCGGAGATACTGACGACTGGTAAACTATACGTTTTTTCATTACTTGATTACAAGGGCACGATGACCACCCGAAGCTAGAAATAGCTCTAGGAACAAAGATGGCTTGAAGGACCTACAACGAGATAAGAATGGAGATTGAGATTCACAATGAGCATTGCATAAAGAGGTTATTTCTGGTGGCTCCCCCTCCCAAAACACACAAAGGGAACGGAGATCCCAATCGTCTCGGACCCCAGCTCGGGCCTGGTGCCGTGCGATACCGAGGCTGGCTCGTGAAGTACCGACTGGGACGAGGACTTGAGGCGTCCTATGTATGTACTCGAGAACGCAAAGCATAATCTTACCACCTTCTTCCTATTATAACAATTCACTTTCCCCCATTTCCCCTCAATCTCCCATCTCCAAACCCTCTCCCGGTAAGTAATCTCTCCGACCTCGTCCGTCCAGCTCCAACTTTAAATTCCCGCACCACTACCACCTCCGTATTGTCACATAAACGCTGGTAATACGTCCCCAAAGTCCGGCTCACGTTGAGTTTAACCGACTCCACCAGCACGGGGCACATGCCGATGAAGAGCATACCAAAGCAGCATGATTGGCTTTTTCATCGGGATAGTGGAGGCCAATTCTCCCAATTATCTGCATCTTGATTGGTGGACGGGGTCTTTCGGCAAGGGCGCCATCCCGGATGGGGATGGTCGTGCAGGAGGGGGGAGAACTGCGACGAGGGAAGGGGAAAATTTAGAAAAAGAAAACTCAACTCTTCCGACTGGAGTTATCAGTGGTACCGAGTACAAGTATACGCTACAGTGAAGAATATGCTTGACTTTTATACGGTGGTGTCTCAGTAATCTAGCTCGGATCGGTGCTCGGAGCTCTACATATTAGATTTGTACAGAGTCTGGCAATTGCGGACGCAGTTTCCTTATCCTCATTCTCCTACCAGAACTGTCTTATCGCTCCTCCTCCTCCTCCTGGTCCTCGGTGGGGTGGTCCCGAAACGGCGGAGATCTGTCACGGTGGAGATTTGGCACCGTTCTCGGTACAGTACGACGGTACTGTATGGAGTACGTATTCTGGGAAAGCTTTATCGCCTAGTTGTTGCTCTACTACCGTAGCTACGGCTACGGCTAGCTACTATATCTAGGCTAGCTCTAGGTACTACTGTCCTGAATTAACCACTAACGCGCGCGTGTCTATTTTGGGCAAGTACACATGACGGTTGTCAATCTGGTAGTTCAGGAAAGTTGCCCGCAAAATTGGACTACACCACCAGTCCAATTTTCAGATCTTGCATTTTGCGATCTAGCGCAGGTCTTTGATCGTACCACTAGGTGCAGAAAAATTGCTTATTTCTTCATCAGCCCCTCCCGAGCACCAGGTTCAAGAGTCGGAGGTTGCCCGGACCTGTTGAACTTCTCAGCGATACCTAAATATAGATGAACGACAATACACAATGTAATGCCTACTATGTTTCAGAAACGTCTTTCACTTTGGTTAGGAGCATATTGAAATTGATCTTGGGTATAAGGCAACTTGTCCCTCCGTCTCGTTCAATACATGAAACATACCATCGCTCAATGCATCTTTACCAGAGGGATGTGTCTAGTCGGATTTCGACGTTATACAACCCCATGTGAGGGTACGCATGTGAGGGTACTGTATATGCATGACCTTTCCTTCGTGCCCTCCCTGCAGAATCAACATACCAAACCTGTCGCAGAAACGCAGGGTCCAGCGACAATTCTCCAGGCAACCCAATTCTTGCCACTATCGAGGGGGTTTACCACAATGGCAGCTTGTGATCACCATCATAACTCGACATGCAGGTAGTGTCAGACACGGGCCTGACAAGCTCTTCCAGAGCTCGAACAAAAAAAACCACTTCGAACCCCCCCTTCAGCCTTGTAATACACCCGAAGTCTCTTCCAGTGGCGGCGTCATCAATCCATCGGTAACCTGCACACTCTCAAACTTCGGGGTCTGATCTATCCCCGCAAAGAAAAGCACCACCGCCTCCGCCGCAGCCTTAGAATCATCATCGTCATCCTTTCCGGTCACCCTCGAGACATTAATCTGACGTTCATACTTATCAACGACAGCCTGGGGCCAGCCCTGACGCCTCCCAAATTCCCGCGTCAGCTCGCTATTCACAAGCGTATCAAATTCAAAATGACCCTGATACGTCAGGATTCGACCGGGGTAGTATAATCCCTGGATTGGACACGCCGCGCTCGCGCCGATATTCATCCACGGCGGAGGTAGGGAGACGGATGTCTGTCCTGCAGATGTAGCGGCCGCGACGGCTTGCGGGGTGGGAAGCACTTGATCGCCGTGGATCAATTGGATGCGGAAGGGTCCCGTGGAGGATACACGGGCTAGCGGCGGGAAATGCGTGGTAAATGCAGGGTCCAGGGTAATGGGTTGAATACCCATTTCGAAGCCCGTCTGTGCGGGCTGGACATTGAATGTGTTGTCTATAGTTGCGCGACTCGTAGGCGTGGAAAGCAGTGCTTGCGCGATAATTTGGTGACCGAAGCAAGAGCCGAATATCTTCACGAGCGGGTACTTCGCATGCACCGTTTGGATGAATGATTGTACCTCCGCAATCCAGGGTAACGGGTCATACGACGACGCGGCCGATCCGGTAATCAGGATAGCGTCGATGACACCGAATGGTCCATTTTGGAGTTCGGTCGAGGTACGTGGGTGTGTGCGGAGGGAGTCCAGAGGTGGCAGTGAGCCGCCGACGGGGTCAAAGGCCGTGATGTGTACGGCTAGAGGGCCGTTTTGGAGAGGGATCTCGGCTCGTTCGTTGAGGCGGTTTGCGGCCGCTTGGAGGAGGACGCGGAATTGGGAGCTGTAGAGGCCTCGTTTGACGTAGACGGACAGACAGGGGACGTCGGCGTCTAGGACCGCGATATGGATGCGGTGCGGGGCCATGTGCTTGGATTGCGGAGAAATGAAGACTTGCCGCGCGTTAGAGGTATGATAGATCAGTACGATGCAGGATCGAGGTTTTTTATTATGGAATATACGATGATTTCAAAAGTATTTTTCAAGGACTATTTTCAAAGAGATTGTTGGGTTAATCATCGCGCTGGCAAGCCGACTGTTATCGATAGGGCGTTGATAGGGCGTATAGGGCGTCGGACCGCATTTGAATGCCTGATAAGGATTTTCTGATGGTTCTCGTGAGTAATCTGGTGGGGTATGGCACCCCGAAAGAGGAAGTTCAATCCTTGTTTGCGTTGGCCGCAGTTTGGGACCTCGCGGACAGGGTCCGATTTTGTTAGTCATGGCAGCGTGGTTGACTTAGGCCGAGGGTACAAAAGCCCACCACTACTGAGTAGGCTTGTAATTGTGAGTTGCAGATTGGATGAGATAATCTTCTACCTTGAGCATTGTAAATATCACATGTTACGGTGGACAGGCATGTAACCACACAAGGTAAAGGACCACAATGTGAAAGCAGTCTTGTTCTGTCATGCTTTGCCGACATAAGTACGCAGCGTTAGGGATGAAGAGTCCTAACATAGCGATCAAAGAAGTACATTCTCTTTGTGTGACACGTCAGGCATGATAGGTAGGTGAGAGGGTTAGATATAAGAGGATTCAAATATTCTTTGTATACCCGGTAGAAGTTGGAAGATGATAGAGATCTATTCGTTCTCATACAGGGGTCTCCAGCTAGCTGTGTCAAACTCAAAACAGAGACATCAAGATCATACCGAATGAGCAGCCAACGAGAGTGATCTGAGTAAGCCTAATTGACACTATGCAACCACCATCTCATCATTCACGACTTATCAGATCTAATTTATTCTCGCCCGAGAAGGTAGGTGCCCCCTAATTAAGACTTGTCTGGCTCAAAAATCAATCAGCCAACCACGAGCAGTCTCGGATGATGCAAGATGATCGTCCAGTTTCTGCAGTACAGACTAAATGGGTGGAATTTTCGAAAATGGGAACGAGAATTATCGGCCGAGTAGTTCCTGAAGAACTTGCTCACGGAATTGAGATAATACCATGCTACTATTTGGCTAGTTCCATAGATTCTAGAAGTATCGGGCTGTCGGGTCAGTGCCGACCAGCCGGGCCATCTTTATTTGATCTTTAATCCAACATCTCGAGAACAATGGTGACCCCCATCGAACCAAGTACATGTATGTGACTTGCGGGTTGTAATACCACCTAACAAAGAGATTCAATTGTTCAGCGCAAGATAACTATTAGCTAATTCTTAATGCTGCGGCAATATACATCCTCCATGTACCCAAGCGCCGTCGCAGCACAACATCGGACCCCGCCAATTGCGCCATCCCCCGCCCAAGTCTCCCAATCAACTCCAACCGTCCAGTCAAGCGCAGTCACCAAGAGCTTGCAACTCCGTTCGCCATGACTTTCGCAATGGTGTCCCGCCCTCTAGACTTGTGAAACCCGATTCACCCTATTGGAACTCCAACTCGCCGTGCCTCGTCCAGTGAGAATGTGGGTCGCAACACTCGCACGCCATACTGGCTGCTCGATTCCTCACCTCTGATTACCGTCAGAACGACGAAGACGTTCCATCTCATCGTTCAGATCTCGGCCGGGATTCTTAAATTATAAATAAGACTAGCGCCTCCATTGACTTGCAGTATCACTACATAATTTCAAGCCTATTTATTTGCGTCGCTGTTCATTCCTCAGCCAGTCAAAGGCCTCTCTATTTGCATTTCGCATCTATCATGGCCCCCGCTCTTACGGATGCGCTCCCTACTGCGCCCCATAACCTGGCCAGCAATGCCCCGCGGGATATCTTTCCCGATGGCTTAAAGACGACCGGTCAACACCCCCCGCTTTACGATCACATTGTGCCTTTCGATAGCTTCCCCCACAAGATCACAGGTCCGACGGTGTGGAAGGCCGAGGATTACCGCGAGAACCCGGAGAAATGGACACACAGATTCACCGAGGAGCAAGTAGAAGAGTTGAGCGTCGCGGCGGATGCATTCCTTGCTTCCAAGACCCCCCTCACTGGTATCTCCAAGGTACGTTTTACGGCCCAGCCCAGGGCACATGTTTCGGCAAGCTCACACGCAGTATAGTCCAACTTCAATCTGCCCAAGCTCGCAGAGTACTTGGAGGCTCTGCGCAATGATATCATTGATGGAAAGGGATTCATTCTGTTCAAGGGCTTCCCCGTGGAGAAATGGGGTAACCACAAGTCTGCCGTCGCATACATGGGCCTGGGTACCTATCTGGGCTATTTCGTCAGCCAGAACAGCCGCGGCCACGTCCTCGGTCACGTCAAGGATCTCGGCGAAGACTCGACCCAGATCGACAAAGTGCGCATCTACCGCACCAACGCTCGGTATGTTCTGCCACCCTTCATGATATTCACTCTGCCCACTCACAATCTCTAACCTATCTCCCTACAGTCAATTCTTCCACGCTGACGACTCCGACATTGTCGGCCTCCTCTGCATCGCCAAAGCCCTAGAAGGCGGCGAATCCGACATCGTCTCTTCCCACCACGTCTACAACACCCTAGCCGTCGAACGCCCCGACGTCCTCAAAACCCTCACCGAACCAATCTGGTACTTCGACCGCAAAGGCGAAACGAGCAAAGGCGAAGAAGAATATATCCGCACAAGCGTCGTCTACCTGGAGCGCGGCGAACACGGTCGCGTTTACACAAAATGGGACCCCTACTATGTCCGCTCTCTCACCCGCTTCTCCGATGCAGGGATCATCCCTCCCCTCTCCGACGCCCAGCAGGAAGCTTTGAAAGTGCTGGAGGAGACATGCAACCGTCTCTCGCTGCATATGATTCTAGATGTGGGCGATATTCAGTTCTTGGCCAATTCGCATATTTTGCACGCCCGGACGTCATATACGGATCATGCACCGCCTACTCCCAGACGCCATCTGATGCGCTTGTGGTTGGCGACACCGGAGAGTGAGGGTGGCTGGAAGTTGCCGTTTTGGGATAGTAATGAGAAGAAGAGGGGTGGAATCCAGGTGGATGATCAGCCACCTGTTGCGCCATTGGATGCGGAGTAGTTGCTGGGCGATGTTCTAATGATATTAATCATGTTACAATGATACCTTATTTTCTTTTTCTACTTTTGAGTCAGTCTTCGTGAATGGGATGCTCTATCGAGTAAATGTTGGCTGAAGAGAATTGTAAACAGCCTTGCTATTCCATAAGGTCCCGGGGATTTGAAACACCTTTTGCCCAAATCTTAGCTATGCAGTGGTGCCACCTCAGCTACATAGATTCGTAAGCCTCGGCGCGATATATACCATCGAACCGCCGTCATGAGACAGCTCATTGAGAATAGGAGTTGCAGTCGCCATTCTCCCGAATTCGGTTACTGATCTCTAGTGTCTCCATCGAATCCATAACTCCAAACTAAATGACATGCTTTTCAGCCATTGAATCTGAGCGAAACTTGAACCAGTTGGCTGTACATACTCACGCTGGGGTCGGAGTGCGGGGGTGTGGAGGCCCCACGTAACTCTGAGGTGCTTCGAGACGGGACCACGCTTACAGAGAATGGAAGCCATGGCGTGGTCTGAGGCCTACGAAGGGTCAGTGAGGGAATACCCTACCTTGCTTTCCGTACGTATTCACTGCTTAACACGATTGTTGTAGCATAACATGTCGGAAAAGACATTTAAATGCGATAAAGTCAAGCCGATCTGTGGTCCATGTGCGAGAAAGGATAAGCTCTGTGATTATACTGACCGGGCTAATCGTAGCATTGATCCTCCGGCTGCAGACAGGAACATTATAGAGTCTTCAGCTGTGACGGGCATAGTGACTCGGGGCCATATTATGCACCTGATGACCATACTGAACCGATCATTGTATCATGGCCCACCCCAGGGCGATTAACAACACCCTGCCTAACACAGACTTAACACAGATCTACTTGACCATTCATCAGACAATGACCTGGTATCAAATCACTGCCCAGTGGCATACCGACAAAGCTATTCGTCACCATCGATCGCGCAGGATGCGTTCATCCTGCGCGACCAGCGAATGATTCGGTCTTCTGGCAAGCGACGCAGCTCGGGAGAGTCCACATCTGGCGAACTATTCCCATTTTCGGTCGACTCAAATATTGACCTTGAATCATTCTGGAGTTGAAGATTTCAAGAGCCTAGCTCACTTCAGGGCGTCATCACCACCATCGCATACAATATCAAACAAGTGCTTGGCCTCGTTCAAGCCGCCACAGCAGCACGTTCACCTCTCATCATCCAATTCTTCCCCTGGGCCATGGTAGCTACCGATGGCTTGCTGATCCGCACCGTGGCGGACGCTGCCAAACGTGCAAGCGTGCCATCTGTGTCCATATCAATCATGCGCAGTCAGAAGACATTATTAAGCGTGCGGCAGATCTACCATTCGATAGTATCACGGTCGACATGTCGCATTACGATAAGGAAGTAACCTATTGAAGACGTGCGAATTGGTACAATATTACGATGAGCGACAGAAATTCAACCGAAGCGGAGCCCGGTCGAATCGAAGGGGAGGAAGATGGAGTTATGGACACGGCAGGACTGAAAACCTGTATGACTACGGCGGAGGAGGTGGACGACTTTGTTGCTACCGGCGTGGATGTTCTCGCACCTGCGTTTTGTAATGTTCATGGTAAATATGGGCCACGCGGGCCACGCGGGCTCTAACTGAATTTGAAAGGTGAGTGGAGAATTCCACGTACTGTGAAATGGCTTTGATGCTAATTGGATTTAGATTTGAGAGGATTCGCCAGCAGTCAAAGGGTCGTATCAACCTTGCTCTTCACGGCACTAACGGATTTGAGCCAGAACTGATGAAGCGCTGCGTGGCTGCCAGTGTCACGAAGATCAATTTGAACCTTCTGGTATTGAATGATCATACGTAGCTGATTGAGGAAGGTAATCAAAAGGTGGCAGACCTGACTATCAAGTGGATGGAGGTTAGTGGATCTGCTGGAAAGGCATATATAGTGACAGATCTAATGGCTGAATGGAAACAACATTGCTTGAAGAATGACGATTCAATGACGTTGTGTGAGGCGGGCTCCGTAAGATTGAAAATGGACTTATCATCGCCTTATTCTCTAAAATTAAAGCAGGCGGCTAGGAAGCTGAACTAATGCAGGAAACACCCTTGTAGGTAAAAAAGTATCTTCGGATGTGATTTGAGTCTTGGTACTTTAGCCGTGCGGCTCAATGTAAAAAGTCAAGGCCCTCATAAACCATATAATTCAGTCTACCACAATCGACCAATCAAGCAAAGTTTCCAGTATCATATAGGTCTAATGTTAGTAAGTTTAATGCGATAAAATTGAAGTTCGGCCGTTTTGATACCTTAATACTATGACTTGGCTCCATGAGACTAACATAGCAGTCGCATACGATGCCCGAGGCGTCATCATGTGGCCGATGGAACACGAAAAAACCCGCAGGAGAGAGGGGGGGAAATTTATAATGAGACTCCAACCCACCTATCATAGTAGTTTAGTGGATTGGATTTTGCATATGAGTAACGGATGCAGTGAGACCTTGCAGGAGGATGATATCTGATTGGGATTTGAGGGCTTGTTGGCGAGACGATCTGTGAGGTGGCAGGCTGACGCCTCATCCTTTAATCATGCTTTCTGGTGTCTTTCGCGGCTCAAAGGATGCATCTGTGTTTGAGGAGTTCATCGATGGACTTCTGCATTGTGGAAGATGGCCGGAGCAGAAATCTGTTCTAGTCATGGATAATGCATCATTCCACCACACTGCGCGGATTTCGAAGATGTTTGCCGATGTGGGAGTAAAATTGGCTTATTTGCCTCCATACTCGCCGGAACTGAATCCAATTGAAGAGTTATTTACCGAGCTTAAACGCTCCATCAGACGTAATTGGAGCCACTACGCAGAAGATCCCGCCCAAAGAGAAAAGTGCCTGAGGCCATTTCCGGCTCGCAGGCTTGAGTATGACTTGGACGATTAAAATTGTTCTTCCGTTCAACGCCATAAAATAAAGCTAGCAGCCCTAAATCTGAAGCCCACTCAGAATAGTCCTTTGATCCCTTGTTGAGTATTATATGCCTCCGCCTTCGATAGTTTAGCACTATTGGTCCTTCTTGAAAATGCTCTTTAGTCGTCGCACGAGAAGACTTCCTTTCAAAGTACCGTTCGACTTTAGTTTCTGATTTGCTGTTGACTGACCTAACATCGTATTAATTGCGACGCTGTTGTCGGATCTCGCTTGGATCATCAGGTGCTTGGTTGAATTGACATCCGTCTTTGATCCCAGCAACAATATCTTCAATAGAAGATGCAGACGCCTGCTTTATTTTAGGTCCCTTTAGCTAGTCCTGGTGGAAAGCAGCAAAGAGCCTCTCTGAAGCTAATTGATCTGGATGGTCTTCTGCGAGCACTTCCGCTTGTATCGCGACAACACGCTCTAGCAGCTTGATTGCCTTCTTGACTTGCCCGTTTGCTTGATATGCTCTAGCGAGCGCATGTTGCGACGTGAGTCGATCGGGATGGTCT